GCCAGCGCCTCCGATTCCGCGACCCCAACTACGAAATGGGAGAGCTGGCGAGGACAACATCAGCAGGAGTCTTCGCTGCCTCGAGAGCGTCCCTCAGACCTTGGAAGTCTATGGGCGACGGTGGGAAGACGCAGTCATGCTCAAGCAGAGCTTTGAGCAGCTATCAGCGGACACCGTCGAGCGACTAAGGGAGCGCAGGAAGATTCAAAACATGAAAATGGAGCAGTCCGCCTATCCTGGCAGCTCTCCATCGGCCCCTTCGCCTCGGGTTCCGGCCATCACGCGTAGCCCACAGCAGCCACGAGAGATTCGCTGGGTCGGAGTCGACGTTTCTCAGATGATGCACGGCGGCCGCGGTCATCCACAATAGGAGGCCAACGAGGAGCTGTGTGCTAATGGCGCTTGTTTTGAAACCAATGGTGGTTAATGTGTACGGGCATTACTATGGAATAACGGACGTGAACAGGGCAATGAACATATCTCTGTATCATTATACCCGCCCAAAGGCAAGATTCTATTTGGACACCAATGATGAGGGTTTGCTTGGGCATCAATCAATGGCTTAGTGAGATGGATAGACGGGTTTCGTATGGCGGCAATGGATCTCTTGGGTTTTCGCAACGATGCAGGTCATGCATGTAAATCAATCTTTTTGAACAAGACAGGGGCTTCTCTAGCCTACCTAGTAGGTAGTACCTGAGACCACAATCTACTTAACGTCATGTTATTCTCGTCCTTCAACATTCATCATGAAATAAAGGACAATCTACTAAGCATCTTCTTATTCATGTCTCTCAACATTCATTATCATGGAATGAAAGATGATCAATAGTTTACATTTCAGAAAAGAGGCATTAAGTCGATTCCTTAGGTAGTCTTAGCCGAACATGTCGCCTCCTGCGAACAGGAAAAAAAGTAATAACAAAACCCATGGGAAAACCCCCTCCTTTTCCATCTCCCACATTGTGTTCGTGACGCCCAAAGAGTCTTGAAAATTAAGATAGTGTAAAGATTTAAAGAAACGAAGAAAAAAATATGAAACACAAGAGATGAAGAGGTGAAAGAGAAGGCACAAGAAGAATTCGACTATTGGTCGTCCTTTTTTGAAGTTCGTTTTATGCTCTGAGCCATATAAACCCCCTTCCCTATGCAGCTTGTCCTCGCAAGTTCACTTCCCAGGCATTCCTTGCATGCATCTTCATCCTCCTTTCATTACCCTGATCAAACCAAGGTCTGGAGGCCAAAGACGACCCAAGTTGCGGGCACACAGGTAACGCAGGCTGGCCTCCCAAGGGCTGCTGCCGCCAGCGTTGTCGGCGAGTATGTCGAGGGGTAGTAATAGTAGTAATAGTAGCGTGAAGATCGGAGACGGAGAGTTCACGTTCTTCTTTCTCCTGCGGGGATTGATGCTGAGACACCACTGGGCGTTTGTCTTTCCTTTGTCCTTTTCCTTTGCCTTGTTCGTCTTCTTTATCGTGACGGGGCTCATCAGTGGGTTCCTAGACCGCTCGAATGTCTTGCAGGTGCAGATTTTTGGTCTGGCGAGGTAGCCTGCGATCTCGTTCGTAAAAGTAGCCGCAGTTGGCGCATAGGGACTGTTACGATATCATGTTAGCCATCACATAAAAACACCCAACAACTGATATATTGAACACGACTCACCTTGGGCCCAGCAGGACCGTCTCGAACCGCCCAGACGCTCGTACCCCACGTACGGCAGTGTGAGCAGCGCCATGTCATTCGCTCCATGTCCGTCAAGGCTCCTACTCCTCCACCATAACCGCCGACATCTGGCGTGAGTCGCCCCAGAGGAGTTCCGCCGCGGGCGAGAGGACTCAGACTTCGGAAACGCCGCTTCTTCTTTGAGCGTTCACCTCTGCCCATCCTCTCTTCCTCGGCGTCGACAGCCACGCCCAGGCCGAACGGAGTGCCGCCCAGCATACCAGTCGTCGAGCTGAATCGCGCTGTTTCACGCCGCAGCCGACGGATCTGTCGCTCACGGTCGCCTTCTCGCTTCTCCATCTCTTCCTTGCTGAGAAACTCGACCTTGGGCTCCCAGTCATCAGCCAAGTGGTCAGGGTCATATCTCCAACCAGCTTCCTGGCCATGTGCGGCATCGTTTGGCAGCTCCTGCTGAGCTCCGCCCCAACCTCCAACAAGGCCACCAGCCTCACAGGCTTCCTTCTTTAGACGAAGGACTGCCTCATAGATGGCATGTGTCATAGCCGGAACCCATTCACCTGCCAATCCTAAATCGGCACATGTCGCCTTTGCGAAAGCTTCGGCTGTGCCTGGAGGGTGGAGGAGTGACCACTCAAACTTGTCTGTGTATAGCATGGACGAAAGGTTTAGACTCAGGTTGATAATACATCGATAGGTATCGTCAGGGTTATATTCGTCAGAATCAGGTAGGATGGGAGTTGCTTCCGCAGTAACCTCGGGGGCCTCGGGGGCTTGCGATGCCGGCGGCTGCGGCGTTGGTGTTGCCAGGCCTCCTGTCTGCACAGGAGTTTCAGGTCGGGATACACCTCTCGCAAACGAAGCTGGAGAGTCGTCTCGAGATTTGAATATGCTGGGTCTCGGGGTTCCGGCTGCAGTGACGCTTCCCCCAGCAACGGTTGCCGCCCCTCCTTGGATGGGCGGCGGTGGTGCTGCAGCAGACGGCCCAGAGTGGAAGAGTGGGTGAAGAGCAACACCAGCATACTCTTCCAATTGCGTCCGAATCTGCTTGCTAATCTCTGCAATGACAGCAGGCCTGTTGGGCAGGTCAAGATCCTGCGCCAAATTCTGCGCAAACTGATCCGTTGTGATGAGGGTCTCGTGTAGGTTCCAGCAGAAAATGTCCCGCAACTTGTAAGGAACAGTCATCTCCTGTGGTCGGTATTGGGGGAGGGAGATGTCGACCGAGTTGGGATTCGGAGCCGGGAACGGCGCAGGCGGGATGAAGGACGGGATGTCCAAGTCGATTCGTATGGGTATCAGGGTCAATGGAAGGTGTGCTTGGGCGGCGTTCTGCTGGTCGCTCCTGACAGACCGGCTTTTCCCCATCCAATCCCGCCATATGCCCTGGACGTCGACGGGTTCCTTGATTTCCTTTCCCACCTTATCAGCCATATCCATCCTGGTGGCCGAATCTTCCTTGCGCAAGCTTCGCAAGCCCGTGGGCCGACGTCTGGGATCGTCGCTATCATCATCCAGGTCATCATAACCGTCCTCTGCATAGTTGATAATGGTAGTTCCTCGCTTTGTTGTTCGCGAAACAGGCCCCGTTGGCGCACTCGGTAGGACGGGAGTCAAGAGAGAGTTGTTGTAGGTGCGCAGTCGCGGCGCATACGACGACAGGAAGGCCTGGGGTTTTGATCGTTCCATTGTGAGATTTCTGAGGGTATTTTTCTGGTTATTTCATGGCGCAAGGGAGGAAACGCGAGCGCAAGCTGGTGAGTCCCCGCGCTTTGTGCAAAAGTCGCAGCTGACGGAGCTTGCGAGCTTCTTTGCAGCCAGTGCGGCAACCACACGAAGAGGCGATTCGAGTCTCTCAGGCAATGGCAAAGAGAGACAGAGATGGAGCGGGTTCGATGACTCAGACGAGATGAGAAGAGGAACAAGAAGAAATTATCAGCCGTGAGGCAGCGTAGCGTTTGGCGGTCACAGCGTTGGTGATTGTCGCGACTCGTGGTTGATTGGTTTTCTCAATCGCGTCGTTTGTCTTGCCCCAAATTTTGGCTGGCCTTGCAGAGATCGAGGAACTCTGCTTACATAAGGGCGGGTGGGGCCCTTGCATACCGGGTAGGTGCGTACCAGATACAAACAAACCTGCAGGTGCTGTGCTACCCTGTAATTTTGAGATGGAACTTGCAACCTTGCACTTCGCATCAATGTTACAGGTATTCTTTCACTCAATTCGAAGAGAGAATTGCCAATTACCAAGGTATTGAACCGTTTTAATCATTCTAATGTCAACTACCAACCCTATCAAAGGGCACAACACAGCTGTCTCATCTAAGAAATATGCGACCCTCTTTCATCATTTGTCCCAATGACAGTCCATCCATCCACATGTGGCCTTGATAGTTGCCATCTAAAAAGGTCGCTGTCCAACTCTGAAGCGGCACAAATCAGCAATCAATCTCCAAATAAGAACCAATGCCTAGTTACTCACATGTTTCCTTCCGGAAAGAAACGGCACACGTCGTAGGTCTTGTACGGCTCTGAGATGCTGTAGGCCCGAGCACAGCCTATCTGTGTCGTAGTCGACCACATACACTGTGCTGTAAGTCAGGTCAATATCAACTCTTGCATCTTACAAAGCATCATCAATACATACACCAGTGCAGCCAGGGTTCATGCCCGTCCGTGATGGGCATTCCGTTGTATAGCGAGGCCTGTGCGAGCCAAGTATGCGCGGCTGTCTGCAAAGGGTTGTCGTAGGCGGTATCGCATTGGGTGGACTGGTATTCGAATAGCGTCTCTCCTTGTTGAGGCCGATAAGTACCCTGGGCATGCGAAAAGGGCTGCTGGCCAGCAGCCATTATGTTTGCCCAGTACTGAGCATAAGACTCCAGGTTCCCATTCCAAGTAAGAGGCTGGATACCTTGAGCCTGGCGAGCTTGGTTGATCAAAGAGAGGGCAAGGGCCCGATCATCAGCCTGGGCAAAGCAGAGACCGATTAAGGGAATAAGCCATTGGATGACGAGGAAGAGATGCATTTTCCCTGGCAGTGACGTCTTACAGGGGGCTGGGGATGAGTAGGACTGAGAATGGCTGTAGATTCTCAATCATATCAGATAGGAAGAAACAGAATGGAGAGTTTGCTGCGAGAGTTGGCAGTTCAGGGAGCTGTGCGTGGCAGAGCGAAGGGAACCGAGGCGACACTCGGAGGAGGAAAATAGTAGAGGAAAAAAATTAAGAATATGGAAGATCGTGAGGTGCAAAAATATATATAGCCAGGCAATAATTCAGCATATGTAAAGCAGGAAAGTACAAGCAGCTGCAGTTCGCTGATGGGGAAATTTACGGTAAGCACAGTCCTTGACATTGGGAAGGCGATACTACAAAACATAACGAATTTACTTGCTTCAGATATAATCCTGAGCCAATATATCTATGTAAGTCACAGGTGCTCTTGTGCCATTGCAGGGTGTATTCTCGCCTTGTTCGGATCGAGGAGCACTCGCTCGTAGTCTCTACTGGACAACAGCACATGCGTCTCTGCCTGGCGCCATTGATGGTGCATTGGTCAGACTTCACACGTGAGGTTCTCCAAATCTATGGCTAAAGATTGAAATTCTCTCTCCAATACTTGAAAATGCTTGAAGGGAAAATGACAGCCGTCAATCATACCATTCAACAACCATCCTTGATATTACTCTATTAGGAAATCGCATCTCTCCCTTGTCCCCATGCGCACGGACCACCGTCAAGGCACCGCGGTACGTACCTGCACTACAATGACGTCTAGCGCATTCCACCAACTTTTCCATCGCAAAGTCCCATCAACACCATCACCAATTATCTCCCGTTTTTCTTCTTCACCACCACTCAAACAGAAAACACCGCGCTCTCAGCCATGGCTTCAAAATCAGCACCTCTAATAGCGCCTCTCCTGCGCCGAGCTCTCACCCCACGAAACATTCCCCGCTCGTTCTCTCTCCGCAGCAGCTCGCTTCCCGCCTCATCATCACAGCTTCGTTTCGCCCACGCCATCCCCCGTCCTCCTCGGAAGCTCCCGCAAAAAGAACCCGCCACTACAGATTCCCCTTCAAGCGAAAGCGACCGGCCCGAGCTCAAAGGCCCGGCATTCTACCAGCTCTCCTTCACTTGCGTGCCCTGCGGCCATCGCTCGCATCACAACGTCTCGAAGCAGGGCTACCATCATGGCTCTACGCTGATTACGTGCCCGAGCTGTCGTAATAGACATGTTATAAGCGACCACTTGAACATCTTTGGCGATCGGAAAATCACCGTCGAGGACTTGATGAGGGAAAAAGGCCAGCTGGTCAAGAGGGGTTCTTTGGGCGAGGACGGAGACATTGAGTTCTGGCCTGAGGAAGTGGTGCCAGAGGACTTGGCAGAGGATGCGAGCAAAAACACAAAGGGATCGACATAAAAAAGCTGGAATATTGAGCGCGCATATACCAATCGTGGGTGGTGTCCGGGTGAAGCGATCTTGATCGGATCTTTAAATCATCTATGAGGCAGGAGTTTGTATGAGTATGTAAAGTCATATACAGGGCGTTAAGGGTCACTGGCAGGAAAACTCCTACATTTTTCAAAAGAAGCGACGGTATCAAAGGGGTAGTCTAAAGGAATCTATTTTTGATCCCTACATTTATTTCTAGCAGCATATATACCTCTGTATCTATATATTGATTAAGAACCACAAGGTAGTTTTTCAAAACACGCCCAAAAATGCCCAGTCAAAAACGCCGCTCGCCATATTTTTCTCCTGCATGATAGCATTACCATGCTATTTACATGTTCACCATGTCTTGTAAGCTTGTCTCATCACCTTCTGCTCCTTCGACCTCGTCTTCTTGCGCTCCCTGTTCTTCTCAAACTTCTTTCTCTTGTCCTTACTGTACTTCTCAGGCTGCGCTACCGCCTCAATCTTCCTCTTGCTTGATCGCTGCAGTCGGCGCGCCTTGACCTCCTCGCGAATAGACATGAGCTGCTTGCTGTACTCGGCAGTGCCAAACTTCTTCTGCAGGGAATCCATCATGATCTGCGCCCTAGTCTTGAGGCCTTCGTGCTTCGTCTTGAACACCTCATCCATGCTGAAAGGTGCCGGGATGGAAGGATCGGTGAGATTATGCAGTGGCGTCAAGATAGTCTTCAGCGAAGGCTGGAGTCGCTCTAAAGCAGAGCGGCGGCAGATTGTCTCCAGCACCTCCATGGCGACGACCTTGGGAATGATGGCAACAGCGTTGGGACGAATCTCCTTGCGCAGAATGTGTGACAGGCGCCAGAACAAGTACTGCAAATCTTTGGGCTTTGTACTCGGCTCCTCCTTGTCTTCAGCATCCAGCTCATCTGCCTCTGATTCGGCATTCGAGGAATCGGGTGAGTCTCCAATAGGAAGACGGGGGCCGAGGAATATGAGGACCTGTCCAAGCTCGTTTGCCAACCCCTCATTAACCTCAGAACCGTTCAGGGCCCTGAGTGCGAGGCGGACGAGCTCCTCCACATTACCAGTCCGGAGCGTAAGGCCATGAGATCCCTCAACATCTTCGCCTGCAGAAGTGCCAGCACCTCGCTGAGCAAAATCAGTAAGATACAGGCTGATCACCTGAATAGCAGCCAACTTGACTGAAGTCTCACTGTGCCCAAGACAGTGTGGTAGTTTGGCCCACAGTTCTTCCCTATTGGCAGACAAGGTCTTTTCAGGGAAGCTGGTGACGAATATGCGCACAGCACCAATTGCAGCGCCAACAAGCCCTCCGTCAAGATCACGAACATCTTCGGATCCAAGAATTGCCATGACCTTATCGAAGATGAGCTTGAAGTCAGTCTGGTTCTTGACGGCATCCTCATGACACTCAAAGTAGTAGCCAAAGAGCTGCACGGCAAGCTTGACGACCGTAGCGTTTCCATCTTTGCCAAGCCACGACCGAAGCAGGTTCAGGAATGAAATTACTCGCTCCTTATCGGCCTTGCGGAAAATCTCCTTGATCAGCGCTTCAGCTGCGAGGCGACACTTCTCACTGTCATCGTTCGCCAGAACCAGGAAGAGTGGCAGGAAGCATGTTGCCGCAATTTCTTGGATGAAGTCGCTGGATGACTTCATGAGCAGCAAGTGTATCACCTCCATGACCGAAATGCGGCCACCTTCGCGATCATACTTGAGGTTGGCGACCACAAAGTTGAGTTGCTTTGTCCAACGAGATCTCATTTGAGGGTAGTCCCGGATAAACTGGAAGAAGGCGCCTCGTGCCAGATCTCGTGTGTCCTTGTCATCGTTAGTAATCATGACGGTGCCGACCTGATCCAGGGTGTCGTAGACTGTCGCAGTCTCAATGCGGCGATCGAGCACAGATCGCAGGAAGTTGAAAGTGATGTGTCGATACAGGGGCTCTGTGAAGTCGTCCTTAAGCTTGCCTAATAGCATATCGGTAGCAGCATCTTTGACCTCAATATCTCGTCGGTCTCTCAGCACGACAGCAAGCATCTTCAAGGCCGCTTGCGCCAAATCAGTCGTGGTCGAAGTCGACATTGAGATGCACCTCGTAGCCTCCTTGACGGCGATCTTGTAGATATTTGCCCCATCAGCAGTTTCAAAGGGAACCTTAACGATGACTGCCAAGAGTCGGAACGCTGAGATCTTGACCTCATCTTCGCCCTCCAGAATGGCATCACCAATGATGGGAATGAAACCAGAGATGTTCTCAGGAATTCGTATGCTATCGTACTTCTTCAATATCGATCTCAGCATCTCGAATGCGAAGCGGGTCAACTTGTATGTATGCTTGCTGGTTTGACCTCGGTCGCTCTTTTTGGCCCCTCTCTGTACTAGATATCTTCGAGTTTTCCAGTCCAGTTTCGGTTCAGCCTCTGGATTTCGTGCGTTGTATACTTCTTGGATAACCTCGTAACAAAAGACCAAAGTATCACGGCTTTCGGTGGCTGGATTCTGTAAAAGGCCTGCCGTGATACGGGCCAGCAGGGCATCAATCTTGCGCACAATCTTCAAATCCACTTTCTGCAGCAAAAGGGCTTGTAGCGGTCGTACAAGCTCAATGAGGCGACTTATGGATGCGTTCTTGGCGATGAGTTCCATCGAGTCTTGACTCTTGCTACTCTTGACCTCCTTCATCTGACTAACATAGCCCTCAGCATCCTTCTCTTGGCCAACAACACCAAATATGTCGTCCATGATAACAGTGACAATCGATGACAGGCAAGGATTAAGGTCACCAGGTGCGAAGTGAGGCACTGTGGCAACCAGGATGGAGTGTACAGTGTATGAAAGGACGTGCAATTGGTAACCTTTAGTGAGGGCTCCTCGGAGCTCTTTCAGAATAAATCCGAAAAAGGAAGGGCCCAGAAGGACAGCAATTTTGACGAGAGTGTCTCGAGTCATCTCTCTTGCCTCCCATGCTTTGCTGCGCAAGATGTGACAAATGTCGGTCAAAACACCAGCCAGCTTCTGATCCATTTGCGGGCCAGGCAACAGTTTCAAGAGCTTGACAATGGTGATACCAACGGGAACACGGTAGCTGACCTCGGATTCATCTTTCTGATGCAAATGTTTGGTAAGTGGTGGTAGGAAGTAATCCATGATCTGGGTGGCCAGTTCAGCGGGCTTCGGAGCCATGAGACGCAGCCGTCGTACCGCAGAAGATGAGCTTTCTTCTTGGTCTACCTCCATTGTTTCGGCATCTGGGCTTTCAGGCAACGAGAGCAACAGAGCATCAGTAAATTTACCCAATAGGCGGATGGTATGCTTCTGCTGCTCCTGTCTCGATTCAATGTAACCAATGTACCGATGAAAAGTTGTGCGGAAGTGGTTCCAATTCAAGGACATGGCTAAGTTGCTGATTGTGCTTGCTGCCTGCGCACCAAGTCCATGGTCATCGCCGCCGTCGGCTCTTCCAAAAATGAAATGCTCCAGTAACGGGATAAAGAATTGTGTCAGATTATGGCTACCCATTTCTTTGCTTGCATTAGCAGCTTCCAATGTTCGCAGGGCATCCATTTGTTTTGCAGTTGCTGGACTAAGAATGTCAAAGAAGAACGAGGGTTCCGTAGAGTCTTCTTGACGCTCATTCAGGAGACCGCCGAGGTCAGCCACGGGGCCCCATTCAGGCATTGTGGTAAGAATGAACCCTAGCACACGTAGATACTCTCGCCGAACAGTTTCTGACTCTTCTCGAGCACCGCCGTAAATTGACGGCATGAGGATCTGCTTGAGATATTCGTCAAAGACGGCTTTCGTTTCTTGTGATTGACAGTCCGACGCTTCTTGTACTAGTCGTCGAATGCCATCAGCAGCATTGGACGAGAGCACACCGAATTCCTCGTCCATGCGAATGAAGAAAATGAGGTTGTGAAGAACAGGAAGCCACTGTCTAGGAGACCATGGCTCATCGTGACTGCTCGAGATGGAGCTAAATGCGGCAAGACGTCTGTCATAGTCCGGCTCGTCAATGCGACCCTCCTTGAACAAATTCAACTCGTTGCAAAGGTTGGCGACATTGGAAATTTTGGCGTCTTGTTTTGAGATGGCCAAAAGAACCCGACACAGCGAAGAGCGGTTCTCTCGATCCTTAAAGTAGCTGAACAGGGATGAAACTGTCTTGTAAACCTCTTGAAGCAGTGCCTCATCCTGCGCTGCGTCAGGCAATGAGGCAAAGTTCTCAATCACCAAGAGAATCCGGCCCTTGAGCTTGGGATTGACTCGGCGTGCAGGTTGCTGCAACAAGAAGCTCGAAATTCGAATGACTGCCTGAACATTTTCCAAAGTTTGAAAGACTGGTGCTAGAGACAGAATGGTTTCGATACCGGTTTCCAAAAGCGCATTGCTAATATCACCAATTCTCAAGACAGTAGTGATATTGTCCAAGATCGCAGTTGAATTCGGGTCAAGAAGCTCAGCTTTTATAACCTCATTGAACTCAGACTCACTGGCAGAAGCCATGGCCAGCCTTGCCAAGCTGCGAAGCATTTCAAGAACATATATCTTGACCGATTCTTTTGACTTTTCGAATGCAATGCAAGAAATAATCTTCGGCAAGGCACCATCCGGTAGCGCATTGCCGTGAGGAGCAAGGAAGAGCGCCGCCTTGGGCAGATTGGACCATGTCGACAACAACTGCAGCATACCAGATACTCCTTGTGCAGTCTCGGCTGGCAGATTTTCGTGCCTGGGCGCCACCAATTCCTCAATGATGATATCCTGATAAGGCTCCCATTGGAAATCCTGGGCATTCTGGAACAGAGCAATCAAACACTTGATACCCGTTGACCTCGTGGATTTGAGCAGTGAATGGGTGCTGGCCTTTTCCTCTTCTTCGGGGGCATCAGGGTCCACTTCTGTATCTACACCACCCAGTCGTCTGCAAGAGAAGATGAGGCAGTACAAGATCGTGTTGACGAGTGTTTCCATGTAAGGGGACACATTAGTGCCCAACTCCGAAATGAGAGACAGGGCCATGTTCAGGAAACCAAATTGTTTTCGAATCGAAATAATTTCCTCGTCAAAGAGCTTCTTCCGATTGACTGTAGGACCTACCACTCGCACATCTTTGAGTTTTCCTACGGCAATGTCAAGAAAGCCACCGAGATCCTCAATGGATAGATTTCGGATAATGGCAAGTCGAGTCGTTTGCTGGCCGTGACGACCGCCAACTCCTCCCTTTCTTGAAATTGCACGACCGTAAAGGAGGTGAAGGAGAACAGGCATCAAATCGGCTCGATGCTCAGATTTGATGACGCTATCTCCTTGGAGGAAGACAGTTATTTCGTTCTTGAAGCGAGCTTCATCAAGAAGGTACTCCAGATTCTCCTGATAAGCCTTCACGCCGTCTTGCTTCCATGCTAGAATAGCTTTCAGCGCGAGCTTTTGAACGTCCAAATCACCATTTCCTAGCAGCTGTAACATGATGTCGTAAACTTGGTCATGTTGGAACAAGACTCTTGGATTGATGAATTGTGCAAAGACGCCAACAAGCCCCTTCCTGTCAGCTAATGACCAGAAGACTGCTTGTAATTGGGCGTCCTCTTCGGCATGAGCATCTTCCTCCTCGCGAGCCCAAGCAAACAGATGGGGTACCAGTTGACGCGACCTTCTCTCAGCGATAGAAGGCAGAGCTTTGAATACTTTCAGCGCCTGAGCCTTGGCGTTTGTAGAGAAAGGTTCTACCAGTCGCTGGCTGTCATCAAAAGTACGCAACATCACATTCTTCGAATCGCCTGATGTTTCTTGAACACTCTTTCCGGACGCTTGAAGAGCGTTCAATGTAGTGCATTCAAAGTCGGAATAGAAAGCGCGGGAGGAGCCAGTTTCGGATTGCGGTGGTGTCCATCGCGGTGACGATACATCCAGCCATCGGAATGCGGTGAGAGAAATAGCATCTTCACCTTGTTTATTCTCAGCAACCTGCTTCATGGCTTCTATTGAGTCGTCCCATACTGGAGATAGGTTGACTGTCAGCATACCAAACATGAAATTTGGTATACCTTGTTTCAGCCAAGTCGTATCTGTCAATGAGCCGTATTCTTGCCCGAGCTTACGCAGATACATGGCGATCGATCTAGTGTGCTCTAGATTCAAGGGAGATTGTTCAATCTGAAGCATGATTTCAACACATTGGGATTGCTCAGGCGTTTTGCTCATCTTGTTGAGCAGTTCCAAAGACGCAAATCGAATGTCATGAGATGGAGAACTCAAATTTTCGACCAAAGACTGGATCACGGGGTCATCCTCAGAGACTGAAGTGTCATCACCAGATGACGCTTCATGTTTATCAACTTCGTGTCCATGTGGGAAGGTTTGTTCGTAGGCAAGATAGGTCCGGAGGAAGCCCACAGATCGTGCAAACCGCGGTACCGCTGCCCGAAGCAGAGGCGCAAGTTGGGGATCAGTGGAGCCTGCAGTCTTGCTCATCCCTAAATAGGCATGAAATCCTTGGCTGACGATGAAATTAACCTCATCGGACGCGAGCGAGGACGAGGGTCGAAGAGCAAGCTTGAGTTTGCGTAGCAGAAGCTCTGCAATGCGTGCGTTGGTTGAAGGATGGACGGCCGTCAACTCCAGGATTCGGAGGAGAGCAGCATATTTAGGCAGACACCTGTCTCTCCAGACTTGAGGGTCTTTGTTGTACGGTCCTCTTTCAGGGAAAGGCGAAATCTCTAAGCTCTCAAACTTGGAGACAATCTGGTCCTGCCATGCCTGGGGGAGTTTGCAGCAATCCTTCTCGCCAGCAGACGGAAACCCTCGGTTCTCGATGATCTGCGGTAACAAGACACACAGCATGTCTTCATTTTGTCCCTGAGACCAATGGGTTGCGATAAATCTGGAAAAGGTCAGTACACGCCTGGTATCGTAGAGGAAAGCCCATCCAACTTACTTCTGAAAATCATTACGGAATAAGCTTCCAAATCGACGTGGATCAAGCTCGCTGAAATATGAACAAAAAGGAATAAATAATCTCATAAACGGCTCTCTCGTCAATGATTGGAGAAGACGGGAGATGTGAGGGATGAGCGAGTCCATAGGCGCGTGATGACAGGTGATTGCCACATTGACGACGACTAATGCCCATAAAAGCTCGTTTTGCTCAACGGTTTCATCAATCGGCCGTGTCGCTGTTGAAAGGAAAGCAGTAAGCTGTTGGACGAGGCGTGTCCAGTCCGTAATTCGACCGCCTTTCCGGACTCCTGCGAGAACACCAAGAACTCGGATGTATGGTACCATCCACCACTGAGAATCATCGCCATGAGCCTCCTTCAACTTAGCATCACAGCTATCGAAAATTGCTTCTTCGAATTCTCTGAAAGTTTGTACTTCGGTATGATGTATCACACTAGTCAAGACACCGCAAACCAGGTCGGTCCATGTTGTAATCTCAGCCAACGTACACTCTTCCTTTGGAATCGCGTTCATAAGCTCAATGAATATGGCAGATCCTGTCGAATGGATGGTTCGATCTGTTCCCTTGATCGCCTCGGCAAACATGGTCATGATACCATCTTTATACAGCATGAACTGTCGATCGTCCACCATTTTGCATATATCGTCCCGGACGTAGTCCACGAATGACGAGAGGGCTGTCTCGCGGAGTGATGGAGCCGCAGCTTTCCTAACAAGAAAGCTCATAGCCTCAGCGCCGAACCGCGCAATGAACGGTGGATGCTTGGACTTTCCAAGGAGCGGTGCCATGACGGCATAGGTCGGTCGAAGATCCGGGACTATGAGTTTGGACAGGTACTTGAACAAAAAGGCAAGAGCACCAAAGGTCCACTCAATGACTTCGACGGGCTGAGTCCTTCCTGCGATTGCGATAATGAGATCCAGACTCTGTGAGAAGTATTTTTCAAATCGAATTCCCAGATCGTGGGCAAAGGCTGTCAGGAGATCGAGCAGCGGTTCCAGTCCTTCCTTGTCCTGTGTCGAGATGTATTTGGCAAACGAAGCCATTATTCGTTCCTCAAAGTGCAGAATCTGCGGTAAGCTGTCGCACAAGGGAAGCACCTCCCTCTTGAAAGAGGAAAATGGCTGTGAAATGTTGAGTTCGCTCCATTTTTGCAGTCCATTCTGGAGATAGGACGTCGTCGATGACAAGTCTTCCGTTTCGAGGTCATGTCGTCGAACTTTGCGCAGCGGCTGGAGCGAGTTGAACTTTGCGATCTTGGTCGAAAACGACTCCCATCGGTGGTTCTTCTGATGGGGCGTCGAGTGCTTATTCTTCCGCACCTTCTCGATGCGTCCGGAAGATCGGGCTGGCATCTTGGCAGCGGTGCTGATGAAGCTGTAAAAAAGGTTTTCGGCCGCGATATTGAAGCGTCCAAAGTCTGGAGCTGTTCCTCCCCACTAACAAAGTTCCCAAATTTTTTTTGTCGGCAGATTCTCGGCCAAACCGATAAGAACTAGCGGTGCTCCACTTAGAGTAGAATTAGCCAATCGTGTGTGAGGCGCAATTTCTTATCGCAGCACCGAGCTTTTGACGTCGCGTGTGTTCGCGCATCTCACTTGCACTGAGCTGCATCTTACATACATTATTTAAGCCCTTTTTGAGAGTCCGGCAACTCAACTCTCCTTCTCTCTCCACACCCAACACACAGCACTCCCAATCTGCACTGAGATTGGTCAGGCCAGACGAGATGGCCGCACCCAAGATGTATGTTGTTGAATATTCTTCAAAGCAATGGCTGTAGTTCATGATGTTGACCTTCTGCTAGCATCGTCCTGGGTAGCTTGAATGGCCAACTTGAGTCGGCAGTCAAGAAGCTAGCGACGCTTCATGCCAAGAACCAATTCTCTCTTGCGATTCTTACAGGAGATGTATTCACCACCGATGCCGATGACGAGACGATATCCGCCCTGTTAGGGGGGTCCATCGAGTTTCCATTGCCCACCTACTTCACTGTCGGCATGCATCCTCTACCTCCTCGAATCGCTGCCAAGGTGGAAGCCGATGAAGAAATATGCCCCAATCTTCACTATCTGGGAAAGCGCAGTGTAACAAAGACGTCGGAAGGCATCAGAATCGTAACGCTAGGCGGCATCCTCGACACAAACCTAGTAGCGGGCCAATCCCAGGAACAGCATTTGCCCTTTCACACGGCGGGAGACGCAAAGGCTCTACGTGGCGCCAATAGCACCGACATTTTACTGACCTCTATGTGGCCGGCGAAAGTCTGGACTGGCTCCAAAGTGGTCCTTGAGCCTTCCCATCAGGCTGCTGTGAGCAGCTCGGACGAAATTGCGGATCTATGCGCCGCCCTGAAGCCTCGATACCATATCTCAGCGTCCCCAGAAGCATTCTTCTACGAACGAGAACCTTTTGTTCAACAGTCTGACAAAGATCCTAATACCATTGTCGCTACACGCTTCATCTCCATGGCCCCATATGGAAACGACAAGAAGTCAAAGGCCATGTATGCCTTCACACTTAATCCAGCGGACACGGCCGTGCCTCCTGGTGCCACAGCCTCGCCATTCGCCAAAACCACCACCAAGCGCGGAAGACAGGACGAAGGGTACAGCCGCTTTGGCCATCACGATGACGGCCGCCACGGCAGACACAAGCGTCGCCGTGCCTCGCCGCCGCCAGGTCCCGACAGGTGTTACTTTTGTTTGTCAAATCCCAACATTTCTGCGCACATGTGCTGCAGCATTGGCGACGAAGCATATATCACAACCGCAAAGGGACCCTTGCCAACATCCTCGACATTTGCAGAACAGGGGCTAAATTTCCCTGGCCACTTCATCATCATACCTTTGCCACATTCTCCCACGATTGCGAGCATGGGCAGTACGGCAGACCCTACCAGCGAGGCGGTGAAGGCATATAAAGAAATGGTACGATTCAAGGAATCTATACAAGCCATGATTGCTTCCAAAAGCTCGCATAAGCTCGGCGTCGTCACATGGGAGATTAGCCGCGACCGCAACGTCCACCTAATCTGGCAACTCGTTGCCGTACCAGCCGACATCATCCAAAAGGGTCTCGCAGAGGCAGCCTTCCGCGTGGAAGCAGAAAACCTGAAATACCCCGGCTTCTCCACCAAGGACCTCCCTCTCGAGGAGCTGGCCTCGTCGGGCGACTTCTTCCGCGTCTGGCTGTGGGCAGATAACGGAGAGGACAAGATTAAGGGAAAGTCCCTCGTTATGCCCCTCGCCTCCGACGCGCGCTTCGATCTGCAGTTTGGACGCAGGGTCCTGGCCAAGCTCATGGGCCTGGAGAACAGGGTCAGCTGGCAGAACTGCGAGCAGTCCGTGGAGGAGGAGACCAAGGACGTCGAAGCTTTCCGGGAGGCGTTTAAGGAGTGGGATTTTACTCTGTAAATGAGGAAGTAGAGGACAAAGGGAAGAAAAAAATGGCGTCGTTTTGCTTTTGCATAGTTCTTCGGCGTTTTGGGCTACAAGATCATGAGCATGATCTGCTACTTACAGGGCATCTATCTGCCATTTGGAGGGCGAAGGACTTAATTTAAAGAGATTAAATGTAGGTGATGTTAATAGAAAGCATGCCTTACCTTTACACCAGGTTCCAAAACTTCATATATTGATTGCGGTACTCTTACATAGGAAAGGCTCTATCATTCCACATGACAGAGGGATGAATCCAGTATCTTCTGTTAGCATTGCGCAAAGGGCTCACAGCACCAACTGGCAGAAACATTCAAATCTATCCACATAGCTCTAGAGAACACACCGCCATTATTTGAAATGCGTATATAAGCTAGCTGAGGCATCTATGTTCCTTCATAGCACAATGTACAGCCAAAACTTCCGAGACCAACATCTCTCACTGTCTAGCTACTAAGTTTTACAACATAAAAACAACAAGCGCCTTCCGCGCTGCCGCGCTCTATGGCTCATTACAATGAGCAGAGGGAATTGTTAACCCTCTTGTAGTGAAAGTATGAACAGGGAAAGGCAAAGAAAATAGAGCATTCATCCTTGGGGGTATAAACGCGAAATATGCGCGCGGAGGGTATTCGTCTCTGACAAAAGGAAACAGAAAAGGCAGGAAAATAGCACGAGCAAGTATCCTGCCATAGCCATGCTCGGCGCTCGATGTGGTTCCTCCATCAGCAGAGATTGTGAGATCGGGGGCGGCAACTCTGCAAGTGTACCTAGGTATGAGAGCAAGGCCCTTGCGACGATTGAGATGTCCCGAGTCCCACATGCAAGGCTTCCAAGATCTTGTCTGCCAGTACGATTATCTGACAAAACATTATCTTTAAAGCGGGGGGAAGATAGGCAAAATAAAATGAGGCCGCGGTCCATAAGCGGCCAAACAATGATGAAAATAAGCAATACCGCCTGAGGCTTCAGGAAAGCTCAAGGTGTAGTTCCAATCATGGACTCCTCGTTAATTTCAGCATTCAAGTTTGATTCATCAGCAGAAGCAAACGTTAACTTGTCGTCGTGAAAACATCAGATCCCCAGTGGAACAATCAACCAGCTGTTGGAGGGCAAGCGAGGCAACACAGGCCGCAGGCTTAAGCTGTGCACAAATCGTCGGGCTGACGTCAATGAAAGCTGTTATGGTATAGCCTAGTAGGATGCCATGCGGCGAGCCGGTGTTCGATCGCCGATTGTGGGAGAATCAAACGCAGAAACAGCCGGAGAAGAAAGAGCCGGAGGAGATGCATTAACATTCCGGGATTGAGGGCGGGGAGGGCCAGTGGGAGAGTCGTGAAGACTTGTGCTCCGCTGACCAAATGCAAAAGTCTGCGCACGGCCAAAGGGCTTCCGAGACTTCAGACGGCCCATTTCCCTTTCGCAGGTGCGCTGATGCTTCTCATCTGACATCTCGACATACTCTGGGGGAAAGCATCTTGCTCGGTGCTCAGCAAAGAAGCCGCTGTAGCCACCATCCAGGATATAAATCTCCGGATAGGTCAAGCGGGGGTAATGCTCAGCGTTGATGGTACGGTCTTGAGAGCGAATATGACGCGCCATGAGAGGGGCTCTGTGAGCCGAATATTCGCAGTGAAAGATTAGTAAACTCAAGCCTTCCATTGGAGTCTGAAAGAGCTGGTCGGCCAACAGTTCTTTGTTGTTGTGGTTGACAGCGCTATCGATGTGGCCGCCTTCATATTCATACTCAAATCGGCAGTCAATGACCATTCGTTGAGCAAACTTGTCACTATACTTGCCATCCAAGATGGCGAGCATCGTCTCTCTTGTGATTCGAGGAATTGTATCTGTAGGATCGTCGGGGAGGAAGTGAGGAATGATGGGCTCGTGGGCCTCTTCGATTTCAGTAACGGAGGCCTTGAGTATCGGGGCGGCGGCAAGCTCTTTCTCGGGCTTCGGCTTCATGACATCCGCTGGGCTCTCGAACATACTCAAAGAGCGACGAAATTGTTTTCGTGTTCTCAGGAAAGGATTTGACTGTCTTCTAGAATGAAGGTTGCCTGGCGAGCCGTGGCGATTGATGCTTGCGATACTTGCGAGTTGAGATCTTGAACGAAGACCTATAGGGATAGCAGGGCAAGGGCTGTTGGATGATGTAGGCGTGTTGCGGTCCTGTTCAGGGGAATCTGATTCAAAACACTCATCAAGCGATAGGGTCGAGGTGCTAGCTCCAAACTGCAATGATGAAGGTTGGGAGCCAGAGACAATGCCGGCAATGCTCTTCGCTCGGCCAGAAAGTGTCCGCCGTGGGGTTGCCATCCTACGGCTAACCACGCCGTCAGCGTGTCCTCGAATACGTTTGACGAGTGAATTGACCGACTCGGCAACAATGGGTTTCGCTGGCTCTAATGATGCGTGGCGAGAGCGAGATCTCAATAGGTCCAGAGATGACTGGCGGGAAATGGGGACTGGAGAGTCTATCATGACTGCATCCTTGGCTAGACAAGAGATTGGAGTAGGTGAGGCAAGACAAGAGATTGAAGCGGGTGAGGTAAGACAAGAAATTGGAGTGGGTGATGCAATCTCCACTACCTCGCTAAAGGTCACCTTGAGTGGCAGAGGAGACGACTCCAGGATCTCGGTACGCTGACTAGGCGAAGAAGGTGGTAGAGGAGGAGTTGTCACAAAGTCTGCAATGTGTCAGTTAAACCAAAACCGCGTCCCGGCTGAAGTCGCGAGACTCCGTCTTACCTCTGCTGCTGACGCTGCCCACAACATTTGCTGTGAAAAGTGCACGCCGAGGCGTTGTAAACTTGGGACTACATGTTTTGTTAGCATCGTGACTTACACACGGGGGCAGGACGGCACGAACCTCGCCTCGTTATCAAGCCGGAAGTTCTGGGAAAGATCAGCTGCCAGGCTCCCACCAGGAGAAGATCCTCGGACTTTGCCATCGAGGTATTCCCCCGTGCCCTTGTGCAGCTGCTCCCGAAGACTGAGAGATCCCGAAGCTGAGTTGCCGGCGTAATGGGAGCGGAAGATGTCTCTGCCTCCCCATGTAGGAGCAGGGACTGGGCGGTGGATTGCCGCCAGAGGAGACGATGCTGTCATCTTAACGAGGTACCGGCGAGGACTTGGCGACTGCTAAGCTTTCAGGTCGACAGCTCGTGACAGCAGCGTTGCTACTTGAATATATAGTAACCCAAGACGCGTAGGAAAGAGTAAAGGACTAGAGTAGAGTAACTAAAAGCTTCCACGTTCTAGCTCGGCCCAGAAATGGCTCCTCACTATCACCGCACAAGCCCAAGCAATCCTGCTCCCTTTCTCGCGTTTTTTTTCTTTGTTCAAAGGTTGTGTATGCAGGAGACTATTTCGAGAATTGGAATTGGGCTTCTTCTTTTCGATTTCCTTTGTTTGTTCTTGTCCACCTTGCTGCTGCTCGGACGCATGAAACGAGACTTGCTGTGGGGCGGAGGGCTTTTTTCGTAATTTAGATTTCGTGACGGTCGTGTGCTAACATCAACGCATGCAAAAGTAACAATGATTTTTCTTCGTAACGTCGTTGCGTCAATGGCAGATTCTTTGAACCAGGTCCGTTTTCGTATCGGACAGCTCGAGGAGGTGAACAATGGAATGGCCGTCGTTGGCTGTGCGAGCATCCAGCAACGGGTGCAGTGCAGCTCGAGCCCTGCAAGAACCGGAGCAGCTGGTTTAAGCTCCAAAGCTAGCGAGGAGGTCGTTTCGCTTGTCCACGCAAAACAGCCGGTGCTGGATTCGCGAACGAGGAGCCCTTTTGACCGGATGTCGGTACTTGTGGGTGTGAGGGCAAGAGGAGCGAAGAATGAATGAGGAGACAAGGCCTTTTGAATGGTCGTTGTACCAACGAGCCGGGCCCGGGTTGGAGTTGGACGTTGTTAGGGGTGATTGGGGGTTTTGGGCCTGCTGTGGTGTACCTCGTGTACCTCGTGTACCTCGTCCAGCGCGGAGGTACCTGCTACTCCAGCGCCCAGCGGACCAGTCCCAGCGTCAGCACCGCTTCTCAGCTGCCCTGAGCTACGCCGTTGCAGTTAGCCTGCAGTTTAGGAGACCACGCCCTGGTAACAATCCGCCGATTCAGCGTCCTTTGTCGCGAGTGGTTGCTCAGTGAGCGGTGGGGCGCTGTGTGCTCAGTGAGCGCTTAGCAGCCTGGAGCTCCAATGTACCGCGGGTACCTGCTACTTGCACCTCCGCTGAGAACAAGGGCCGGGCGTTTTACTTCGTTCCGTCTGGCAATGCAAGATATTGATTTGATTTAATACGATTTGACACGATACAGTAATCGACGGTCCCCAGAACCTTGCTGGTGCTCCAAAATTAGAGCTATTTACGTTACTGCACAGGTACCTCCTCAGTGTAAGTCCAAGCGGCGGTGAGGTGCCGTTACGGAGCACCTAACGTGAGCCTCATTAGACCGGACTCCAGGTCATTTTACCAGCATGCAGGGCTCCCGGATCATTTCAGGCCCTTCAAGCGAGCGAGCTACGGCGGAGGTCCATCCAGTCCGTACAAAGCATTGGCTCAACTGCGGGCGTCGGACGCGATGCTGACTGGCTCACACATGTCAGAGCCCGAATGCACCGATCTGGCCATTTCTTTCACGCTGCAAACATCAAATCCTAGAAAGGAGAGACATTGGCCCGCTGCCGCCCTATTACAGGTGTACGTACGAGTCCAGGGCACGACTGTTTTCAGTTGGTCGCTGATCCTGTCTCGTCCTCGTTGAGTCAAAGTAATATGCATCGGGTGTTCAGTCTCCCTGGCAATGTACTCTTCCTGCGGGCCAACCCGCCCATGTGGTGCCTTTTGTGAAGATCGATCCCTGCTTTCCATGCTCATCTACCTTGACGAGAGACATGTAGAATTCTATACGAGGAACGGAGCGTTTCGGGCTAACATGAGCTAGCGATTCACCCTGAAGAGCCGGGAGTAACCAAGTACGCGATGCTTTCAAGGTTCACCGATCAAGTTTTAGCTCTGGCTTTGTTTCTGCTTCTTCTTTTCAAGCCAACTAACGCATCGAATGAAGTTGAAAGGACAAAGAAGTGATGCAATGACCACCCTGGAAGCTGGGTCTTCGCAGGGGTACCGTCATCGGCGATTGCATTGAGGCGGCATGGAGGTTACTTTGTTCGGAGCACGAGAGCGATTTTATGCCCTCCAGGTTAAGATCTACATCAAATATTACGACGCGGCCTCAAGGCTCCATCGTCAATTACGAACCATTCCAGCCTCGTCGATTTAGCCGACATCGTCAATTCCGTCGCTGAAGCTATCACCAGCACATAGAATGGTAGACGTCATAGTTTATCCATCACCGACACTTTGCGTATCAGTTAGCCTCCTGCGGTGATGATTTACAGGCACAAAACACCAAGCTATTCCTGTGCAGAGTAGTCCCGGATAGCTCATAAAAGTGACAGGGCTCATCTCTCCGCTTAATCTTAGCGTATCAGCTCAGTATCTTAGGTAACGATTTGACGAGAGCGACAACACAAAAGCTACAATCGCGGCTGAGCAGATGCACGCGAGCAATGTGCCGCGCACAACCGACAAAGACGGTTCTTTCATCAGCGTCCTTTTATTCGTATCAATTAACTTTTGGACCGCAGCCACAGTGGGCGTATGCATATGCAAAAAAGAGACAAAGAAAGGGAAAAAATCCCAATGGCAGCTGCTCCACTGCCGGCTGTACCGGGGCAGAAGCCCTTGTTTACTTGCAATTTTGCCTATCCATGGCGCCTCCGATGACAAGCATCATCGAGTCGTAAGCGTAGCCTTAGTTGCCATACGAAGCTCCCACTGCCCTGTCCAACCACGTCTTTGCCAATGCCTAGAATCTCGCTTTCAGCTGACAGCCATGCTCGCGAATCCCTCGACGGTTCCCGAAGGGGGTAAGACCGAGAGACTATGCCTCCGCCTTGCAAGGGAAAAAAGAAGCTATTCAATCCTTGCGAGGGCTTGCCGTCCTGTCGTCCGGCGTGAAGGAGCATGATGGCGTAGCAGTGGATGCAACGTGATGCTACTTTATGCAAGAAAACTGTTTCAGAATCCGCATTGGCCCGAGACGATACCTAAAGCTCCATCACGGAGAGGGGAAACTACCTACCAAGGCACATGTAATTGGAGCATGAGAAAGAAAAACACACGACGTCAAGTGCACGCCCCAAAGTAAACAAAGCCAGCGCGTCGGGTTGCTTTACCCCGCAATCTGCCCGGCAACCAGGGTCTCTGAGCCGCGAAATCACGTGTGTGCGTCGCTGCTATTATTTCGTGTGTATCCTAGGTTAGGTACCTAAATGCTTCAATGAAAGCTTTTGGTTGTTGCTTTCACAATAGCTGTATGCTGAGTTATTGGTATTTAGAATTGTGTAATGGGTACACGATATTAAACATACTTGTGCTTCACTGATATGGCGTGAGTAGAATGTTAAACAGCCTCCTAACGTATTGGCCATTGGCGCATGAATCTTCTCTGGTCTCGGCGCGTCAGATATACTACGATACCACAGCACTAGGTCGCTAGGAAAACTCCTAGTGAGCGAAATGAGTACGTATACAGTGTTCGATAGTGGTGAGATTCTCACCAATTTCCTAACTAATTAGTAATATCTCGAACCTCGCGAAATCTCTTTGATGCCGCAATGCGACTCCAAATACTACTTGCAACAGAAACTTCAGTACTTCAAAATTTGTAGTGCGAAGCTCACTCCCGGAATAGTAACATGTGAATGTTTGCATGTGGAGAAAGATGGGGTCCGCTATGTGGGGCCATGAGAGCGGTGAAAATTGGCAGAATCTTTTTATCGTGGAATTTTCTAATCTATCACGAAGATAATGGTAGCAGTCGCATATAGAACGACATATTAACATTGTATCTTTTCACTCTAAAATAATTCATCATGGGCAGCAAAAGAAAGCGCGGAGCCAAGGAGGCTCCCATTGCGACCGCCAATGCGCAAAAAAAGGCCAAGAATGTCGCCTCCCCCATCGTCCCTGTTGTCGCAGCCGCAAAGCCGCCATTGGAAAAAGCTCCCTTTGTCGAAACTCCCACAATCGAAGAAAGGAAACGCGAGGGCCTACTATACGAACATCTCGGCAGCGAGGATGACAACGACCGAATTGAAGCCGCTGATTGTATCATATCCGGCCTTCTTGGAGACGAGGGTGTTGCCGAAGCAGTGCTGCAAAGACATCTCGACCGACGACTCTTCCGAGGACTTGCTAGTGGTCGCAATGCTTCACGCATTGGCTTCAGTCTGGTCATCACCGAGATTCTCAGTCAGCTGTTTGGAGATAAGGAGCCGAGCCTGGCAAGAAAATACCCCGGATTGACCTTTGATAAGGTGCTGAGTTTCTTGCTGGAGAAGGCCCAGATTGTCGGCAACATTCCCGGCCAGGAAGAGCGCGACATTTTCTTCGGCCAGTTATTTGGTATCGAGTGCTTTGTCAAGTCTCGTACCCTATTTTCAGAACCTTCGAGATGGAACACAATACTGGAAGAGCTATTGAAGCTGAGCAACAAGAAAGTCTGGCTGAAGTCGCAATGCGGATGGGTTCTCGTCCAGGCCTTGCAGCAAATGAACCAAGCGCAGGCCAAAGCTACGCTCGAGAAGCTCTCAAGCGCCGGAGTGGCCAAGACTCCCGAAGGAGTTGCCGTCTGGCTGGTTGCGCTTAACCAGTGTCCCGATCTCAGAGTCAAGCCTTGGCAACATCCTCTCTCAAGAAAGACTCTCGGTGACTTGACTGCCATCTTGAAGGAAAGCTTCAATGACTCTAGCAAAGATCCTTCCAGTAATTCTCGAAACAACCAACAAGCCTCTTGGACAGCTCAACTGCATTTCGTTTGGGACCTCATCCTCAATCACTATCTCAAGGCTGGAGACTCTGAAGTAGAAGATTTTGCTCATTTCTGGGGCCGAGTTGTTGACGGTAAGAGTCTACTTATGCATGTTTTATACACGCAGATGCTAATTAACTATTAGATGGATTATTCTCCAAGCAGGCTACTGATGGTCAAAAGTTCAAGGGCTTCACTGTTTTCCAAAAATTCCTCGAGGGTTGCGTAGTACATCACTCGCTACTACAGATTCTGTTCAGCAAGAACCTCATGACCTCGCTTATGAACCAAGCTGCAAAGGAAGATCGGTACCTGCATCGGGCAGCCATAAAAACATTAAAGGCCATCGAGGGTGCGGTGTCCTCTCACCCAAGTGCTCTGGTTCCCGTTCTCGAGAGTCTCTTGAGCAGGAATGGAGCTTACAACTTTGATCAACGCACAAGCACAAAAACAGTCGACAAACTACTGCAGAGTTTCAGCCTGGAAAACGACAAGGGAACTCTGAAGATTATACAAGCTCCTATCCCCAGCCTCGCACAGCAGGAAGTCTTGGAGGCCCAGACCATTCTAAGAGTTCACATCGACTACTTGTCCAAAGTCCTGGGTGCTTGTGCTTCGCTCAACACGAAAGAGTCTCAGTCCAACAAACTGGAGGGCACCTCAATTAGTGTTACACTGCAACAGCTATCACGCCTTGCCTATTCTCAGCCAGACGACATCCCGAAGGATGCCTTGACAGAGCAGATCCAAGAGCTTGCTCGGTCCCGATTGGAATCCGCGCTTGCGAAGCTGACTCGCCAAACGTCCGACTTTGTCACTTTCTGTCAGGCAGTCGCCTCTATCGACTCAAGCGCAGTGACCATGTCTGAGGAAATCAAGGCAGCTATCGAAGGCGCGTTGTCAAGAATGCATAAGCTCCTAAAACAGAAGACAAAGACCGATAACGACAAGACGTTAACTCAGGGATTGGCAATGCTGCATGCTATTTCAATTTTCCAGCTGTATAACCAAGATCCTGATGCAATGGAAGTACTGGACGATCTGGCACAGTTCCACGAGAGGCTTCAAGAAGGCAAACTCGGTGACGACGACACCGGTAGCTCAGAGTTTCTGGTCGAAATATTACTGTCCATGGTGGCTCGCCCTTCCTCATTAATGCGACAGATATCCCAGCAAGTGTTTGAGGCTTTCACTACGCAGATCTCGGCTGGTGGCCTGGAGCTGCTGACTGGACCCCTAGGAACCAACGAGAGCACCAAGGGCCAGAAGGAACTCTTCAACACGGAAGATGACGGCATGGATATCGACGGAGAGGATTCTGACGACGACGAAGATGATGATGTGGAAGAAATCTCAAACGTTGATATTGACTCTGACGTTGAGTTCATTGGTCTCGCCGATGGCGAAGAAGCCGATGGCGACGCAGAAGAGGACGGCGAGGATGATGAAGAAGAAGAAGACGACGATTCAGACGACAACGATGATGGGGAAGACGAGGACGACGAGGAAGCAGACGAGAAAGAAGGCCCCATAGACCTCGACGAGCTCATGGGCTCAATCCTCAAAAGCCACCGCCTCGACAAGGACGCCGACGCCGAGTCCTCCGAGGACGAGGGCGACATGTCCGACTCGCAAATGTTCGCCCTCGAGGACAAGCTCGCCGAGGTCTTCAAGCAGCGCGCAAAGGCCCGCCCGGACAGCAAGAAGCAGAAGAAGGACGCCAAGCAGTCCGTCGTAAACTTCAAGCACCGCATCCTCGACTTTCTCGACATTTACATCCGCAACGAGGTCCTCAGCCCCCTCGGCTTTGCTATCCTCATTCCGCTGCTTAATCTCATGCGCACTACTACTACCAAGACGCTTGCTAGCCGTGCGTGCGAAATTATCTTGAATTACCAGAGGGGCATGAAGAAGGCGAGGAGTGGCAACAAGGACGCCGCAGAGGCTGAGACGACACCGACTTACGATGCTGAGGAGCTGCTCTCCGTGTTAGTCGAGGTCCACGATGAAGCAGGCAAGGACAACGCGCACGCATACGCCAAGGCCGCCAGCGCCGCCAGTCTGATTGTGGCCTCGGCCATGTTCGCCTCGGATAAAGAGCTGGTGAAGCGGGCGGCGGCTGTGTATGCAAAGACGCAGTCGGACTGGGTTCTGGGCCAGGCCAAGCTGCAAAACTCCTTCTTTGCGGATTGGAACAACTGGTGCCAGAACCACGCGTCTCAGGGGCGTAATTGATACCCATGTAAATTAGACTTGAACCGGGAAAAAATGGGATAGAGCTTCGCATTACGATAAGTTAAACAGCAAACATTAAAAGCAAGAAATAAAAGAAAGCAAGAAACGTGTGAGGGAGAGACGGTGATTTTGTGTCTCGTTACGGATATCTCATCCAGAGGAAGCATTACTCTATGAGCCCTCTTGTCGTGAATAATACATTGTGACCCGGACACCCAAAAGAATTAAAACTCCTTTATTTAGTCTTCCATCTTGTCCTCATCCTTCTTTTCTTCCTCTTCCTCGTCATCAGACTCGTCTTCAGCCCGCGCTAACCTCTCTGCCTCCTCTCTCAGCTCCTTGGGAACCTCGACATGCCGTCCCTTGGTGGGGCCGTCGACTGTGCTGATCCAGGTCATCTCCAGCTCAAACTCCTTGTCCTTGTTATCCTTGTGGGCAATGTAGATGATTCTCGCGGCCTGCTTGACGGCCTCGAGCAGGGTAATGTTCCCCGCTGGCAGATCCAGCTTCTCCAGCTCGGCCTTGGCAGCTTGCCTGCCCTTGCCCGTCGCCGCTCCGTAGTATCCCCAGTACAGGCCGCTGGGCTCGATCATGTAGAGGAAAGGACCGCCGTGTTTGCCGGGCACCTTGCCACCGGCACCGACCGAGGGCCCTGAACCGACCTCGCCGTCTACGGGAGTCTCTTCTGAGGTGTCGACGCCGCCAACGATGGCCGTAATGCCGAATGGACGCACGGAGCCGTACATGGTGTATGCCTGGAGGTAGCCGCCCATGCGGGAGGCAAGGTCGGCTGTGGGGATGGGGGTCTTGAAGTTCTGGCGCCAGCTCTGAGCTTCGTCTCGAGCACGGTCGACGAAGTGGCGGCCATCGGGGATCATGCCTGAGTATACCTGGGACCTGGTGAGCATTGCGGCATCATAGATTGAGTATGGACATCGTGGGGTGTACGTACTGCGCCGACATGGCTGTCAATGCTGGCAATTCGCTTGTTTGCACCCGGCTTCTGCAGCTTAGATGCGACAATCTTCTCGACAGCCAGGACAACGCCGTCCTTGCACCGGATGCCGATTGAGGTGCCGCCGTTTTCTACCGCCTTGACGGCATATTCGACCTGGAAGTTTCGTCCATCGGGAGAGAAGATGGAGTTGAGGAGATCGTAACCCGTGCCGATCGACGTCTATTCAAAGTGGCATGTCCCCAGTTAGCTTCTTGCTCAGAGCTGCTGCAAGTGCACGGCACCGCAGCAATGCCCAGTGGTTGGAGACTTTACCATGATTGCCCCGAAGCTCTGCTATAAATTGTTGACCACAAAAAGATGGAGGATGTCGTCGAGATTCGGAATGGTGGAGGGGTTCAGAGTCGAGATGGGCGGTTTGGCGGGCTTTGGCTTGGAGCTCCAGCCAGGCAGCCTGAGAGCTGCGTAGTTGCAATCGCCCGCACAAGGCTGGACGCAGCGGTGCCTGAGGCGCAAAGAAATTGAACAAGGCTCAGCCACATGAGAGAGGGAGAGTCAAGCCACACCAGATGCTCAAGCCACAGGACGTCTGTTTTAGAGTAGCTCGGCGGGTTAGCTTTGCTTAGCTAAGGGAGCTGGTGGCTATGACGGGAGTGGCTTGATCTCATCCCGCAAATGACACCGCCACACCTGACGTTCCCACCTGGCTGGGACGATCCCTGCATATTGGTATCGATGAGATTAATTAGTGGTGACTGTGAATGACGCTACCTATTATTAGAGGATGGTTCGCAAAAAATGTGTTGATGTGGGAGGGGATCTCGTAGAGAAAATGTAGGTCAGTCCATTAGAGAGAAGATACGAGTATACTAGGGAGATATAGATCTAGTAGAGATATGGGTAAGTAGATGGAGGAATACTAAATATCCGTTCTTTGCCTACCTGTCCGGTTACAAAGTAATTTGAGACCCGCTTCTTTTGTCTTCCATTTAGCTCGGAATTCATGCTTTCGATTCCATGATTACGACGGACGGATGATTACGTAGTGACGAGTGTCAAGAGACCATACAGTGTCGACTCCGTAGAGTATAAGAAAGTGCACTCCAATAATCTCGCCGTCTGGAGTCCAGATTCACGTCCAAATGGTGGTTTGTCATGGCTCGTATTTTGCATCTCGCAAAGCGCGGGATGAGCGTGGGAGCTGACGCATGGGGGACACACTCTGGGGTTGTGAGTGTTGGATGCATGCAACCTTGTTAACGACGCACATTTGGCTATATCTCTAGTTGGAGCCCACGCTGTCCATCAGGCGAGGTGAGGTGATGAGCGATAAAAGGGGGCGTTTTGCTCCGGCTTTTGCCACCGGTTTGCATGGTCATTAAAACGGGCATTCATTTACTTTAGTGTTGATATAGCATGACATTTGAAAGGCCTAGCAGGTAACACTCCCGTATTGCTCATAAACTTGGCTGGAATTTAGCATGGATGAAACATAAGCCACCAGCGCCAGTGCTCGTCTACCTGATATTGATCGTCAACAATACCATCCCGCGCGGTACCCAATACTCGCCTCCCGCAGCGCATGATTGCATTCTTTGGGCTCCTGTCAGGTCCATCCACCTGCCGCTCTGGTACCTGGATGCTCCAGGCCAATGTCCCTCGGCTGGCCAATGCCTAAACGAGGCCCAAAGCGCCTGCGTCACAGCCACTGAACGTGCCCGTCTGGACCTTCCTCATGACCCGGGCCCCCCTCTCTCCTTCCCGTTGAACAGCGCTATCCACAATCCACACATCACACAAATCAAATCAGTGACACATGGTGACCTTGACCCCAACATTTCATTTCCATTCTCACCCGACATACATCATGGACATGCCTTTCATGCCTCAGGTTGAGTATATATACTTGACTTGATACCAGACGGCGTCTTTTTGTTCTCTCTTCCTTCTTCCACTCTTCTCTCTGCTTAGCTGCTGCTTCGCTGCATCTCTTGCATATCTTCAGTGCTCTCTTGCTTCTACCCCGCCGGTTCCAAGCTTCTTCGTGCTTCTCGCTTCTGCTCTCTTCCTGCACCGGCTCGGCTGGCCTCCACTTATCCAATTTGAAACAATCACCGCCGTTCGCTGGCATCCCGCCGATAGTTTCCGCTAGAGGCGCTGAGTTGTCTCTGACCCCTCGCCTGTTCTTGCGACCCTGCAGCCCAATATCCTGCTAGCACGCTGTAGTATCCGCTTCTAGGCACGAACGAATCTGCAGCCGCCCAGCCAGGAATTGCAAAAAAAGGAGTCCAAGGAATCTTTTTTGTTTCCTCACTTCCTCCTGACCTCTTGCCTTGCTTAAAAACCCTTTGCGACTTGACACCTCGCCTTGACATTATCCTAGTGTAGTGCAATAGAACAAGCCAAGTTTCTTCCTCTTGCAGCCTCTTGCTTGCCGTCACACCCCGAGCGTGTGTTCTTGTCTCTTTTTGATACCCAACCTAAGCCATCGCTCCCCAATCGGAGGGATTTACACAACCCGGAGCAATATAACGCTGCAGTATCTCGTTGGACAGTTTAACTGGAACACCAGCAGGTATCTCCAAGTCGCTTTCTTTGTACTGCATCTTTTATTGAAGCATCGTCGAGACAGTCACCAGGTACTTACTCAGTACGAAGTGTTGTTGTGCTACCTATCTAAGCCGTCACTATCGTGTCCATACCTAAATGCATGCACTTACATACACCTGCCTACATACACCCTCTCATCTTCCGGGACCCTGACGCTAACTCTTTATCTTGCAGCAAAATGGTATCACTGCAGGCCAATATGCAGGTCCATGATGACCTTGCAGCGCTCTTCTCACGGAATATGACCTTTAACCCGGAGGCGGTTCCCAAGGAGATGCCTCAGGAAATGGTCGTCTCTGAACAGATGAACCAGCCGATTATCTATGCTATATCACAGCACTACAACCACTCCGCTCATATCGCCAAACCCCAACTCCAAAACCAAGACTCGCAGAGGCACTCATCGGAGCCACCACAGAGTGATGTCGTTTCATCCGAGACGATATTACGGACACATGGCGTTGATCCGGTCACCCTGACGCCCTCGCAACTGCAGCTCTTCCGCATAGCCGATGCTACTCAAAAGAGAAGGCTAGTTGAACTATGGAGCATCTGCCCTCCGAGCAGCGGCGGAGATATCCCAGCTCTTGCTTGGAGCAGCACAACGATGGAGCAGGAGGAGCACCTGGCTCAGCTACGTTATCAGCAACAGCAGAACAACCATGTCATGAGCCTGGATGGCACAACAGTTCAGGCCTCAAACAGCACGTGGGTTCACCAAGCTACCCAAGAGAGCGAGCCTTACATGATGTCTGGATATGAGGAGATTATGCGACGAGAGCGGGAGCGTGAGGAGGCCAACTCCCGCCCAAAGGATGCTTATAGCCACTTTGGCACCTCTGTCGGCGGTCCAAGCTATAACCCTTCTACAGACCCCGTCTATCTTGGCGCTGACTATGCTCGACACCAACTACAGATGGCTTTGGCTGAGCAGTATGGCTCTTTTGAACAACATCGGGGAAATCAGGCAGTGGACGTTATGGACATGTAATGTTAGAAAACATACAATATAGCAAAACGCCGACACGGCCCAGCCCGTGGTAACAGGCGCGGTTAGATAGCAGCGCAGGCTAGCTCTGGAGGATTCTTTTCTTTTGTCGGATTGGTATGGATGGCTGAGTTTTTAGGCTTTTAACAAGTTTTGTTCTTTTGTATGAATAAGGGGAGGAAATGTACTTTGGAAGGGTGGGCTGGTCTTGGGGTACTTTTCGAGTTCATGTTTCAAACTCTTTCTCTCCTGTTTCCCCCAAAACTCTTCTTTGTTTCAACTAACCCCCCCTTTAATTCCCCCTATATACCCCCTTTCTTGTGATGGTCGCAGTGAGGGCTAACGGCTTTTTCTACAGAGGGTCATGGTGAATGTTGTGGCGTGAGTTGAGGTATGTATCCTTCCCCCTTATCCCCTCTACTCCATCTGTAGAAGTCTGGGAACCCAATGATGGCCATACAAGCCGGACGTAGAACAATTATTTCAAAATACTTTTAATATAACAATTTTCCAATTTCATAGTTTTTTTAGTTTTACAATTGTGATTTGTGATTTTTTGTGTTGTGTGGCACCTACCTATCATAACGCTTGCAATGGGTGTAGAGGACATACTAAGGGAACGTTCATCTTTGATGGATTACTTTACATATGTATGAGACATGAAAACTACCGAGTTCTAAAAGGGTATCGATTTTTTCATTGAGTAGTGGATAGAGGAAGACGGTGTGGAAGAGCGTGGAGAGCGGGAGTATATGTGTAGAAGTGTTGTGCGTGTATGTGAAATGTCTAACAAAACCAACTCGTGAAAAAAGAAGCAAGGAGGACAAAAAAGGAGAGGGGAGAAATTTTGACGTTAGAGCTGAGTGCCTTCCAATTTCTTTGCCAAGTCGTCCACATCCTCGTCCTGGCGCTGGGCTATGGGCTGCTTCTGGGCTGCTTCGGCGTCCTTGATGAACTTCTCGGCCTTCTCCTTGACTTCCTCCTCCTCCTCCTCCTCCTCCTCCTCACTTTCCTCCTCCTCCTCGCTTTCCTCCTCCAGGTCGCTCAGGCTGTCAACACCCCACTCATCCTCAATGATAATGTCGCCGGCATATTGCTCCTTTCGCTCCTCAAGGAGTTCCTGCAATATGGTAATGGCGTCCTCGTCTTCGGTGAACTTGTTGCCGTTGAGCTCGATTCGTTTCAGCGCCGGGAGTGCAGCCTTGGCGGCGTTGGCCAAAGCCCTGACACCATCAGCCTTGATCTCGTTGTACTGCAGACGCAGAGTCTCTAGCTTCTTGTTCTTGCCCGTTAACAGGGACTTAGCAAGCAGCCGAGCGCCCTTGTCACTCAGCAGAGAGTCACCAACTCCAAGCTCTTGGATATCCTCCCAGTTCGTAACGACCTTGGCGAGGGCCTCGGCTCCCATGATGGTGAAAGTGTTGTCCTGCAGGTCCAGGATTCGGAGCTGGCTGGCGGTGTTGAGACCTTCACTAAGCAGACGGGAGATACCCTCCTGTCGAATTCCGTTTTGCACCATCTTGATCTCCTGGATATTGTTGTGAAGGCTATAGGCCTTGGCCCAGGCCGCCATACTGCCGCTTTCGAGTCGATTCCGGCCACAGATGACAGTCTCGAGGTCGGGCACCTGCTTGCCCTCCTTGCGAGCCGCCTCCTTCTTGGCGTGGAGTTCTGAGAGCGCATCGGCGACAAGGATGCCGGCGTGAGGGCCGAGGCCGTTGTTGTTCAGGTAGAGGTGCTGCAGGGGCACGTGGGCGGAGAGGAAAGCCACGAGCGGGGCCTGGGTGTTGAGACCGAAGGCGTTGTCGTTGAGGTTGATGGTGGTGAGGTGGGGATGGTTTAGGATAGCGGTGAGAATGGCAGAGATACCGGCGGGAATCTCGTTGAGCAATCGGCCGGTGAAGAGATCGGCGAAGTTTGCGGACTGTGGTTTGTTGTTATGTTAGCAACTGCCGTCGTTTTTCTCCTGTTTCAAAGGAGGGGCATCTCGGGAGGCTGCATTACCTTGAGGCTCTTCTTGGTGGCCAGGACCTCACCAAGGCGCTCGCACGCACCAACACCCAGCGTGTTTCCCAGGAAGCGAACCTCCTCGACATCCTCGAGCGCGACCAGCGCAGCAATGTGAGGCTCGATGTCCTGGGCGGTGTCGAGCTTGAGCCCCTTGCCCTCAAGGGAGAAGATCTTGGACGAGGCCATTTTGCAGGCGAGCGAAAATGCGGAAAGCTAATGCGTATGATGTCTAGCAGATAAAAAGGCGGGAGGCGCGCGAAGCAAATCAGGAGCGGCTTTGTGGGGAGGCTGCGAGCCCTGTGGGAGATTTTTTGGGTGAGGCTTCGCTTTTTGAGACTGGAGTGAAATGATTGATGGAACGAATTGTTTTGACTATGGTGGGGGCGGGGCAACGGGCGGTGCCTGGCTTCTGGTTTGCCTGGGCAACCTGCAGCGGACGAGGCTGTGGCTGCGACAGTGTACCAGACGGTACGAGGAAATTTCAGGTAGTGTTACAGGGGGGTGGAAGAATGGATGGCTTTAGCGGTCTTTGCCAGCTGCGAGACAGCCGTAAGACAGCTGGCAGAATCTCAGTTAGTGGGTGGCCAATCACTGCCACGCATTACTCGTACCTCCAAGTATCCCGAAGTCCAGCTTGGCTCCCCACCTTTCCGAGCAACATCCCATGCGCACGTGACTTGAACCAATCAGCGTCGGTCCATTTCGGAACGATGGATTTTCTCTATCAACTTCTCCCGCTGAGCCCTTTTGGAACCCGAGATCGAGACCATCGCCCTCACTCTTTGATTGCGGCTCCCCCTGCGGCTTCGCTACAGCTTGCCAATTATGTTGGCAAGGTCGTCTTTGCGCCCGGCGCGCCTCCTCAATGGGCTTCGAAATGGCGCCGTCAACGTCTCCAAGGTGGGTGAAGATGCCACAAGCTCCCAAAAACCCGTTGCCTCGCCTCGAGGCATTGCCGAGGGCTGAGCAGCTGCCTGCACCGCAAACCCTGCAGCCATTGCCGCCCGAGATGCTTCAATCGCATCAGCAGCGTATCAAACACGACCATGGAAGACCTGGAGCTGACCTTTTTTCGTCTCTTGTAGCGTGCTGCCTCGACGAGCTCGGAAGCTCCCACCGCGCGCATGAACCTCGCCGCTATTGCTTCCACCACCCTCGCCGCCGGCTCCATGGCCTGGTACTACCATCTCTACGGACCCGTCGCTTTTGCTTCGTCCCCTGCTGAGGAGGGGTATGTGATTTTTCCCGCTGCCGAGTGCTTCGCATCAGACGCTTGCCACAAGTGCCCTGATGCGGCATAAAAATGCTTCCTCTGCCGATTATTGTTCAGGCGGCCAATTGCTAACGGATTTGGCTGCAGTCTCCACGCTACTCAGTACCCTTGGGTTCACCAGCAGTTCTTCAAGACTTTTGACCACCAGGCGTAAGTAATACCCTTTTTCTTTCCCCACCAGAGAGATGGTAGCTTGAAGGAGCTCTACCGCTTACACCCGGGTTTTATACAGTCTCCGACGTGGTTTCCAGGTCTACCGTGAGGTCTGCGCCAGCTGCCACTCCCTGTCCCGAGTCCCCTACCGAACTCTCGTCGGTACCGTCCTGACCGTCGACGAGGCCAAGGCCCTGGCTGAGGAGAACGAATACCCCGATGAGCCCGATGAGCAGGGTGAGATCCCCATGCGACCCGGAAAGCTGGCCGACTACATTCCTCCTCCTTACAAGAACGACGAGGCTGCTCGATTTGCCAACAACGGTGCTCTTCCCCCGGATCTGAGCTTGATTGTCAAGGCCCGCCACGGTGGCTGCGACTACATCTTCAGCTTGTTGACTGGTTACCCTGAGGAGCCCCCGGCTGGTGTCCAGGTCGCCCCCGGCATGAACTTCAACCCTTACTTCCCCGGCACTGGTATTGGTATGGCTCGTGTTCTGTACGACGGTCTTGTTGAGTACGAGGACGGCACTCCCGCCAGCACCTCCCAGATGGCCAAGGACGTTGTCGAATTCCTCAACTGGGCCGCCGAGCCTGAGATGGACGACCGCAAGAAGATGGGCATGAAGGTCTTGGTTGCCACCACCGCTCTGTGGGCCATCAGCGTCTACGTAAAGCGATACAAGTGGGCTTGGCTCAAGTCCAGGAAGATTACCTACGACCCCCCTGCGGAGACCAAGGTCCGCCGATAGGGGAGGTGAAAAATTCCCTGTGTGTATGTGTATACTACTAGTCTCCTCCTTAGAAAAAAAAAGCTCTTTTGTTGGTGGAGGCGGGTAAAATGGATGGGTTGTTTCAGACACGATGTGATGCATGTATGTTGGTGACGAGCGGTGTTAGAGCTTTTAAAGAAGAAAAAAATCAGACGCCGTTTTAATGCTACTTGTCTCTTTTCTGGTGTTTGTTGAGGGAGATGTGAAGTGAAGACTGTAGTTGCTGTGAGTAAATCGCAGTATGAATATATGTGTTAGAATTATGAAAGAAAACTGCTCGTAGGTTCATGAGACTTGCACAGTAAATGGCTGGACGACCAGTAGATGAATTATCACGAGCGCTAGCATTTTTAATGTTTACATCCTGTAGGTAAAAGTTCAATGCTTCTTGTGAATTTATTCTTATTGAATGAGCACTACTTATTTGTTTTATATGCCGAGGTAGCTATTTTCTGGACGGTGGCTATTAACTTGTCTGCTCGACTGTAAACCAATTGATTGTGGAAGTAAGAACACCTCGTTCAAAAAGACTAATTTTTTCCAACAAAGACTAGTTTATCATGGAAACAAAGCTCTGAAAATAATATGTCTCACCTCATATGAAATATTACGAATATTCATAATACTCTTCACGATATATGCAGTGAGAAATCCTACCCTTGGCTGACTAGAGGTACATCCATATTACAGGTAGCCAAGCCGGCAGGGCCACCGCGCCAACCTCCAATAGAATCGCCCCAACTCGTCACAACGCAGCTGAATCGTAATTCACCCGGTGATTAAGCCGGATCATCAGGTCCATGCCATCCAAGAAAAAAAATCGCACCTTGTTTCTGACATTCCTTTCCTTCCACCTCGGCCTTTTTCGTCTTTTCTTCTCTCTTGTCCTCTACGACGAGACGGCGATAAATTCGTCATTCTCAATCGTCCAGTCCTTCGTTTTTTCTCTCGCCTCGCGCTGCTTGTTGCGTTCTCCAAGCGTCGAGCTCTACATCTTTCGTCCATCATTACCTGAGCTATCTTTCGCTCCCTTGCGCCTGCCAGACCATCGCCAGCAACACGCTCAATTCTCATCCGACCATGCCCTATGTCGGCGACGATGTCCATCGTGCGACGAAGCGCAAGTGGGATCACGACGGAACCGAAACGTTCAGATTATCGCATTCCGCCATCCATGTATTGAACCAGCACGCGGCTCCAGAGGGCGCCGATACCATCTCAACACGCAAGACGCTGCCCCCAACAAAACGATTCAGACCGATCCACGACGACGACAATGCTCATACATTCTCTTCGCATCGACGGACCACTTCTCGTGAACTGGCGCACGGCAAGGCACCTGTCAAAATTAGCGGCTTGGTTCTGATGCCGTGCCATGTTTGCCACCGCAGGCCCACCAAGAAATCCGACCTCGATTCTTTTGCCAAGTGTCAATCTTGTCAAGAACAGACGTGCTTTGTCTGCATGCGCGAGTGCCAGGGCCAGAACTTCAATAGAGAGCTAGTCTTGGAAGATGAGGATGTTCTTTCGCGATCCCTTCACATGGACGATGTCGACGATGACATGACACCTCCAATATCAGACACCAACACGCGGAAGGATTATATGGATGCCGACTCTAATGGACGACGGGGCGTGCCGGACAGCAGTACCCATCATGCGATGATTTGCAGTCGCTGTTGTGTTGAGAAGGGTGCCCAGGGCGAGGTTGTCTGTCTAGGATGTCTATCCGACACATACACCGCGTGATACCAAAGAGCAGCAGGACCATTCAAGAACACAAACAAGAGGCCGACATCTTCCGTTCATGACTGATGACGATTTCGATTACTACATAGCGCACTGTTTCTTTGCAATTGGGAGTAGGGAATGGGAAGGTAACTTGTTAGTTACCAGGGTATATATTGTATTGGTAGGGAGGGCATCACATGGGCTGGGCTTTCATAATTAATTCTTCTTCTTCTTTTATATAATTGGCATTTGCTTTTCATTTTATACCATTTTTGGCCGTGGATGGGGCATCAAGTACGCGATTGCATTTAGGACTGTCATTGAAGAATGACGAGATGGGTATGGACTTTGTTGAAATTCTCTACTAAGATATCAATACAAGAGGATGAATTAGCTGCTACTAGATTGATTGGATAATATTGATATGCATAACGTTCTTCAGAGACTCATACCGAGATTTCTCATCACTACATGGATTCTCACACTCGCTTCTGCTTTCCCTCTAAATGCGAGGCTGCATACATTTCATGTTTACTTAACACACTTCCATGACCTTGTCTCAGTATCATAACATAGACACCCTAATTGAAGTCTTGTTTAGTCCAATACTAAGCATCGTTATCTTGACCGGTAAGCCATGTCTCATACAAGTCATCCTCCCGCGATTGCTCATTCAAGTAATCTTCCAGCGATTGCTCATACAAGTCATCTTCCCGCGATTGCGAAAAGTAGCTCCTCCTTGGATTCACCTCCGTCCACGAATCAAGCATCTTATGTTCCTCCTCCGTCCAAGGGCTCAACGCCCTCTCCTTACCCTCAGGCTGCACCCCCGTCCCCTGCGATTCAACAACTCGCTTCTGCGACGCCTCAAACACGAAGTTCCGCCATCGAGTACTTTTGGAGGCGTATTTCTTGTACATGGCAGGTAAATATGCCACATCTCCCGCGCAGTACCGTAGTATCTCGGCAGGCAGCGGTCTCTTGTTGAAAGCGCTGTATGAGCCGCCCTTGTCCGGGTTCCATACACGGTCTCCTCGCTCTTTGCAAAGAGTCCATTCGCCTTTTTGCGCATTGGTCAAGGGTACGAATTGCATACACTTGGCTAGCCCGGAAAGTAACCTCCGTTGCTCTGTTCTCGGCCGAGCAGCGCTGTCCATGAGTTGCAAGTCCCAGACTCCTCGGAGATTCACCCCGTAATGGGCGAAGAGCGCCTCCGAATCCCTTCGGACATCGAAGAATACTTTTGATATCTCTGGTGCTTCAAGTATATTCTTTAAACTCTTGCCTCGCTCGCCGACGACTTTAAATGCTGTGTTTCCCAATGTATAAATGTCGATAACAAAGATATGCTCAAGTCTTTCGCCGGGATAGACGAGCACGGTCATCAGAGAGACACTCCCATTCCTACCGAGTTGTTCGCCTTCGAGGTCGATGTACAATGGAGGCTCAATGACTCTCTTCCAGGTGTCTTGACGATCTACAAAGTCGACAATTTGGGCAACCCCTGCCAGCGTGGTTACGAATTCGGCCTCTTTTCTTCCGGGCATTGTTGTAGCAATAATTCGTGAAGGAAGACACGTTTAGTATGCGAAAATAGCTTGGTAGGTTAGATACATTACGCTCTATGAGGTCAAAAATAGGATGGCCGTTTATGTGGCTTATATCGAGGCTTGATTCGGCTTGCATCAGGCATGTCACCGGCAGCCAATGGGATAGACTACGCCACTCAAGGTCCAATACTACTCCGTAGATTGGTCAGAGTTTCTAGATGGATGCATGTGCAAGTTGAGCTTCATATACGACATAGATACACCTAAAAATCATCAATCTTGGCACTTGATTGCGAAGAACTTAAAGCATGGGAGGATTTATATGATTCTTATTTTATAGACTCAACATGCCAACTGCTCGTAAACGCCAATTTCTATTCCCCTTGGGGCGCAAGATGTTTGGGGACGTCCCCTGGTTTGCCGGTATTTATTCATATACCAATAACATTAAGAAGACTATTTAGTTGTATTGCATGTACGTCGCTGTTGAGTTGAACTTGAGATTGCCTTTGATGACCTTGTCCACCGCGTCCAAGAAATCCTTCTCCGAGGCAACCTTTCTCCGGGCTCGGATGGCAAACATGCCTGCTTCGGTGCACACACTCCTCAATTCGGCACCGGTAGCGTTGGGGCAGAGACGGGAGATGAGCTCCCATCGGATGTCTCGCTCAACTGACATGCTCTTGGCGTGGATTCGGAGGATGTTGGCACGGCCCTCGAGGTCGGGCAGCGAGAATTCAATCTTGCGGTCGATACGTCCAGGTCGCATCAGGGCGGGATCTAATGTGGACGGTCTGTTGGTGGCGAACATGACTTTGATGTTTCCTCGGGCGTTGAAGCCGTCCAGCTGAGTAATGAGCTCCAGCATGGTTCGCTGGACCTCGTTGTCACCACCGGCACCATCGTCAAATCGAGCACCACCGACGGCATCAATTTCGTCAAAGAAGATGATGCATGCCTTCTTTGTCCGGGCCATCTCGAACAGCTCTCGAACCATTCTAGCACCCTCGCCGACGTACTTTTGAACAAGCTCGCTACCAATGACTCGGATAAAGGTGGCATCTGTTCTGTTTGCAACAGCTCTGGCACAAAGCGTCTTTCCGGTTCCGGGAGGGCCGTAGAGCAATGCGCCCTTGGGGGGATCGATACCGAGGTTTGAGAACCTCTCTGGAGAGAGCAGGGGCATCTCGACAACCTCTCGCAGCTTCTCAACCTGCTCTTTGCAGCCACCAACATCACCGTACGTAACGTCTGGCTTCTCCTCGACCGTCATCATGGTAACGCTGGCATCGATCTTGGGTGGCAGCGGAAGCATGATCTGGTATTTGTTGCGGTCGACACCAACTCGCATGCCCTCCTCGATATCCGTAGGGCTGACTCGGTCGCCAAGCTGGACGACAAACTTGGCAATCTGCTTGACGTTGATGATATACTTGCTCTTCGACTCGTCGCCCTTATCGTCCGCAATGATCTTTGTGCAACGTGCCACCTGGAAAGGCTGCTCTTCAGACATTCGCTGTCGATCGGCGGCTACATCCCATAGATGCGGCGGTGCGAGACCAGTATCGGACTCCTGTATCAACACGTTAGATAGCCGCAGATGCATCGCAGTTGCGCTGACTCATACCTTGATGCCAATCTTCTCATCTACGCTCTGTTGTTTCTCTTTGATTTGCTTCTCGAGCTTTGAGATGGTCGATGCATATGGGGCCGCACCGTATGTCTTGAGAACTTGAATATCCCTGGCTTCGGGTTAGCATCCCCAACAGCTTCGAAACGGCACTTCCAACACGAGGCGTCCCGTACTCATCGGTGAGGGGTGTGATCTTCTTCTCCTCTATCTCATCGTCGGCGAATTTCTTGGTGTATTTCTCCCAGTTTTGACCGGTCGCAGAAGGCTATGGCAGTTAGTAATGGCCAGTATTTATCTAGCCCAGACAGGTTGCCTTACCATGATGGGCTCTGCGGACTGGACGCAACGTCCGTAGAATTAAGGCGTTTATGGCGTATAAAAGAGTATATTCGAGGGATTGTGAGCTCTTCCAGAGTAATCGTTTGGTCCGTTCGGGGAAGGAAGAATCGCTGGTCGTGATGCGCGTTTGGTATGATGGTGATGCAGCTTGTGAAGGTCATGGAAGCATTCCGTAATCTGGAGTTGCCTTGAGCTTGCCGCATGGAGCCCGTCGCTCGGACCCTGCTGAGCTAATGCCAGCCAATTGAAGCGGGCGGGCAGGGGATGTACCGCCGGAGCATGGATTATCTCTCGCGCCGACTCCAAAATTTCCGTTACCAATATGGCGGAGTAGGGCAGCCAAGGTGGGATGTCAACCAGGCTCCAGGAACCCGCGAACTTGCTTCTCAACAAAGCTCGCCGTGAACGTGGCTTTTCGGAGATTGGCTTTGCATCCCCCAAGAGATAAACACAAGTCTCCAGAATGTCTGCACCGGCTGTTTCGGGCGGCGAGTCCAAGAATGTCGCCTTCAAGGTAAGGAGAAAAAAAATCCAAAGCTAACACGCCTCTCGAGCTCCTGAGCTGCCCCGCTAACCCATGGACACAGGACAAGGAGAAGCCCATGGCGGTGCGCTCGTCCAACATTGTCGCTGCCAGAGGTGTGTATCCTCATTCGAAACACGGTGGTTCGATCTGCTAATGAAAAATGTAGCCGTCGCCGATGCAATCCGAACGTCTCTCGGCCCTCGAGGCATGGACAAGATGATCCGCAGTGGAAAGGGGGAGACGATTATTACAAATGACGGAAACACCATGCTCAAGAGCATGTCCGTCATGCACCCTACGGCAAAGATGCTGGTTAACCTGTCAGGAGCCCAGGATGTCGAGGCTGGTGATGGCACAACCTCCGTTGTTGTCATCTGCGGCAGCCTTCTCGGCGCCGCTGACCGACTGCTGTCCAAAGGCATCCACCCCTCCGTCATTTCAGAGTCCTTCCAGAGAGCGTCCGCCGCCGCCGTCGAAGTCCTACACGACATGTCCCAGCCCATCTCCCTGACCGACAACGCCTCCCTCCTCCAGGCTGCCAACACCTCTCTATCATCCAAGATTGTGTCTCAGTACTCGAACCTTCTCGGCCCCATGGCTGTCAATGCCATTACCAAGACCATCGATGTTAAGACTGCAGAGAATGTGGACCTCAACAACATCCGCATGATCAAGAGGGTGGGAGGAACAATTGAGGACAGCGAGCTGGTCGATGGCCTCGTTCTTACACAACCTGTGCTGAAGAACGCCGGTGGTCCCATTAGAATGGAGAAGGCCCGTATTGGTCTTATCCAGTTCCAGCTCAGTCCTCCCAAGCCTGACGTAAGTCTTGAGTATCAGTTGACAGCTTCAATTTGTATACTTGTGCTAACTTGCCGCAAAGATGGAAAACACGATCCAGGTCAACGATTACCGCCAGATGGACAAGATTGTCAAGGAGGAGCGATTATATCTTTTGAACATGGCCAAGAAGATCAAGAAGGCTAAGTGCAACGTGCTATTGATCCAAAAGTCCATTCTTCGCGATGCCGTCAACGACCTTTCCCTACACTTCCTGGCCAAGCTCGGCATCATGGCCATCAAAGACATCGAGCGAGACGAAGTTGAGTTCATCTGCAAGTCCACTGGCTGCAAGCCCATTGCAGACATCGACTCGTTCACCGAGGATAAGCTGGGCTCAGCCGATCTTGTGGAGGAGGTTCAGTCATCGGGATCACGCATGGTCAAGGTCACCGGAGCCAAGGCCACCGGCAAGACTGTGACCGTTGTTGTTCGTGGTGCCAACTCTCTCATCTTGGAGGAAGCCGAGCGAAGTTTGCACGACGCCCTCTGCGTTCTCCGATGTCTGGTGAAGAAGAAGGCCCTGATTGCCGGTGGTGGTGCCCCTGAAATTGAGATTGCCGCTCAGCTGTCCAAGCAGGCGCGCAGCCTGACAGGCACAGAGGCCATCTGCTGGAAGGCCTTTGCGGATGCTATGGAGGTTATTCCTACAACCCTTGCCGAGAATGCCGGTCTGAACAGCATCAAGGTTGTTACCGACCTGAGACACCGACACGAGATGGGAGAGAAGAACGCCGGTGTCAGCATCAAATCTGGAGGAGTCAACACCAACATCTCCAAGGAGAATGTCTTGCAGCCCCTTTTGGTCAGCACAAGCGCCATTGAGCTGGCGGCTGAGACGGTGAAGATGATTTTGAGAATAGACGACATTGCTTTGTCAAGGTAGAGAAAATTGCAGTCTTTATGATAGGATTGCTGTATGATGTAATATCTAAATTTAAAAGAAGCAAATCTTGATATTGGCTCGCCTCTTGTGTTTGTTTGTTTCTCTAAAGATGAAAGGTACTTTATCTGTACTAAATCCGAAGTACCTGTCGGATGCTTCAAGTTGATGCCTGGGGCCGAATGCACTTGGCTCCTTCCTAAGATTTCTACTGCGCACGTCTTTCTTGTTAAACCAAAAGTTGCATCTCCATCTCATTTAACGCAATCTTTCTTCATCTCGCAGATCGTTTACAACTCTATTTACCAAGAGGAATTCCCATTCTCTCCAAAAGGGATGGTTGACAATCATGGCTAGAAGAAGAAGTACTCGGTCCCGTTCCAACGATTCTTCCGATCCAGGAGACGCTGCGTTGGAAGTGCACCAACATATCTACCAGGTCTGTCTATTTATATTCCCTCTTTCGAGCTATGAAATATAGACTCTGACATAAAGCAGCTCAAAAAAGATCGAGATGAGAGCAGCAGAGCTGTGAGTGAAAAATACGGTGCTGCCCTGGCGGAAATCCAGGCAAGGGCTAGTGCCTGGCTTGAAGACTTGCAACGTCGACGGTAATGAATCACTTGACCCGTTCTGCAAGCATAGACTAACGATTTTATAGAACACAGAGGATGCTGCAATGCCTAACGGAGATCATTGACTTGACGGAGCGCAGAGAGGCTATCGAAGTCAAGATGGCTGATGTGGTGGCCAAGGCAGATGCAAGGGTGGAAGAACTAGAGGCCATGACGATGGCTGGCTACGCAGGAAGAGAAAAAGATGCAGCTATAGCTCTGGAAAAGGTAGCTGCGCATCAGCATGGGAGTTGAGTCCAGCTCACACCCAACCAACCATCTAGAGTTGCATCACCGTACACTTCATGATTGGTCCTCGCATTGTTAGGGGATGGGATCGTTAATCTAGAATGGAGAATAATCGAGCGCCGTACTTTTCCGAGTAGTCTATATGGTGGTAATGTACAAAGGCATAGCGCCAGGATGAAAGTCTTTAAATTTAAACAGTGAACCCGAAGCCCTGCATGCAGCTCTTGTATTGGTCAACGAGCGATCTGCAGTCGGCAGCGGGATCCTTGGCCGTTGAGAAGAGCATGCACTCATCGCGCTTCGACTTTTCCTCTTTGCATACGCAGCACGGCTATTCCATGGTCAGCACAAGTACAAGCACAAGCATAGGGCATCTTGTATGTTTTGCGACAAACTGACCTTGGGCTTGGAAGCGCTCGCGGAGGCTGCGGGAGAAGCAACTGGCGCAGCGGCCAAGGCTATATACATCAGAAGAACGATTAGTTGCTGCGGCCCTGCAGAGAAATTGGGGGCAATTGGCATACAGAAAGTGGCAGGCTTGGCATCCATGGTGCTTGTTTCTTGTAGCGCAATGGAACTGTGTATTGGCGATTGGGGTTTAGAGATGCTTGCGTTGAATCATGCTTCTTTTAATTTTTTGACCATGGCGATGATATTGAGAATAGTCACGCCAGTTTCGCTGGTGCATTTCTAAGCAGCAGAACTGGCCAATCATAGTGCCGGAGTCTCACGTGCGGGCGTGGGAACTTCGTGATTTTGAGCACATTTCCGCTGACGTCATCAATGTAGCTAAGTATTTCTTCAGGGACCTTAGGTCATCTTGCCGAATGAAGCTCTCCTGGTAGGTATATCGAGTATGTCGTTTATCTCGTATATCTCGTCCAGGGTCCAAAACGCAAATAACCTTTTCTGGCACTCAGGGTGCAACAGCTCCATGCTTTCTAAACCATGACAAACATTAAAACTTGATTTAATCCAGTAACTGAAGCTACCTGATCAGTTGCAACACCGCCGTTAACTCCGGTATGCTCGCCGGGAGATTCCGGTCCCCACCCCGGCCGCTGAACCCCTGCATCGATGCACCGTCGTTCGGACCCGAATTCTCGCTCGGGTTTCACTCGTTTGGGGATAATGGCCGACTTTTACGGAGGTGAGAGGGGGGGGAGAATCGCCGAGATTGGCCATGAGGATGCGAGGTTTCGTGCCTGGTTTGGAGGCCTGGCTTGAGATATTTTTGTCCAGTTTCATTGCCGTCTTGTCATCCCGTATTAGCCGTCTTGTCTTCCCCCTTGTTGGTAAATCGGCATTGCATTCACTTTTCCACAAATGAGAGACGGGCTTGAGAGTTGAGAGGGAACAAAGTCAATATATATAACCGCTGATGTAGTTGCTCAGAGTTGCCAGTTGGCCTTAGTATTAGACACTTTCAACATTCAACTATAGACAATACGCATTTAGACATAATGCTTACGATTGAAGAGATTCGCGCTCTTAGCGATGTTCATTCTGAGTTTGAGCCGGTAAGTTTTCCCAATGGTATTGTCTATGTGATACGAAGAGAAGATAATATTAATTATCATCATACCAGATCCTCAACTCAGGGTCACCCATTTTAGCCGCTTGGGATGAAAACACCAACATCCCTCAAGTTCGGGAAATGATCCAGTCCATGAAAGATGCAGCTCCCAAAGTCGACCCGGCCACACTTCCATACCTCCAAGAGGACATTCACATCCCAGTGCGAGACAACCGTACCACCGAGATCCGCGTTTACAAGCCAAGAGAGGAGTCGGCTGAGGGACGGCCCGGACTCGTTGTCTTCCACGGCGGAGGGTATGCTGTGGGGGATCTGGACACGGAGACTTGGCTTTGTGCACTGTTTGCGAAGCTTGGGGGTGTTGCGGTGAATGTCAATTATAGGCATGCCCCTGAGCATGTCTTTCCTTCTGCTATTGAAGATGCCTATGATGCTACTAAATGGGTGAGTGAGACCACCGATCCTAAGATGGTTGGGTAATTGTGAGTTTGCTAACGATAATTTTCTTTTAAACCCATTAGACAGCGCAAAATTTGGAGTCGTTGGGTATCGATCCTGAAAAGGGGTTCTTGGTAGGAGGAGAAAGCTCAGGTGGCGATATGGCGTTTATTGTAGCCCATCTCTGCTTGAACGACAAGCTGAGTCCTCCGCTGACTGGCATCTATGCAGCAATGCCAGGCGGCGTGAATCATGAAACGGTGCCGGAGAAGTACAAAGATCGGTTCATTAGCTTTGAGCAAAATGCCAATGCGCCAGTGCTTTCTCTTGAGTCGTTGCGGTTCATCTGGAGTAAGTTCCTACGGAGGGAAGGCATCCTGTAAAGAGATTGGTCAACTAATCTGTGTTGCAGAGAATAATCAGGCTGATTTACACAGTCCGCTTGTATTCCCCGTGGCTTTCCCTACCCACAAGGGCCTTCCCAAGACGTATTTCCAAGTGTGCGGGCTGGATCCTGTGCGAGACTGCGCGTTAGTCATGGAGCAGGTATTCAAGGATGACGGAGTTTCTACTAAGACGGACATTTATCCCGGCTTGCCTCATGGGTTTTGGGGATTCTTTCCGGATCTGAAGATTAGTGCAAAGCAGAAACGGGATGCGGAAGAGGGACTCAAGTGGCTATTGAGTAAATGATGTGCTGATAAGAGTTTGCTGCGGACCATCTCCATTCAGTCATTTGCATTCTATGATTTATCGGTATTACACCCTTGTTCATAAGGAGGGAGTGATATATACACTCACCGTTATTGTTCAGTGCAACCCAGATAGTATAGAAACTATCATCTCATTTCCACGTTGTATATTCCATATTGACCACTTCTAGCATAATAATGCACATAACAAGAGCATAATAGCATGAATGTTTTTAGTCTATAACTCATTCACCATCAATCCCAGCAAAGCCATCGATAGTTCACTATGCGCCTCCACAAGCGCACAGAATTTCTCACTCTTCCATAACTTGTCAATTTTACAGGCTGCGTACAGAGTGACTAGATCCCTGAGCGGTTCCGGAGCCATATTCTCATAGCAGTAATCTACCAGCGCGACTATATCATTGACCCTCTCATTGTGCAACGTAAATCTCTCCAATGTCCCATGTAGATCAATGAGAGAGCGTGTCATTAGCGCTGTAATACCGTAACACTCTGCAAAAGTAAAGAGTCGTGCATATGAGAGAAAGGTATTTGTATAATCTTCATTCACGGGATTGTTTGTGGCACCGGTAAGTCGGATGAAACCAGGAGCGTAGAACATGGCCATAGGGTCAGAGGAACGCTGTTTTAGAAATGCATTCCACAGGGCCTTGCGTTTTAGCTCTTCTGGTGTCACAATCTTGGGAGGGGGCAAAGAATCGAACAAAGCCGGCATCGGTGGTTGTATGCGTAGTGGTGTTGGTTCAGGAGTGGCTTTGGGTTTCGGTTCAATTGTAACGGTTACTGGAGGAGCAGCGGTGTATTTCCCCGTGTAGGTGTATTGCCAAAATCTGATAAAAGTGTCCTCATCCACAGATGTCCATTTGACACATTTATCAGTGGCTTCGGCAAAGTTTCCGTTTGCCAATCTCTCAAGGACGGGAGACTGGCACGTAAAGAGGGCAGAGTGTATGGTGAATTCTCGCTCATTGGGCCCAACGAGGAATCGGAAGGGAACGGAAGATGCAATGCTAGGGGTCATCTTTAGCACATCCTATTCAGTTCTGGATTGGTTGAACTCACACGTCTGGGGGTATGGAATTCATGGCTTGTATATGTGATGTCTGTATGGTTGTGTATATAGCCTACATTACTATATAAAGTATGGGTGTATCATGGTCTCGATAGAGGAGGCGCTTCCTGAGAATCTTGCTCCATGGAAGCCGCCTGTTTGCCGCCTACATTACCCCGCAACTTGAACAATAGCATCTGGTCTTGATACCTATTTGTTGGCGGCAGAAATAAAATTCCCGGAAGCAATTTCATTTGATGACATTGTAGCACAGCGCTGAGTTTCTTACCTGTATGCAGGGATCGTAATACAGCTCAGCTGGCTACTAAAACTGCTTACTGCCAGATCGGGCACTACCCAAGTAATAGGAAACCTAACAACTCTACTGGGTAGTATCAAAGGTCCCGGTCGTCTTAGGTAGCAATATATGCCTGCTGTAAGTAAGCAAGGTAAGCCTACATTAACTACAACGATGACCACCCATAATATGTACTAGTGAAATCAACCTCCCAGCTTCACATGTCATATCTGCAGTTTCAATTCAATTTACAGAGTAATAAGCTTCCACAAGATATCAAGAAAACATTCACATCTCAATTTCAATTTCCCCTTTTCAGGCACCAGCTCAGCCGCACGTTCCCAATCGGCCCCTCCAACCTCCGACCACCCGACCAACCCCCGGAAGCCTCACCCGTTAAAATCGCCGCCCAATTTCGCCACGCACACCGAACGCGTGTCTTGTGTCCACGCCTGACGAACTGGTTCCTCGTCACACCATCTTTTTTGCCTTGTTTCCCCAAAACTATCCCAGAGCTAAACTGCTTACCTTGCTAGTAGCTGTTGTTGGGAAATGAATTAAGTTTAAGATTGCTTGCCAATTGTCAAGGTTTCGCACTGTTTGCGCTCACACACACGTACACATAATTCGCCGCTTCGTCGAGTGTCGATGCGGTTCGATGAGTTGGCTGAACGACTGCCTAGAGCAAGTTGACATGTGAAATGCTATCAAGGTTACGCGTACGTTGGTCTATGATGTGATTATAAAGAGACGTGATCGTGACACTCCATACTTTTACTTTCCATCTCCATTTCTTCTTTTCATCAACAACTCTTCTACAACTCTTAATAGTTGATAACCATCACCATCTATCATCATGCCTCCCCAGCAACATCCCTTCTGGGACTTCATGCAGTCCCTCAACAACCCCAACCCAAACAACCGCCGCGACCCCGGCCACGGCGTCGATCACAACACCTCCCCTCCAGGCCCTTTCCCCGGCTTCCCCGGCTTCCCCTTCGGAGCTCCTCCTCCACCACACGGCGGACACCCTCCGCACCAGCCTCACCAGCCGCATCCACCTCCGCCTCCACCTCCCGGAGCCGGCCCCGGCCCCTGGTGGGATCAAGCTCCCCCGGTCTGGGCTTACTGGTTCAACAACAACAACTTCAACGGCCCGCCTCGCTACGACGAACATCCCTTCTCGCACGATGCCGGCGTGAATCTCCCCCACCGAGAGGCTCCCCGCGAGGGCGAAGCCCCTCGTGAAAAGAACAATGAAGCGTCTTCTTCCCCCGAGACCATGCAGGAGGGCGAGCCATTCCCCGACCCAGCGGAAGTCACGCCCTCGGGAAGCGACGACGAGGACAACAACGCCGTTCCTCCCCCTTCGTATCCTACCGAGGGCGGACGAGGCGGACGTCATGGACGAGGTCGTGGAGGCCACGCTCACGCCCACGGCTGCGGAGGCCGTCGCGGAGGCCGTCGCGGATGGCGCAGAGGAGGTCCCTTTGAAGGTCCCAACGCCGGTGGTCCTCCGTTTGACTTCCCCGGCATGATGCGCGGCTTCATGGGCCACCCTTTCTTCCGCAACATCCGCGACCAAGCCGCGCAATACGCTCAACCCAGCACCCGCAACAACACCAACACGGAAGACGAAAACACCTTCTCTCCTCCCATTGACATCTTCAACACCCCCGACGCATTCATCCTGCACACCGCCCTACCTGGCGCGAAAAAGGACGACGTCGGCGTGACTTGGAACCCGCAGACGCGCTCCCTCCGCATCGCGGGCGTGGTCCACCGCCCCGGCGACGAGGCCTTCCTTCAGACCCTGACGGGCGTGCGGGAGCGTAGAGTCGGTGTTTTCGAGAGAGAGGTGAAGTTGCCTCCTGAGGGCGAGACCGAGAAGAAGGCTGATGGGGAGGAGGCGGATCTGGATGTTGATGTCGATGGATTCGGCATCACGGCGAAGATGGAGGAGGGAATTTTGATTGTGACGGTGCCCAAGGTGGAAAAGGAGTGGATGGAAGTGAGAAAGGTGGACATTGCTTAGAGGAAGCAAGATTGCTTATTTGGTGAATGACATTCAGGAGTTCTGTATGAGTATATAGCATTTTATCACTTTAGTTTTAGTTTCTGGGTAATATTGGGTTATAATAGTAAATCAGTGGAAAAAAAAGTCAACTCGCTCTTTGTCTACAATCACGTTCAAGTCACACACAAGCACGCACCGTGATAGCCAATCTATTCATCTCTCTCTTAGTAGCTACCTCCTATCCATCCACCACCATATCGAAAAAATCCACTCTGCGCCTGCGCCTGCGCTCGCGCCACGGGGGGGTATATATGTTGACATATAGTTGAGTAGGCGCGTCGCACCACTTGTTCAATTTCCATCCCACTGTACAGCATTCTGTTGTTTCTTGTTGCTCTTATTGTTGTTGTTTTCCTCCCTCGACCCAAGACAAAAAATAAAAGGAAAAAAAGGGTGTATGTTGACTGATAATTCACAGAGAAGGGAAGACGTTCTGTTTGGGTCAAGTAAAAAAGACAAAAATGTAGTGATAACGCCTCGCCAATGCTGCAAGCATGGCGGGTGACAAGATGAGTGAAAAGGGGGAATATAATAGGGAATTAAGGATAAAGGATGAAAAGAGAGAAGGAAAATGTTGTTCCTGTTTGTAATATAGCGTCAATCTTTGTCTCAGTAAGAGAGAAAACCGGTCCCCTCTTCGCCTCGATGTATGTTGCGTGTGCATGTCCTGAAAGAATCAATATCAATCCAAAAAGAGAGAAATAGTAAAAGAAGGGGACCAAAAAAGTAGAGCCAAAAAAGAAATGGCGGTGTCCTTGGAAAAAAAAAAAGTATTAAGAAAGAAGAAAAAAAGAAAAAAAAAACTCCAGGCAAATGTCTTTTTTATGGCAGCGTGAATTCGTCATGGAGCGAAAAGGCCTTCTTTCTGCTGTAGTAATATATGTGTATGAGCAGGTGCACGTATTAAAACAGGTATTAAAACAATAATAGAAGTGTAAAAAAAAGAAGAAAAAAAATCAGGAACAGAATTAGACAAAAAGCAAGTACTAAGGGTGCTTAGACCAACTCGTTTGTGATTTCCTCCCTCACATGGGCACACCACTTGAGGATGGCCGCTTCAAAATCTAGCCAGACTTGGGGGCCGTTGTTGTAGACGATGCCCAGGGGGTCGATGGAAATCATGCACTCAAAGCGCAGCTCAGCGGCCTTGGCCCAGTAACGGAGGTTGTCGGCGCTTCGGTACGGTTTCTGTGTGTTGACGTGGAAGGTCGGGATCGCTCCGAATCGCCTCCTGGATTTCTTGACTGCGGCGTTGTGCAGCCTCACAAGTAGGAGGCCGTTCTGCATGGCCTCCAAAAAGGGCGTTGGCAAATCGGCGTCGTTGGATGCTGGCGTCCATTCGGGAAGCGGCTCTTCATCCGGAATCATGGACATGAGAAACTGTCGCTCGCGCTCCAACTCTTTGCCTTTCCAGTCGCCCCTCATCCACGCCCAGCTCGATCGCTCGGCCTGCTCTGATGCCTCGATGTTGGCCTCCTTTTTGAGGATGTCGAACACGCTTTCGATCCAGGTCGTCATGGTGGCGATCTCTTCATCCCGCATGCCACCCTTGAAGTTCCTCGTGGCCATCTGCTTCAGCACCTCCATGACGCTCAAAAGGTCTGTCCGGATCTGCTTTTCCGACTTGATAGCATCCAGCCGGTCAGGCAGCTCGTGGGCAGTGTAGTAGTTTTTGGCGGCGCGGATGGCCAGCGTCACAAAGTCGAGGATGTTCATGCCCTGCAGCTCGTACCAACTTTGGGTATTTTCGTCGGGCATGTTGGGGTACCGAGGCGCATCGCTGGATGCCTTGTATGATCCCTCCTTCCGCTCCTTGGCTTCCTTGAGAACCTTGAGGGCATCTTGCAGGGCGCTCTCCAGCTCCGTCTTCAGCTCCGCAACCGTGGGAGGCTTGGGAATCACTTTTTCTCGGTGGTTGTAGGTGCTGGCTGTGGGTGGGAGCATATCCGGGTCCTCCTCGAGGAAGCCGTCGTAGAAGTCGTCCATGTCGTCCATGCCGGTGGGGGATTCGACGGCATTTTCCGTAATAAACCCATGTCCTGATAGATCTGGGCTACTGCCCATAGAGACAAACGAGGGGTCCATGTCGAAGCCCGCAGTCGTGGGCGTGGGCGACATCATGGGAGCTGTGCCCTCTAGGGCTGCCAGGTCCAACGTCGCTCGCGGCTGCTTCTTACGAGCCAGCTGTCCGCCTTTGCCATCGAGAAGGCCTGTCCGGGCAAAGTAGTATTGAAGATGCGCGATGCTGCCCAAACTCATGACGCTCTCCCGGGATTTGGCGCTGGCCGCAAAGTCGGTGCCCTGGGGGCGCATGTAACCTCGGCGCCGAGTCCTGGAAGACGACCTTCCAGAGATGTCGGACCGGAACGACGCCGTGGACATACGGGACGACGCAGAGGACATGCGAGACGACAGCTCGCTGCCCAGCGAGTCTCGTGAGGTGCCATCGTTACTGGAGCTTTGAGATATGGTGGAAGTCGTCGAGAGGGCTCGGGACGGTTCGGTCTTTGCACCAATGGCTTGCGACGGAGCCGCATCAGGCGAGTGCGGGCGGTTCTCGACTTCGGCAGACATGGCGAACGAGGCAGAGAGGCAAAAAGAGAAGCACAGAGAAGCAGAGTTTTCTTGCGAGGGCTCAAGCAGAGAATCTCGTCTGGGGATTTCCTCGTGTGCTCTCTCTCTTAAGAGGGGAAGCAAATCTTGTCTCTTTGGGGTTGTCGTTGGAAGGAGAGTCGGTTCACTGGATCCCAGGGCCAGCTATTCAGCTCGGTCAAGTCAAGTCGCGTGCACCACGGACGAGGGGGGGATATAACAACAAGTTGAGTGGCAGCAGAGTCGCTAGCTGCCGGCCACCATTAACAAGCAGTCGGGAATGGCGTGGTGGATACTTGGAACTGTCAGGACAAGCACGAGTACAAGCAAGTATGGAAGAGACAAGAATCACAGAGCCAGACGGTGCTGTAGGGCTGCTCTGGGTTGGTGCTGAAGATCCGAGGCGCACGCGGACTCAGGGGTTCTCGCAGCCTGAGGGCGCCAAAACATAGTTGGTGGGAGGCGTGGAGATGGGAAATTGCGTTGCGTGTTTGGTGTTGTCCGGGGGGGCAACGACTTGAAACGAACCTTTTTTTTTGGTGTCGGGTGCAGTTTTTGGCGTGCATTGGTTCACGCATGCTATCAACCGATGATCAAGGCTTACATTAATTAGTGCATAGGAAGGTAGCATTAGGTGCTCCGTCCATCTCCGCCTAGAGTGTGCTTGAACCCTAACTGGTCTCGTCGAGTCCGAAGGGCTACCTGGCGATGTTTGTTTGCCTCTTGTTGCTGACGGGATTGATTGCTTGGGATAGCTTCTCCCACCCACTGGTAGCGCTGCAGTCAGCCTGTACGGCCTCAGCGCTCCATCCATCGTCACACCGGCAAATGCAAAATGCAAATATGCACGCTTGGACTGGTACGGGTATGATATCACTTGACGTCTTCGTACTCGCAGCCGTCGATTCGACCGCGGTCCCTCATGGGAGCTGCCAGGTTCCCTGCTAGCCCATATGCATGTACTGTAGAGGCTGTCGGGGCCAATTCGACCAGGCAAGCCCAAACCCATGCCCATGCAGGCCCCGGGCAAAGGTGACGAATCATTTCTTTCGCTGTCATCGCGATTCCCAAGGGTCCTTGCTGCTTGGTGTCATATCCCAGGGCAACCGGAGGCGCGCAATTTCCTCTCCGCAGAGCCAGAACCAGCTGGAATACTGTGCAAGAGATGGAACATCAAATGATCAATGCTCCTACGTACTCGTACAGAGCAGCGCACAGAGCAGAGCGAGCACGGAGTACGGAACAGGAGTGACTGCAGCTGTGGTTGTTCTGGATAGATTGTGCAAAGGCCAGAGCTGTGTTGGGGCGAGGTTTCAGACTCTACGCCACGTTCAGTCAGTGTCAGTTATCATTGCTGATGCCCAACAGCTGACAGATAAATGCTGTCTGGTACTGTACAGTACAGTCCCTTGGCTATCTCCAAATTGCATGGATGGATCACTCCAAGTATTTGAGATTGCAAAGTACCTGCTAACCCATGGCAAGGCACTGTACCTGCTCGTATGTGCAGCGTGGTAATATTTGCTTCGTATCAATACAAGGGAATGAGGTAATTGCATCATAAGGCAAGGGTAACTCCGTACAGCTGCGTGCTATAATAAGATTGAAGCTCTCTTGTGCAAGTACAGCACGGTACTTCTGAACGTCAACTCCGTATGCCAGGACTGATTGGGCATCTGCATCCTTCAGTGATATCAGCACGACCAAAGGTATGGACATGGAAGAGCGGCCACAGACGAATACAGTAGCTCCTGTTTGTAGCGCGGGCCGACGCGTCGCATCGTTCGTCGTAGTGAGCTCTTGTCGACGCCCAATCTTTTGCCAGTCACTTGAAATGGACCCCATGTGGCACTGCTAGGCAAATTGCATCCATCAATACCTCGAGACTAGCAGCAGCTACCAATAGCTGCTAGTACCAGACTGCTTGGTTGGAGCTCGGTAAAGAAAAAACGACGGCTAAAAGGTACCTGTATGGACCAGTACGAATGGAGCACTGACATCAAATAGTACAAGTACCGATGGCCCAAAGAGGACTTGGAGGAACCCATGGATGGATCCAGGCCAGCATCCCGCTAGCTTGGCCAAATCCCAACACTCCAGTCTTGACTTGCTGCAAGTAATGTACCAGCACTGACATACCCATGGAGGGCTTTCCGCGCTACTCGCACAAGCCCTCGTGACCCAGACAGGGAAGAGAGCAGAGAAAGAGACAGAAACTCGCAGGCCGCACAGGCATCGGACGGTAACTAAAGCTGCCAGGTTGGTGATGCAGAAAATGGCTGCAGGACGCCCTGGTGGAGGCGGGCCGGACAAGCATGGAGCCCGTGGAGATTTCGCAGCGTTTCACCTTGTTTGAAGCTGCCAGAAGCGGGATGCCTGTGGAAGCGCTGTGGAAGCTCCCGTGTCAGCGGTGGGGATGCGCTAATTAGCCCGACATGGCTCTAATGCTAGCGCACTTCGACGCTGCATCTGCTGTGCAGCTCGACGAGCTCCATTGAACCAGACTCCTTGCGAGCTGCGGCAGTGGTGGCATTAGTGCGCTGAGAGCTCCCCAAAACGACAATGGCCCCGAACAATTCCAGGTTTACTATCAATGGGTGTCGAGAGCAGGGAATCTGGCCTGGCCCCGTTTGATTCCCGTCACCAATTCGAGTCGAGTCGAGTCGAGTCCTGGTGCTATCACATCCAATCCAATGCCCTGTACTGTGCTGTGCTGTGTTACAGTAGCCGCGCTCAAGGGCACATCAGCATGTGGCGAGTCCGACCCAACCTCAATGCACTGCGCATTGGGACCTGCTGCATTCCGGCACATGTCAAAACGTGTCATCTAGGTACGGAGCACTTCGTATACAGTTACATCTATCTGCGAATTCGGATCCGAGACAGGCACGTGTAAACCAGACTTACATGCCTACCACTCGATGTAACAACCCTCCCTCTAGTAAACATCTCCGTCCATAGTAACTTGACTTTTACCACCAATGGAAGCTGGAGGCTGCGAGAGCATACCTTAGTACCAAAGGTAGTACTCATAGTTCCAAAGTCAATTCCATGTTGTGAAATGCAGTTTGATGAGCTTGGGTATTTGTGGCAAGGGACAGGTACCAGCCCCAACACCACTTGTACATGTACCTTGAACATGGATCCTCTGGGCCCGTCCACTCGTAAGGCGTACAGTAAGCATCTTTCGCCAGGATCCCATCTATCGAGTCTACGAATTCCCGTCATCTCTATTTCGTCTTTTCTTTTTTGTCCCATTTTGATAGACGCTTCCCCTTGTCTAGTCGTTTATCCATCGACAAATGTGCAGTCTCGGCCGGCGGATCAAAACCAAAAAAAGCCCAAACATCCAAAATACGCGTAGGGAGTACGAGTACCTCCAAAGGGAGATGAGGTACCTGCGCCGTAGCCATTCGACTCCCTCTTAGCTCAGGAACGAGCAGCTCCCGTTAATTAACTTGGGCTGCGATCCCACGCTTCTGCGCTTCTTCCTCTTGCACCCCTCCTGACCAGTCTGTCCCTTTCCTTCAACCCCCTTTTTTTGATTCACCACGTCAAGTCAAGCAAGCAATCAGTCCATGCAGCGTTTAGCCAATCCCCCATTCTGGGCTTCGTGTTCACCGTAGCCGCTTCTCTTGCATCAACCGATTTTCTAGCAGTCTTATCTTGTTTTCGCTCTGCATCTTCCACCTTGCCCAGCCGCACAACCCCGGCACACGGGCCTTACTTGATTCAGCCAGCTGATGCCCAAGGCCCATCACGACCATTCTCCCAGGAGTTCACGATCAGGAAGTATCGATACTCAAACGCCAGGCACCAAAATTCTGTTCCTGGTTCAGCGCGCAGGCAGACACCAAACTAGGCGACGGCCCAGCTTTATCCAAAGCTTCGCTGCAGTCGAGAGCCGTCTCCTGCAAGCTCCTGCAGCTTCTTTGCAGGGCCGCAAGGGCGCTCTCCACCAGCACCGCATCGTCTACGCATAGAATCCCCTCTGTCGCCCAGTCACCAGACGCCTAACCCGGTCGACGCCGCCAAAAAGCTGGGTCTACAGCAGCACACCGGAGCAGGCATCCAGCGAACCGAACCCTACTGCGCATCCGCCCACACCCGCCCACTCGCCGAGAACGAGGTCCTGTCCTGTACTCGTACCTGTATTCGGACAGGTAGCAGCAAAGCGGCACCGTCGGGATTTTAAAGCGGCGAGTCGTTGTTGATTGGACCGTCGCGAGGGAGAGAAAAAATTCCAGGAGAGTCGGACGGCAACACAACAGGACAACAACGGCAGCGTATCAGCACTCGACGCTTCGCGGTGGCGGCCTCGGCATCCAATCTGCCGCCCGTCGTCCACCCCTACAAACCACAGCGCTCAACATTTGACTGCCCGTAATCTTCAACCTTCTGCACCGACCTTCTCTCTCCACCCACTGCGCCGCTGCACTGCCGGCAGGGCCTTTCAGGGCCTTCGTCCACTGGAAGACACCTGGCGCGCTCCACTAGCGCGTCGTGAGCAACGCCGCTCTGAACACATCCACCTACCGACTTCTCCAACCTTCTCTGGGGCGGGCTTGTCTGCAGCCCCAGCAATCACCTGCGGCATATGACCACCAGCCATTCTTCTGCCGTGGACGCCAGCGGCAACCCACAGCCGGCTTCGCAGCCAGACCGCGACTCAGATTCAGCCAACGAAAGCTCCAGACAATCCGACGTGGGTGTGGACCCGAAGCGCGACCCTGAGCAGCATACCAACGGCCATGATGCAAGCCTCGAGCATGTAAACTTTGGAAAATCAACTGACGACGCCGCCCAGTCGCCCGCCACCCCTTACGCAGCTCCTGCTTGGGCTTCCACTCCCGCCTCAGCTCCAGTTTCTGCTCCGGTTCCTGCTTCGGCTGCGGCCACTCCCGCAGACGCCAGAGGAATTGCGAACCTGTCGACACCGCGGACGAGTGGCAGCACGAACAACATCAACAACACCCCAAGCTACAGCCAAAACAGCAACAATAACATTGGCAACATTTTCAACAACGCGATTTCTCAAGGTGCTCCCGACTTGACGCTGAGTCCAACCTACGGCAGGCAACGCAGCAGCACCCTTCTGGAACCCGATCCATCGCATGAGCTCCTGGTCGCTGCTTTTCGAAAGACATCGCCAGGCCTTGCTGCTCGCTTAAAGGCTCTCGGCCTTGGAGCGGCAGCCAAGAGGACCACCGCCAGCTTCCAGCCCGTTGATATCGGCCGACTTGACGAAGAACAGCTCCGCCAGCTTGACGAGAAACACCAAGCGAATTCAGTCAAGCAAATTATTTCTCGGCGCGGCCGCCCCTGGAAAGGCACCGGCGCCCCCCCTCCTCATTATAGATCGTCCAGTCTCTCAGACGTCTCCATGTCTCCCATCGCCGCTGATTCCTACCAACTACCGGAGATTGAAGTGGCGGAAACAATCAACATGGACTTGGATACCCAGAAATATCGGTTGCCCGACCACATAAACGGCAATGGTACCAAGGTCACTTTGGATACTCGACGCGAACACCTCGAGCGAATTACGCGTCCGCCATCTCCCAAGGAGTATCCGCCTCTACCCTCCTCGCCTCCTGCTGCTCCTCCTTCTCACTCGCCTTCACATTCCCTTTCCTATTCTCCCTCATATTCCCCGTCCCCACCAACCCCTCCGCCCAAAGAATCACCAATTGTGGAGATGACACCGCCTGAAGTAATCACCTTTAACCATTTTGAACCGGAAATGAGCTCTTATTTTCAACAGGGTCACAATCGACCTGGATCAATATATACACTTTCCCGGGTGTCGTTTACCAACCAGCTTGCTCAACTGACTCTGCTTGGCATTCCCGATGCCGAGGCACTTTCCAGCAAGGTGTCGGCTATACCAACAGCCCCAGTGGCTTCCAAGGCGTTGATCAATGCTGCTGAGCAGATCCGGAGCTGGATATCAAAGGCCCTTGAGGTTGTAAGCGGGCTGGACAGTGAGGATGATGTCGAGTGGGCCGCTGCTGGTGGCCGTGAAGGTCTGGAAGAGGTTGAGAACGCCATTAATCGATTCGAGCATCTCATCAACGCCTATGTCAATGCCATTGATGAGCTACAAAACCGACATGACATCGCGACTGTCTCGACAGATGACCTCAGAAGGGCCGTTACTCAGATGGAGGCCATAGCTGAGGAATGGGGCCGAATCAAGCAAACCCTGCAAAGTGTGCGGAACCAGGTCGAACTTGCCATGGAGTGGGAGGAGCTGTGGAACAGCGTTCTGGGCGACATACAGAGCGAGATGGAAGAACTTACGCGGCTTGTCTTCGAGATGGAAGAGCGTCGTCACAAGAGCCTTGCCGTCGTTGCGAGCGGCGATAACGTCGATATTGGAGATCTCGAGACCATTGTTGAAGACAACCCCATTTCGGCCGCGCGGTTGGCGCCCTCGAACCGCTTTAGCCTCGCCCTGCCGCTAAGCCCTAACTCGCCAGGAACCTCGACGCTGTCTCAGGATGACTCCAGTTTGCTTGCTCTCTTCGCCAGGATGCAGCCCTTGAGGGCTTCCCTAGACTTTTTGCCCATGCGACTATCTGTCTTTGAGACGCGGGCGAAACATGCATTCCCAACCGCATGTGAAGAGCTGGAAATGCGCCACAATGGCCTAGATGGAAGCTACAAGAAGCTAGAGAAGGATGCCGAGTCATTGCGTAAGGAGCTTGGAGAGGATAGATGGGTCATTGTCTTCCGAGGCGCTGGACGGCAGGCTCAAAAGATGCACGAATCCGTCGAGCGGTCTCTGATGAAGCTGAGGGAGGCGATCGATTCTGGTATGCATTTGACGAACCAGCCTTCCATTGCTAAGAAGATTGAGAGCTATGAGGCAAAGAAAACACACTATGGTCCCGCCATCGAACGTGTCCTGGCCATCATTGACAAGGGCGTCAAGGATCGCTTGACCGTCAATGGCGAGATCTTGCGTCTCCACAATGAAATGCAAACGCGATGGTCGACTCTGAAGCTCGACGTTGCAGAGATGGATTCTGTCCTTGAGGACATATACGCGGAAAGAAAGAGCCAGCAGCTGCGAGATTCCATCTCCAGCATGCTCTCCAACGACAGGTCGACCAACGGCAGCGGCATGGAGACTCCGGGAAGCTCTCCGCCTTCCTCGGTGATTATGAACTCACTCGGTCTTGATCCGCAGACGCCTGCGCGGAAATATACCGGTAACCAACTTCGATCGCCCAATGCGAGCGGCTCCAGCCTCCGGTCGACCTCAACCAGCCGAAGGGACTCGTCGCTACCGGCCCCTGTCTCAAAAAGCGCCAAGAAGCCTGGGTCCAGGTACTCTACAATGGGCTCCTCCTCTTCTTATTACCCGCCTTCTGCCTCCTCCTCAAGCCTTCGACCTTCGACCACTATGGCGCACCGACCCCGATGGAACGCCTCTTCCAACAACCTAGATGGCGAAGCTCGCAGCCCATACAGAACGCCTGCACCCCAAAGGTCGACGTCGGCCATCACGCCTATATCGACATCCAAGCTTCCCACCCCTCGGAGTTCTCTCACACGCGCTGGCTCAGATTCACCCATGTCAGAATCATTCCCCAGATCGTATTCTAGGGCGGGCTCTCGGCTGTCGTTCCGTGAACGCCTCACCTCTCCTGGACCTTATTCTCAAAGCAGCCTAGCAAAACAACAGCCTCCTCGTCGCTCTAACGCGGGGCCATCTTCTTCGACCTTGAACCTGGATAGTCTAAACAATCGTCCCAGCAGCTCTATGGCTTCGACTCGCCGAAGCAGTTTGCTGCCAATGCCGAGGGGTAGGCCAGACTCAGTCCGGGGATCGAGCCCTCTTCCCATCTTCAGCCGGTTCAGCTCTCGCAAATACAGCGACAACTCACCCGAGCCAAAGGATCTCAAGCCCAGGTGGCGATTTTGAATCAGCGATATTTGATGGCATGGTCAGAAGCTTTATGGTATCAAATGTTTAGGGGAATTGGAATCGGATTGTGTGCTTATTTTGCTTTTTGCTTCTTCTGTAACCTCTCGAGTCGATTGCTCGTTTTCATGTGAAGCCGCTCATTACAAGATATCCTCCCTGCTTCTCTTCAGCTCTCACATCACAAAATGGCATGCCCCCGTGTTTTAAAGTAATTTTGTTATTTGTGTTTTTCCATAGCGTGGCGTAAACGGTTTTTTTCAACATCAAAGGAGAAGCGAAGCGAGCTTTAGCTGGCGGGCTGTTGGGAGTTTACATGGAAATAACGCGACACCAAAAAGACGATTTTGATTGGCATGTGTCGACACATCTTTTTTTTCGCTTTTCCAACTTGTTTTTTTTCTATTTTCACAATACTGTTTTAACTAATTCGATTCTTTCTTCTCTCTCCCCCAGTTGGTCTCCGTTGAGTGCGCTTTTCTTGTTTTTTGAGCTCTTTCTTTGTCATTTTTTTTTTTTTTTTTTTGGTTTGCTTTTTTGTGTTTTTTCGTGTCATAGCTGAGATTCCCGGAGCTTTGTTTTACAAATTAGCTAGCTCTACATTTTGTAATTGTACTAGAAAAAGCAATGTGCAATTTATTCTTTCAGATTGATTTTCTTTTTTTCTGATGTTTGATGGCGGATAGAGCTGAGGCGGGATATTGCGTATGAGTACTCATTACACTATCTGTGTCTCTCATGGCATTTCTCTCATGATTAGTTAATGATGGGCATCAGCGAAGAAAGTAGGACACATTCAAATCATAGCAGATGATTCTCGGCATATAACTACCATTCATCATGTTAGAACAGTTCTCAAACGGCCATAGCAAGTATAGAATAGGAAGCTTAGATTCAAACTTGGAGCTATCAAGTTCGTGTGAGGCATGGTCAACATTTGTATTCATCGCCTCGCCATTCCACTTCTTCCAAATCTCGCTCAAAAAGTGCTGCATTGCTGGCATAATCATGAAAGCAGGCTACTCTGGTGTATATATGGGTATATACACATGCAAACATTCCATGACATCTACCTACATCGCCTCTACCCCACAGACTCTATCTCCCCCATTCTCTCCACTCTCTCTTCTTTTGCTTTCTTCTTTCTAATTCGCTTCAAAAGGGGTAATGTAAATGCCGAAACACCAACGCCAAAGCTCGTGAATGTGTAGACTTCCGCCTCCCAGCCCCATGACATAAAACCCGGGACTGAAGAGAAGTGTGACCTCATTACTCTCTCATATCTCGTTCCAAAACAAAAACAAAAGCAAACACACCGGCCCAAAAACAGAGGGAATAGCAGGCCGCTATCAATGATCAATTCACATCATAGAGGCATCAACCCGATACCTCCTCCACTCTTCTTGACGATTCTGCCGTCACGCTTGAATCCGCCGCCGCTACTACTTGCACCGCCAGATCGAGACGACGAGCCAGCAGCGCTTGAGGAACCGCCACCTCTCCTGCCGGAGCCACCACCCCGACGTTGAGACCCTCCACCAGAACCGCCTCTCTTGGACCATCTTTTACCAGAGAACTTTCTGTTACCTCCTCCTCGACTGTAGGAAGAGGATCTGCCTCTCGATTGGCTCGGTTGGTCATTCAGACTTTGCAGCCTATCATTGAAAGCTTGGACATCGGCTGATGGCTTGGCAACAAAGTAATGAGAACTCTCTCCACCTCCCATAGCCTCCTCTTCATCCTCATCGATATCGAGGTCTGAACTAATCAAGTCCACTATTTCTTGATCCAAGTTAGACGTTAAGGCAGAAGCCTCACCCGCCCCCGTCCCGGCAATCTCACGATACGATTTATGATACACATTGAGCATTTGTATCAGCTTTGGGCCAACCTCCCGGACTCTGTCGACGTCAATTCCAGGAATGCGGCTCATCCTCTCGATGGAGGTGGTCCAGTTAATGGCCATTTCTTGCAGGTGAGTGTCTGTAAACATTGGTCGCCTAAGGCCAAGTCCGTTCCGAATTCGCTCTTCCAATTGGCGTGCCGCTTGAACAAAGGCATCCACTACATCTTGGTGGATATCCGGCAAGTCTTGCAGCCTACGTTTGCTTGGGATAGGTTCTGGCCGCAGTGCCTTTTTGGAACTAGGTTTTGAAGTGGTAGGTTTCGCTGGTCGGTGTTGAGGGAGTGGTTCGAAAGCCTCTTCGTCTTCGTCCATGTCTTCTTCGGCTTCGTCTTCCAATTCTTCATCCGACACAACGAAACCATCATTCACATAGCCGTTTGATGTGGTCGGCAAGTTTGAGTCGTCATCACTATCAATAACGGCTGCCCGTTTTCTGCGTGTATTAATGGGTGACGAGACATAGGTGGATTGCACGTTATTGGCGGGCTCTTTCTGCTTTTTGTTGGCTCTCGGTTTTTTTATCTTCGTCTGATTTGAATCAACGCTGTCTGAAACCTGAACCGTCAGCATGAGCTTCCGCCTCCCTGACAAGAATTGGTTGGCGGCAGGTCCGATTTGGAGATATTGAATGGCGACTCCATGATTTCCAACGATATTTTCCTCATGGAAGCCCTTCTCAGCTGAGAGGCGGTCAATAACGCGCACCATCTCGTGCTTCTTCATCCCCTTAGCCATGCCGTGATACTCATACGAGTTTTCTTCTTGGTTGTCTGGGTACTTTCTGCCAATCAAAATATCCGCGCACTGGTTTGCCGTTAATCTCTGCTGCTGCTGCACAATTCGTATGGCGGCAATGGCGTATTCAGAGAAGTCCTGCTGCTCAAAAACAAGCCCCGCTTGGCAATTGTCGCAAGTCTTGTGGCATTGTGACGGAGTAAAATCCTCCCCAAAATAGCGGAGGACTTCAGTTCGTCGACAATCTGCTTTATTGTCGCAAAATGCCGTCACACGGTTCAGCATAGCCATCTGTCTTTCTTTTTGGTCTTTACTGCCCTCTCCGTCAATGATCAGTCTTTTGAGGACTCTTATGTCCGCTTTGCCATAAAACAGAATACAATCGGAGGGTTTCCCATCTCGACCCGCACGTCCAGTTTCCTGGTAGTAACCTTCTAAGCTCTTCGGGATGCCATGATGCATAACAAATCTCACGTCCGGCTTATCGATTCCCATGCCAAAAGCAATAGTTGCCACTACAACTTTGACTTGCCCCTTCTGCCACGCTGTTTGTACTTCCACCTTTTCCGTGGGTGTAATTGCAGCATGGTAATGACGAGCCGTGATACCATTCTCAGAAAGCTTCTGGGCAACATCTTCAGCTTGCTTCCGTGAGATTGTGTAAACAATTCCAGTAACGTTGGGATACTTGGAGTTGATCAGAGCAGCGATTGCCTGCGTCGCAACCGGATTGGAAGACTTGGGCCGGACTTCGTAATACAGGTTTGGACGGTTGAAGCTTTGTGAAAAGACTTGGCAGTTGTTCATACCAAGATTGTGTTTGATATCGACAATGACGTTCTGAGTAGCAGTAGCGGTCAAGGCCATGACCGGAACCTGGGGGAATTTGGATCGAAGCTGTCCCAGGGTCTTGTAGTCGGGTCGGAAATCATGCCCCCACTGGCTAACGCAGTGAGCCTCGTCAATGACAATACGGGCAAATTTTCTACTCCGGTACAAGCTTTGTAAAGCATTCATGAACTGAGGGCTTTTGCTAGCCATTTCAGGCGTGACGTAGAGGAGCTCGATGAAGTGCTCCGGATTACGTTCATTAAAAGCAGACATGACTTGCCGCTTGTATTCTGGAGAACACTCGCTGTTGAATGCAACGGCCTGTATCCCCAGGGCTTTCATATGATCTACTTGATCTTGCATCAAGCTCAGCAGAGGTGACACAACGATGGTGACACCTCTCGTCTTGCCGGATTTGACGACAGCTGGAAGTTGGTAACAGAGAGATTTTCCACCGCCTGTTGGCATCAGGACAAAGGCATCATCACCAGCGAGCGTAGCGTTAATGGCCTCTAATTGGTTCTGTCGGAATCCTTTCATCCGAAAGCGATCTTTCAATGTCTTCTGTACGTCTGCAGACCAAGAATGTCTCATGAGCTCAGGCGGTATCCTTGTCTGTGATGAATCGGAAGGCGGCTGCCTTTTTGAGGTCTGCTTCTGCTTTGGTGCGGGCCCAGCGTTTCCAGATGTTTCGGAAAACGCCCGTCGAGGATCCAGAGACGGTTCGCCGGCAGTTTGGCGTACCTCGTAGTCTTGAGCAAACGCAAGCATATCAGCGTCGTCACTGAAATCGCTGAATTCATTTCCTGCTCGCTGAGCGCGGTTTCTCTGAGGTGTTTTGCGTGTGTCGAACTGAGTAGTCTTTTTCACCGGCTTAGGCAACAAGTGCATCTCCATATCGTCGATATCAGAGAAGAAATCTTCCTCAGCGCCCATGTCCCGATTCATTGGAGGGCGCGGTTCAGGAAGTTGGGTTTGATGAACAACTTGAGTGCCTCCCATGGGCAATGGGACGTCTCTTGAGCTCCGTGACATGTTGACCATGCCCCCATGACCAGCCTGAGTTCCCAGCACAACGATATGCTCATCTCTTCTACTCGGAGCCGGGACTTCCAGAGGCTCCAAAAGACTTGCTTCATCAAGGCCTGCTGAGCCCATCATTTGGAAAAGCTCTCGCTCTGTTGCCTCGATGCGCTCAGTAAGCTCATCTAGTCGGGCTTCATCTTCATCTGTGTCTTGGCCATTGGAATATGATCGAGCCACCTGTTGAGCAACTGCTTCTCGTTGCTCACTTAGAGTTTTGTAGCGCTCAACCAATCCGTTGAGATCCTGAGTCGCCTTTTGCTGTTGGATGAATCGTTCTTTCTCTGCTTTGATCTCATTCCTCTTGTCTTTGGGTAATCTAGCATTGATAGCTTGCATAAAACTCCGCTCGTTCTTCTGAATTTGACTGTTCAAGTATTCACACCTTTTAGCTAGAAGCTGCGGATTCCCCAAAATGAGGGATAAGAGTTTTGGCGTTTGGCTGGATGGCGTAAACGACTGCTGTGGGTTGTTGATTTCGCTGACATTGTCGGCAGTAGCTGTACTCTGGGTTTCAGACAAACTATGGTGAGAAGGTTGGAGACCTTTGGCTTGTACACGCTGAGAAGGTGGCGATGACTGTTTTCGTCTCGGCTGAGGAGATACATGCAAATCCTCAATATCCATAATGAAAGCGTCTTCCTCCTGTGGATCGATCAACGGTTCCATTGGCTGCTTCTTCGAAGTAGTTGTACGCGACGGTGGTGTAACGAATTCATCGTCTGAGTCGGGAATGAAAAACTCGTCGGCTTGGTTTTGCTCCGGTTGTTGAATATCCTCGTCGAAATCCTGAGGATCCGGGGACGCAGACCGTTGCCCGGTGATTTTCACCTTCTTTCGTCTTTCAGAACTACTGATGACATAGTCTTTTTCTGGGGTCTGTCTGATAGGAGATGGTGCTTTTCGACTAGCGACTCGTCCTAAGGGAGATGAAGACCCCGGCAAAGACATCTTGGAAGACGCATTCTGCGCAGCCTTGGGTAAGTTAGTAACGATAGGTGCTTCTGCATGCTGGAGGTTTGTCATATCGAGGGGACTAACTTTCTTTGCGGAACGCCGACCAGGAGTCGGGACTGGAGGGTCAGTTCCCAGGAGCTGATAAACATCGGGAAATTGGCTATCAGCAGCGGCGTCATCGGTACTCTTCCTCTTTTTGGATTTAGGTAACGGCGCCTCCCAAGATGCATCCTTTTCCGTCCAAACTTTGACATCTTCACCAAACTCGTCAGATTCGTCGGATGTGCCAGTTGTTCTGGTTAGATCCATGTACTCCAAGTCATCAACGTCAAAATCTGCAAAATCGGCGTCAAGCCCTGGAGATTGATTATGCCGTGATGGAGCTGGTTTTCCTGGTGAGATGCCATTTTGTGTTTGTTTCTCAGGTTTCGGGATTGCTGCCATAACGTTAGGTTCCATAACATCAGTAAACAATATTAATCCACGCACCATTCGTCTTGAGTGACTCGTTTAAAACTTGTTTAGACCGGCCATCTGCTGAAGAAGGGGCTTCTCTCTTGACATTTTGTGACAGGAGCACAGGTTTTCTCGATTTGGTTGACAGGGTCAGACGGCCCATGCTGTCGTCCTCTAAAACCACCACTTCTGTATTTTGTGAAGCTTCCTCCCTCTTTGGCGGGCCATTTGAACTCCAAGATCCCTGAGCCTGGTTCGTCCGTCTGTCTGATCCAGCTGATACGGTAGTCTCCTGGCTTAAATTTGCCGTGCGACCGTTTGTAGACTGCGATTGTGTGAATCGAAACGATCCTGTATCGCTGGCTTGCGGAAATTGAGGGGCGGTAGGTTTTGATAGCGCAGCGTTCTTCAACAACCAGGCGATGTTGTCCGGCAGATTATTTCGAGTCATGAAGCCGGCTTATGGATGCCAGACCGGTCCGCATTTGCGATTCTGACGAGCATTGAGGCCGGTCCCTTGTATTTTGATCTATTTTGATGCCTGTCAAACATGGGCTGCTCTATGCGGCGTGAACAATAGTGGGAAAGTCGCGTAACGCGTTGATTAGTCAGCAGATGCGACAGCACGTGACTCTCATTAAAAGGCAAGAGCGCGCCCATGAGGTCGGAAAAATTGCGGCTGTTGTTGGCTGTCGGGTGTATTATGTAATGTCACCAAGTCTCATGCAAAACAAGCAGGAATTGCAAATTGCCAATAATCTGGCGTACTGAGAGGATGCATTTTTCATCCAATCTCCTTCGTACATCTGATCTACTTATACTTACTTTACAAATGACGGATGTATATGAGTGACTAAGTCAGCACATATTCCGTATCAGTTGTTGTGAAAGGGAACCCAACTTTCCCTTGTCAAGATTGTTATCAATTTTGCTATGTAATTACAGGGCTACCAGAAATGAAAGACTGCCATCAGAAGATGCCATTAGCGCATCGGCTCGCATCTGCAAACATACAAACAAATTAAATGAACGCATAGTGATGCAACAGCATAGAAAGAGGCCGCATGAAAATACAGAGGTGTGTCCACCTTTCTATTCTGAGTTTTGTCCTCGCCAAAGGTAAAAATACAAGAAGTCTGACTGTAGTTCTGAAGGTGTAAGCAGAACACTAAAAAGCATCTTCGAAGTACTTTTAGGTCAACTTCAGCCTTATCCCTGGCCAGAGAAGCCAGGACATGTGGCAGATCTATATCCACGGCTACCCGATCAAGATCTATATTCCCCGAGGTATCCAATTCCATGTTTCTGCATGGATTGTGACATATGCCTACTCCGTATTATAAGTCTATTTTTTACCATATTGTAACCTCTGATTGAGGCAGATCTCCCTCCAAAATTGCAGCATTGCGCTCGCGGCTGTCGGCGGCATCGGTGGAGTTGCGATCAGATCTTCTTCCGGCCCGCACGGCTGGCGTGGCCGGCAGCCGGCCGGGGCCCACTCCGGATGCGGAGCATCAGCATTTGGCTATTGGCTGCAAGAAAACGGCTTTCGCCGCCACGCCGCTTTAAGCCGACCATCTGTTTTTTCGCAAATTTTCGCAGTACTCGCAGAGGGAAAAGTACGTAAATATTATCTAAGAGCCACCGTTAGAGACGATGAGGTGAGCTGGCAACCAAGGTGTGTATGTTGAGTTGGGAATTCAGCCCCCAAAGTATAGTGCATGAGCATAGGAGAAGAAGAGCGCAAAGATTAGTCGCTGTGTTAAAAGGAGAATACCGTTGAAACATTAAATTTCGATGATAAGGAGCGATTAGATCAATTGCCAGTTCTCCTCTTTCGGTGCTGCTATGCCGCGAAGTTGCTATCTCCAACAAATCATGACGTGGACAATTGGTGTGAAGCAAGGGTCAGACCATGTTACATCTCGATTCTTGGCCAATTCTTCTTCGTCGTGCCAAGGTAATCCTTCTCGCTTTGTGGAGATGCAATTGATACACCGCTTGATCTGATAGGTAGTTTACTCCTTAAAAGCAGCGATAGCAGTCGTGTATGCGCTTCTCGCATGCTGGCTTACCGGAAGAGTCCGTTATCAGCTTCCCCTGAAAGCAGTGGCCATGAATCCTGGCTTCGGCGTGGGGCCGGCGGTTATCCAGTTTTTTCTAACCGTGCCTCAGACGGATGTCGGTTCCGACGTTTGTATTAAACAAGACGAATTTCCTTTCTCCAACCTGTCAACCTTTTTTTTTTAGTGCTTCCTTGCCTCCAAAACGCAAATGCCTTGTCTAAATTGGCTGTGACCTAAAATTAATACTACTCTTAGCTCTCCGATTAGAGAATTGCAACCACAACTACAGGTCCGATGGCCGATACACAAGAAAAGGTCGCCACGACCCCTCAAGACACTAGCCGAGAAGGATCTATCTATCCCGGACAACAGATTCCACAAGCAGCCGAGAAATCTCACGCAAAGGAAGAATTTGTCGACTACTTCACACAGGACGTTCGTACAACACTGTTCGTTGAGCTACAACTCCTGCTCATAACATTCTGTACAGGCATCCAAGGTAAATAGATGCCCTCCCCATTCTAGTATCGTACCTCTATATCCAGTGGCTAAAACAAATTCATTAAAGATGCAACCACGTTTCCAGACTATCACTGCTTTGCCTCGAACCAGACTGGCAACACAATCTTTCTCTGCCTGGCAGTGATAATACCAAAACTGAACGGCGATATGTTCTACACCTCAAGTATTGCCACAGGATTGGGAGTCTTCCTTGGTGCAGGATGGTTGACTGGCCAAATTGGTCATATCGTTGGACCTCGGAAGCGATGGTGGCTTATTCTGTGCAATCTGATTCAGACTGGTCTCGTCTTTGCTGCCACCGGGGTTCAATATCGATATGGAGTTGAAGGCCACGGTCCGAAAGCCCTTACAGTTATAGCCCTGCTGGCATTCGCCGCTGGTAGTCAGGTAGTCCAATCTCGAAGCCTGGCTGCAACTGAAATCAGCACTGCAATGGCGACTGCGGCATGGGTAGACTTGATGATCGACCGAAGGCTCTTTGTCCTGGACAACCGACCCCGGACAAGACGTGTTGCTTTCCTTTTAGCACTTGTCGCAGGAGGTTTCATCGGTGCATTGCTCTACCGGACGGCCGGTTCAGCGGCTGCCCTGGCTGTGTCTGGAGCTGGCAAAGCAGTCGCCAGTTTGCTGTACATCTTCTCAGGGGGCGAAAAGAAGAAAGTCAACACATCGGAGGTTTGAGATTAAAGCGAGCATGGAGTTTGGTTTGGGCGTTTTTGGTTGGGGGTAATGATTGGGTTATTAAAAAGCGAGCGGTGCTGCATTTGCAATCAGTATACAGATTTTAGATAGCGAATTTTTTTTTTCATGGCATTAGATAAAAAGCGGCGAAGGTGCACGCGGTAATGATAAAGAACTTTTATTAACTTACATTTATTGATTCATTTCCCACGATATTTGCTCAAGTTTCGTAAGATTTGCGTCGAATTTTTCTGTATGTCCATACTTTTGGTTTCTTCCCGGTTAGGTCATGCGCAAGTAAGGTACTTGGCGAGCCCACCCTCAAATAACAATAACACTTATGTTAAAATAATTCCTTGTGAACAGCTTATTAAACCGATATAATGATTGGTTATTAGACACTGTTTTTTACGACTATATTAAGGTCAACGAGCCAGCCCATTATGTATATAGTAAAGCATTTAATTACACCTATATCTTTAGAATAAAGGGGATACTAACGGCAGCTAACTCAAGCCTCCTTCTGCTAGCTACCAATGGATCACGAGGCTTGTCAAAATAGCTCCTGGCAATGCTCTATGCATTAACTAACGAATAATAATTAAGAATCGAATCCTCCCCTTCAAAATTGAGGGTTGATCTTATCCCGCTGGAGATACCACTCTGGGTTTCCTCTTTTCCACTGACTGAGCCACGGATGGAAATCCTGCTTAAGGCGCGCTAATACCCCGCAAGATTTCTCTGGATACGGCTTCCAAGTAGTTTATGGTGCCACGTCAGCGGTCTATCTCATTTTCAGCGCTGTTGAGCCACTGTGCTTACACAAGTTGAGATCTCAAGCGCGAGATTTTGTCATTTCAGCTGGCCACATGTGCGCTAAAAAGAAAATGGAAGCTTCATTAAATATGATTGGGTAAACGCCATTCGAAGACATTGGTATATTACCATGCAGCAATATTTAAGAGTCTTCCTATTTTCACCGTAATACTCCACATCACAAGCTAGATTTACCCCCTTGATCGCAAATACCACACCCACACACCAGAATACAGTACAGTACATTGGGAAGGAAGATCAACATCGATATAAAACTCCACATTACAACACTCTATCATCAATCCACGCCAATTCCTTCAAAAATCGCTTCTCGCGGACTGGCTAGTTCATCCGGCTCGTCTTCTTCGATCTGCGCGGCCGTGATGACTTCAATGACTTCCTCAGTCTCAGATTGGGGCTCAGGCTCGGGCTCGGGCTCGGTCTCGAAGGCGGCGGCAGCTATGATAACCCTGACGATAGCGGCGGATCGACGGCATCGTCGCTGGGTAAGGAATCCACTGCGATATCGAACTTGTGATGTTGAAGGTCTTGTGTGATGTCGTAAAGTACATGGCGAGCCGGGGCGCCGCACTGCAATTAGGTGTGCATTGATGGGATCGGTGGTGTGTGTACATTAATTTCAGTACTGGCATGGACCACTACGGTGAAAATAGCAATATTCTACGGTGAAAATAGGAAGACTCATATTTAAAGACATAGGGATCCCCTTCAAACAACATTTTTTCGCACAACCTAGGTCGAGCTCATTTTGCTAATCATTTGCGGAATAAAAAAAGAGAAAAGGGACATTACAAGATGCCCGTTGCTCAGCAGAACGGTACTTATCGATATCCCTATTCCCTATCTATCATCAACGTTTAGAGAGGCCACAAGTGCCAGAACATATCCAGTCGCACCTTGATGAGATACACAAGACCGCTGAGGCCGCCGAGGCCGCAATCAAAGCTGGAAACACTGAGCTGGCAACAGAGCTCAAGGCTCAACTGAAGCATTTGTTCGAGAATGCTCCAGAGGATGCCAAAACAGGCGGCTTCATTGGTTCCGGTGGCAACAACATACCTGTACCGCCAAAAGACGGTATGTCACAAGATCCAAGCACACACAGAATATTTTCGGCGTTATGAAGTCATTTGCAGGAGTTTTAACGACACTTTATAGATCCGGAAGATTTGCCCGAGTCTCAAAAGCAGATTAATGCTGAGCTTAAAGAACTTGCTACTGCTCTCCACAAGGCAATTCAAGACGAGGATGACGAGACTGCAAAAGAACTGCGAGCCCGGATAAGTGCTCTGAGGCAGAAATCCCATCAAGAGTCTAAAATTACCCCTAAGGCTGCTGGCTTCTTCGAGTTGTGGATTGAAATTCACAACCTAGACTCAAGCCGTCTTTTTAATGACGGAGGATGGGATGTCGCACATGGATGGTTTGAGTCAGGCAGGGTAGCAGACTCTCTTGGGTATGGGGATGTGGCTTATATTCATATGGGTGGTGCTCCAGGCCCAGGGATTTTCTGCACTGCTTATTACAGCTACCAGGATGGCGCAGCGTATTCTGGATCTTTTACGTGGACTTCTGATGATTTGCGTGGGTATAGCAACGGTCGATGGGACAGCTGGCATTCCTTTGACGGCCGGATTGTCCGCTTTTACGTTCAACAGAGGTGATTGGTAGCCTCTGTTCCATAGTAATTGACATACGAATTACAAGGTGCCTGATGACCACTCCTTCGCGAGTTGAGAATACGCAGCTGCGTATCCGTGGATCCTGTTTAACTAATTTGAAGAGGTCAGAGACAGCCCCTGTGATCAATTGCAAAAATCCTGCTGCCAATGCCAAAGATGTGCACGAGTACATGCAGATTCACAATCTTCTATGTCTTCTGCTCCTATCAATGAGCTTTTCAGGTGTAGTGTTCCGAGCTTCGCATCATCTCATTAAGAGGAACTGGTGGTGTAAATCGACAAATCAGCTCCCTGTCCCACCAGACCCACCGCTTTTCTGCCTGTTCTGGCAATTCAAGCTGTCCGGAACTAAGAATTCTCCGCTCCGATCAGGCTGCCATGGTGGGGCCGGCCGCTCTATGAGATCCAAGCCAAGCTTCAACCAGGCATCAGCGGGCCTTTATTTGGCGATAGCTTCGTTTGTCTCTTGATCCTGGCGCCGGTCACGAGTTTTCGCGATGCATCATCCTGGCTGCTTTAGGCAGCACACCAGGATCAACGCGTTTCGCGTCGGCATCGTTCCTCTTTCAGCTCCAAACGCCACGTTTGACCGCCAAGATGCTACTGCAATTGGGGAACGTTAGTGGCAGTTCCACGGTCTTAGTGCTACGAAGCGTCGAGCCCGGCTTCGTGATGACATGGAAATAGTTGCTGTGCTTGCTCTAGCTTCCGACAATCGAGACATGTATAAAGCACGCAGATGCTCCCGTTCGTTTTCTAGGCCCAATTCCAAGGCAGTTCGCACAATCACGAATCTCTTCTTCTTCTCTCAATTGAACCCAATTCGTCGTGCTGTGCCTCGTTGTTCTCCTTTTCTTCTATCGTCTGTTCTTCATCTTCGAAACATCCAATTGTCTCACCGTGCAATATTTCTTTCTGCCTCCTACTCTACGAAGCCTTCATTTGAGTCAGACTCACCAGCAAGAATGGCTCTCGGAGACTTCCCCAAGCTACCTGCGTCCCAGGCGGACCTGGTAAAATACATTGCTCAGAACCCAGACAAGCCTATGGTGGAAATCATGGACCCATATCGCAAGTTTGAAGCTCACTTGCGCTCCGTTTTCGCACAAGACCGACAAAACCCCATCCTCGATGATCCTTTCCTCAATGTTGTGCCTCTCTTTACTGATGATACCAAGGACATCACTGTCCGTGCCCGAGACCTAGCCTCTGAGTCGGAGGAAGAAAAGTCCAAGTACATCATGGCTTTGCCGGATGACAAGCGTCGTCCCCATGGATCACCAGCAACTGTTGCCGACCTGACCGAGTTTCAAAAGAACTTTAACATATTCTCAGAGTCTTCTCTCGCTGAACTCGACTGGAACAACGTTGTGGCAGCTGGCTCCTCCGTCGTCAACACGCTGCTGCCAGTTCCCAAAGAATTTAATACGAACAAGAGGAAGCTTCGCGAGTATTATCATGAGAAGTTTTGCCCTGCATCCGATGTTGACCTCTTCTTATACGGTCTCACCCACGAAGAAGCCATCGAAAAGATTAAGCAGATTGAGCAGTCTATTCGTGATTCCATCTTAAGCGAAGTCACTGTTGTTCGCACGAAATACGCCATCACCATTGCCAGCCAATATCCTGTTCGGCATGTGCAGGTAAGCATAACCCCCCTCCAGATGCAGATCCAGTCAGCATTCTCATTCAATTGGTTTCCCACAGGTCGTTCTCCGTGTCTACAAGTCCATCAGCGAAATCTTGACCGGTTTCGATATTGATGCCGCTGGCGCCGCGTACAATGGCAAGCAGGTTTACGTGGCTCCCAGAACTCTCGGCAGCATTATCACTCAGATCAACCACGTGGATCTCACTAGACGCAGTCCCTCTTATGAGAACCGTTTGTCCAAGTATTCTCACCGGAATTTCGAAGTCTACTGGCCTGAGCTTGACAGGTCACGCGTGGACCCCACAATCTTTGAGAGAAGCTTCCAGCGAACATTGGGTCTTGCTCGTCTGCTCGTCTTGGAACGACTTCCAACCACGCATGCTCGCGATGCCTATCTCAACAAGAGGCGTCAAGAGCGTGGCAGGCCCGCGCTACAACGCAGTCACTTCCACCTCCAAGGAAACCTCAAGTCCTACCACGAAGACGAGGTTGCCGATTGGCTCTCGGAGGAAGACATTAGCAACTACCACACTTTTACTGTTCCCTATGGCGAGAAATTCAACGCAAAGCGAATTGAGAAGCTGTGCTACACTAGAGATCTACTTCTCAACGCTGAATGGAATCAGCCAAAGGAGCGTGAAGTGTATTTGCATCGCCACCCTGCATTCTTTGGACGGGTTGAGGATGTGATTGAAGATTGCTGTGGTAGCTGCCCTAAACCGGTGACTCCAGAAGAAATCGAAGCCGCCGAGAAGGAGGCAGAGATTTACATCTCTGGCAAGGTCACGTTCCTCATTGACGATCCCGGCAGGCAGCAGATCGGATCGTTCAATCCTCTGACGGAGCAAGACTGGACTGACATGGCTTATATCGGCAACACTGCTAGACTGTTCCAATCAATTGCTGAAAACGATGCTGATGACGTCTTGAATTGGCTCTCTCAAGAAGGCGCGGACCCGAATCAGAGGGACTATACCGGACGGGCCCCGCTTCATCTCGCGGCCATGGTTTCTTCTCCAGAAGTTGTCCGCCATCTAGTTGATGGTGGCGCTCGCCTAACCGCTCGTCTTGCGGACGGCAAAACAGCTCTGCATCTTGCCGCTGCCAGAGGTCATGCTGAGATCATCAAAATTTTGATGGACAAGAGTGACGAGAACGAAGAAGCCGAAGAAGACAGGAAAGACAGGAAACGCAAAGCCACCAGAGCTCAAGGGTCTGAGAACAAAGAAGACGCTGAGAAGTCATCTGAGGACGCCGAGAATGCAGAGGAAGACTCAGATATTGAGCTTGTGGATAACGCCGAAACAGAGACAGAGGTGCACTCTATCGTCACTGGATCCTTTGTCAAGGTGGAAAAGAACAAGGAGGACAAGGAGGAATCCGCGCTCGAAGAACCCGAGGACGGACCAGACTTCTACCAGATTAACGTCCTTGCGTGGGATATCCCATGCTCTCCCCTCCATCTCGCTATTGCTGGAGGACATGAAGATGTTGTAAAGGCTCTTTGCGATGTGAGTATCATGAGAACTTTCCTATACCCTATGCATCATGCTTTGTTATTATTGTTTCTAATGCAAATTAGTACGGTGCCGACTCTATCCTTCCAGTCAAATTCCTGTCTACCAACATGCACTCGAATTTGGCTGGCGCTATTCTAACCATGACACTTGCATTGTCGCTGCCCTCAGAGAAGGCCAGGTCTATGGCGCAGTTGCTTCTCAAGCTGGGTGCCACATGTTCCCAGGCAGATGCTGATGGATGCACCGTCTTCCATCGCTATGTCGACAGCGGCAATGTAGACATGGTTGAAACACTCATCGACAACGACCCAAGGGGTGTTCAGGCGGCCATCAACCATTTGTTCTTTTCTGGCTACATGTGGAGACCTGACATTATATCGCCACTTCAGTCTGCTCTCGAAAAAGGCGATCCTATTCTCGTCCTCAAGGTTCTGAACGCAGGAGCCTCGGTCGAGATTGACTTTGATGCCTGGCTAAAGTCAGCAAAGGTGGCTCCCTCGCAGACCAGCAATCTCGGAAACCTAGAACAAACAAAGAAGAGATACGAGGAATCGATAGAGCAGCCTTTGATTGCTGCGATTCGGTCAGGCAACACCGACTTGGTGATCCAGCTCTTGGAAAAAGGAGCAAATCCCAATTCGGTCACTCGTGAGACTCAGTACGCATTATCGAATGAGTCTCAGCGCAACTGGACTAAGGGAACCACCGCATTGGACATGGTCAAGCATCTTATAACGAAACTGCGCGAATACACTGGAGAAAAGACTGCGTTGAGAAAGCCTGAGAAACAGCCAGGTATCGACTCTTACTTGGAAAAATTTGAGCCTGGTACCTATCAACATTGGCTAGTTGCTTTCAAGGTCAAATCGGCTCAAGATAGGTACCAAACCGAAAAAGACAATTACGAGAAAGAGGTGCGGAGAGTGGCTGAACGCAGAGGAAATGCTGAAAAAGCAAAGGCCATCGAGGAATCCATTTCTGATCTCGTTAAGCTTGAGAGCATCCTTATTGCCAAAGGCGCGCTGGTATTCAGTGAACTCTACCCAGACATCAAGATGGAGAACCGCCACAACTACAGCTACATCCCTCCCGAGCCCCCGAAGGTTACAGCGTTTGAGTATAACATCCTGTTCAATGGAGACAACGACATGATCGAGGGGAAGAAGGATGGATATATTCAATTGTAAGCCCACGAATCCACTTATTCTGTACTTTTGGCATAAAACTAACACTTGGGCTTAGGATGCAGGCAGCCTGGACTGGAGATATCGGGACAATCAAATCCCTAACGCTCCAAGCTTGGGGCCCTAACAATGAGCATGCACCGCTTAATATGGCTATTTTTGATGACAGCCGTAACTCTCCATTCTCCATTGCCTACCTTCGTGGTCACTATCACACTGCTAAGGCCATCCTGGAGATTATTAGGGCCCAGTGGTCGGCACCCGAAAAGGAAAAAGTCCGCTACAAGATGCAGTCCCGAGATGAAGACGATGAGGATGAAGATGAGGAAGACGACGAGGGGGATTCGGACAATGAGCTTCGAATTGTCTCAGAGACGATTGACCAAGCCTTCACCATTGATGATATTGGCAAAGTCTCTATGCAGGTCAAATCTCACACCAGGCCCATCGATGTAATCCGAACCCATGCACCAGGTATCGTCAAGAAGAAAGACGGATCGATTCAATTTGGCGCCACCCAAAGTCTCTTCGTACATGCCATCAACGATGAGGACACGGCTGGTCTGAAAGTCCTTCTAGGACTGGTGAGTGAGTACGAGCAGACGGAGACGACTGGTGACGAAGACGAGTCTGTCAAGAGGTTCAACCTGGAATCCAATGACTTCCTTTCAGCAGTGCAAAGCGGGAACACGGAAGCTCTCAGCCTTCTTATCAAGCGAACCGGTGCAGGGATTCCTTTAGACCATCTCGTCAAGAAGAGCGGCGCCGAGTTGAAGCAAAAGCCCCGCTTCTACCAAGGATTGACGGTTTATGGAAAGAAGAGGTATGAAGATTCCATCCAAGATTGATGAGCATAGGGTGACTAACATTATTATAGAAAGGATTGGGCACAGGCCGGGCGAAACATGGTCGTCAGGACCACTGGCCTTCAAACGCCGCCTCTTCTCCATGCGGCACTCGGTGGTCGCATTGACGCAGTCGAATTCTTCTTGAGCGATAAGCCTCATCGTCTATATAGCGAATTTGCCAAGTCCAAGGCCGCCGCTGAGGATCCCCGGCTCAAGCATCTCATCCAAAGCCCAGTCGGCTTTGACCGGGTCATATCCAAGTGGCTTGGCGCAGACAGTAAGCGTTCTTCTTTGTATAAGAGAATGAGAGACGGCATGTATGCTAACAGAAGGGTTCACTAGATGATTTCGTGCTGCATACGGCCATCTTGGCAGCACCATCCAAGAACTCCATCGAGCTGGTCAAATATTTAATCGAGTCCTACCCGGAGTCGCTTGAAAAGAAGACATCCAACGGCGATACGCCTCTGTTCATTGCCTGTCGTCTCGGCTACGTCCATTTTGCCAAGCTCTTAATCGGTGCAAACGCCGACCAAGCTACCCGCAACCATATGGGAGAGAACATCTTGCATGCGGCCGTGGCCGGCAATCCAAAGGCAGCTAGCCTTCGTCGCCTTCTCGACATTATCGATCCCGGTCTTCGAAGTCACTTGTTCACGGAGCGCAAAAGCCTGCAGGTGAATGGTCTGACGCCGCTACATGCTTGGATCTCTCAAGCTTCCGGTGTGGTTAACGATGATTCCGCCGTGTATTCAAGGCGCAGGAGATACTACTACCATCACCAGCCGTCGTCGCCCTATTCTAGAACGGAGGATGTTGTGGACATGCTGAAGCTCATGTTGGAATATTCCAAGGGTGAGGAACTGGACATGCTCAACGGCGCTGGTGATACTTGTCTCCACACTGCCATCATGCAAAGGATGATCTGCATCGTCAAGATCCTCATTGACTTCAAACCTCAGCTCCTGTACAGAGAGAACGCCGTCGGCCGCACGCCTGCCGAGGTGGCACAGGACAAGGTCACGGCCGACCAGTTCGCCCAACAGACCAAACTGCAAAGTACGCGAACCGACAAGCTCGACACCTGGCCGACCCAGGCCGCCAGCACTTTTATCAAGTGCTCGACCATTGAGGGCCTAAGCGACGATCAGCTTCGAGAGAAGGTCGTCGAGCTCGGCCTCAGCGGTCAGTACCAGCCCGCCCAGGTCGCCGCCATCATCGGCCTAGTCGGACTCGCCCCGAGCCAGGAGACGCTCCCTGATACGGCTCGCAACACCGTCATCTGGGACCTCTGCAAGACCTGCATGGACAAGAACCCCGGCAAGCGCCGCCTCGTCAGCCTCAACGAGGCCAACGACGTCGCCAAGAGACTCGGAGAGAAGCATACCGCTTCACGTTACTTCTCCATCCAGGCCCGCGCAGAGGACGATGATGAGGAGCCCAAGGACGATGCGGAAGAGAAGGACACGAGGGACTTCGCAGCCCAGCAGCTGTCTTCGAAATTGAGTAGGGCTTGGAGGTTCAACAGCTTTGTCGGCAAGGATTTTGGTCTTGAAAGGTGTGACGAGTGCAAGTCGTATCATGATGGGCTGTGCAAATGATTGTAAGCCTGCTCTTCAGATTTTAGATTTAGCGATATATGAGTAGAGTGAAACAATGATGAATAAGAAGATTTCGAACACCCACGCCTTAAATCAAACGCCTGTTCTTTCAGTATCTGCTACTACAGTTATATTTCCTATAGTATTTACTGCTCTAACTGTATTTATTTAGTATCTGCTACTACAGTTATATTTTCTATAGTACTTACTACTTTATCTATATTTATTTAGTAACCGCTACTATATCTATATTTCTCTAGTAACTACTACTATATCTATATTTCTCCAGTAACTGCTGGTATAATGATACATTTGTAGTATTTGCTACTATAACTGTATTTAGCTAGCACTTAGGACTAAGCTGATTGGGTGCTCTATTGCTAAATATATGCACTTGTTCATTTTGCGGTCTTGCTTTTTCTGACCTCCACTTGACAGTATAGACTTAGCTATATGAGTAGAATAAAATAACGACGGCCATGAAGGACGAATAGACAATAAGATCGTAAAGACGTAAACTACTATATATTGATATTGAGATATTTGAACAATGTGATTTCTTTTCGTTTTCGCATGACAAACTTGATGAGAGAGTGGTGAAACCAACCTCGCTCTCCACGCAAGGAATACTTTCCAACATGTTACATATTTCCAATCTAGCCCACTGACAAGGCCGGCCAATCGGATCCGCAGCCCAAAATCATCTTACTGTACAAGGTTACACGAGCCAGCTCACGACCTAATAGTAACGGACAGTTCGGGGAGCACCATCGCCCCAAAGTCCAACCACAGACAGCACAAAGGCGGCGGCAGCAAAGCCGGTCTTGACGAAATATGCCCTCGCAGCACCCTCAACATTGGCTCTGACCTCCTCGCCATTCACATCCTCCAGCTCAGACTCGCTGGGCAGGTCTCCCTCACTGTGCGAATCGCCCAAGACCTCATAGCTCGCTTCCATCCGGGCTCTAGATGAGGTGGCCTTGCGTGCGCTGGTAGGCTTCGAAGCTGTTGCAGCCGGCTGGGGAAGGTATCCGGGCACTACAACCGACAGCACAGCCAGAATGGACGTATAGAACAGGTACGGGTGGCGAGCATAGCGCGGGGAGCAGACGAACGACAGGAAGAGCGGGGCAGCGGCCAGTGATGAAAGAGCGAGGACGGGAAGACGCAGCGAGGATTGCAGTGAGGTCAAGGCGTGAGCGGCGGAAGACGACGAGGGGAGCTGGAGGAGAGTTGGGAGAGTGACGGCTGAGACGGTATACGAGACGCCCTGCGATGGCACCGAGAAAGTCAGCAACGAATTCTTATTGCACGAACACAGCGAAAGCTACGAGTGATCCATAGCAAATGCGATTGTTTCTTTGCCCGCTGCCGTTCGCCATCCCCCAAATTCCACAGAGTTGAAGCTGTCGCTTTGAGCTGCCGGGGGGGCTGAATGCGATGCAGCCGAACATGCGACTTCGAGGAGGGGGAGGGGCAGCCGGACTTTTTTCGTCGTCTTCGCTACAGAGACACATGAAGAAAAAGCTAGGAAATAATGGCGAAACTTGCCGTCAACAGCCCGAGGGACACGGTGCCCACGAATTTGAGGACCGAGATCCCCTTTGCCATGGTGATTGAATTGTGTGATGTGTTGGTGTATGTGTTGTTGCGATCAAAGTGCCTTGTAAGAAGCAAAAAGTGGGAGCTATTCAGAGTTTCGGAAAAGAATTGAGTTAAAGAGGCGCCAGAAGCAGAAAAATCGGGTGGTCGCAAAAAGATAACGCCGTGCCTGCCTTATTGAACAAGCTGGGTGCAGATAAGGCAGTGACACTGGTTGGACGTCACGTCATGCTCTTTGGGAAGCAACGAACGGGAGCTATTAGTTTGTTAGCAAATAGTCTAGCATTTGAACGTTAGGCAGTAGCTAGTACTGCGAATCGCTGCTTCCCCGTCTGGACTCATGGAGCACTTTTGCCGGCAGTGAATGGGAACAAGTTCAAAGTCACTTTAGTGGGGCGCCAAATAGCTCTGAGGTCCCCACTTAAATGCGGGTGATTCACGTGCCTGGGCAAACAGCTTTGCGGTGCCACAGCTGCAATTTTTCTTTTCTCTCTTAAAAACTCTCTCTTGCATATATCAAGCTCAAGTTTGCACTTGAGGTTTGTCTATGGAAGCCTTTCTGATGGCCTGATTCACTCTTTTCCTTCTCTATTTCTCTTCTTTTATTTCTTTTACTCCTTCTTCTTCTTTATTTCCATATAACAAACAGCAATTCTCACAGCTGTAAAAATAAACGTATGTTTTTATACTCTTCTCCAACCGCATTTCCTCACGCGCCGACATCACGCAAAACAAAACAACATCTCCTTCTCCTCACTTTTATATGATGAACAACCTTGCACCCATATTCTTTTAGGAAGAGCCGTCTGAGACTGCCTCCGATTGGCCGGTGCGAGCTTCCCCCCTGGGAGGCTTGTGTCTGTCGGTCCTTTGGTCGCTTCCAGCAGGGCCGTCGTGGGATTCCGCGCCCAGTTTGCATCGTCATATGCGCAACTGGGCGTTCCGCGGCGGTCATGCTGGCGGCGGTGGGGGCCGTAGTGCTTATAACTGGGTTTCTGAAAAAAAGAGTTGAAGACTTGTTGTGATTTTTTGCATACGTTTTGCAATACATGTTTTACTCGAACGAGTGCTAACTCACTCTTCATAGTTGAATTAAACAGGGCGACGATAACAAGGCGGTCTTCGAGAGGACATCGCCGTCCAATAATCATATTTGGTCATCAATTCATCATCTTTTTGTAGTTTCCTCCACACAAATAGCTCCCGTAATATGTATATGATACAATACAATACCATGCTTTCATCTCAGAACAATTCTTCCATTTCATCGCTAGCCTTGCCTTAACGCCCGTGACCCTTTTGTAGCTCACATTAAACATCACTATCGTCACTGTCCAGCAACGCAGGTCTTGTGCGTCGCCTACTCCTAGTTGGTGCCGCCTCTTCAGACGCTTCTTTCGCTCGGCCTTGCATCCTGGACGGGCCAGCAAGCGCATGCAAGTCTGGAACTCCATCGCTCTCTTGGGTGGCCGTGAATTGAGTTGGCACAAAATAGGGTTTGCTTGCCCCTGCTCGCGGCGTCCGCTCGTTCGGCTTTATAGGAGACGTTGCTTCGGAATCAAACATGCTAGATGTTGCTTGGTCGTCTCCAACGACGAAATCTACCAAGTCGGCACCGTCATCCGAGTCGCTCTCGTCAAGCAGATCACTATCCCTTTCGCAATCGTCTCCAATCTCATCACTGCCAATGGCAGCTTTCCGTGATTGCTTTCCTTTTGACTTGGCATTCAGCCTTTTTTGTCTTTTGGCTTCGCTAAGTCGGGGCGGTAGCCCGGGCTCTTCCTCTTCCTCTTCAATGTCTATCTCAAGATCAGAGTCAAACAAATCTTCGTCTCCCGAGTCCAACACACGCCGAGCAGCAGACTGAGTGCTCTTTTTGGGCTGAGTCTTTTTGGGCTGAGTCTTTGTGGGCTGAGTCTTTTTGGGTTGAGTCTTTATGGGTTGAGTCTTTATGGGTTGAGTCTTTTCGAATTGAGTCTCTTTGGTCGAGACCTTTCTCCTCTTCGGCTGCTGGACCTCAAATACCAAGGAGTCATCATCTGATTCGACTTCAATGGCCTGTCGCTTTTTGCTGTCTGCTGCAGCTTCATCATCGCTCGAATCTGTCTCGCCGGTATCAGAATACACAAATGGCTTTACTGGAATTTCAAGATAATCGCTTGTGTCCACGTCTCTGCGGGGCCTCACGAGGCAATCAGCATCCCCCAGCTTTTGCAGCAGCTTGACGCAGCGTTTTGTATAATCCCCATGAGGGACGAAGGCAGTCGGGCGTAGCTGTCGTTGCAGCGTTGGATGAGCTTCCATACTCGGCAGATCAGCTTCATCAGTCACGTTACGGTTAAATGGTAAATTCCGGTACGTTCGCTCGAGCTCGTAAAGCTCATCCGAGCCAAGAACAACACGCTCCAATTCAGGAATCGCTGTCAGGTCATCTAGTTCGGGGTTTCGCTTTGGCTTTGAACTTGACTTGGACACACGCTCTCCCGGGTTTGTCGAGACCTTCATGAAATCACTGACTTTTTGAAACCCAGTCTGAACTCCATCCGGCATATGGAATTTCTTGGGTGGTTTCTTTTTACCCTTGGGAACCTGCCGTTTCTTGGGTTCTGGTAAGGACTTGTCTTGAGTATTCTCAACTGGAATCTCAACATGCCGCATGTCCACTTCGGGCCGTATGTCTCGGGGTACAATCCGCGTGGAGAGATCAAACCGAAAGTTGAACCGGCTTCCTTCGCAGATGAGCTTTTGCATCTTTTCGTAGTTATCCTTCGACTTGGCAAACTGTTCCTCCTCTTTCCCCCTCATCAGGAGCAGCGCAATGTTACCTGCTCGCTTTCTTCCCGTTCTGCCCATGCGCTGCAACATGCGAATTGGAGACGCCGAAGAGTCATAGCAGACAATAAGATCAACCTGGCCAATGTCCAACCCTTCTTCTCCAATGGAAGTAGCAACGAGGACGTTGTAGGCGCCAGTCTTGAACTTTTCGATCGTGTCTATTTGCTGCTTCTGCTTCATGCCCTCGCCGCGCTTACCATCAGCTTGCCCAACAAAGACGGTAGCTTTGATGAGTGGTCGATGGGTATTGAACATGCGCACAATCTCTTCGGCGGAATCACGATACTCGCTGAACACTATCACTCGAGTCCCCTCCCCGTTATCCATGAAATGATTCAAGACGCAATCAGCCAAGGCTGTGAGCTTTGGGTGTCCCACAAAGCCGTCGAGCTTGAGCCACCCAGCAATTTTATCCATCATTTCTTGGAAACTGGCACTATCGATGATTTGGCGCCTGTACTTGGATCCCTTTTCGCCTTTGTCTTCTTGTTCACTGCGAAAGTCGACCATGTTATCGTAGAAAGGTTTGATACCATGATACTGCAATAATTTGATCGAATGAGCAAGACTCGTTAGCACGCTGAATATTGCCCGCATCATGAACTGGACACCTTGGTTCGCGCGGTTCCCACGCGTGGCAAACCACTCCTTCTGTGCCTGTATCAAGCCGTATGTTGTCAGAGCCATCGGATTCCGCCCATACCATATATTTTGGGAGCTGAGTTTCTCTGTCAACGGCTTGAGAGCCTCAGTAAAGAGCTCGCCGATGAGATTCATCTCGTCCGAAGGGTCAAGGACTATCTGATCTATGTTTCGATCGTGCACATACTGCCGAATGTCAAGAGACTCCTCGGTCCGGATTTCGCAGTGAGAAATCCCCAAATTGTCAATGACTTCTTGAACTGTCTCAACTTTCGAGCCCGGTGTAGCCGTCAGAGCCAGGACCCGAAAACTGTTGGAAAATCGGCGAATGAGTTTGGTAGCTTTAGCATACGCATATTCGCCCACGGCGCGATGCGCTTCGTCAATGACCATGAGACCAATACTCTTTGGGTCTGCATACCCATGGGAGAGATCATTCAGGAGCGTTTGTGGCGTCATGAAGAAGACTCGTCTCTTTTCCCACTCATCACTCCGCAGAGCAGGAGCAATGTCACCGGTAAGGAGTGTGGTCTCAGATCGAGGTATTCCCGCAATGTTATAACAAGCATCTATCTGCTGCGTTACAAGTGGCTTTGTCGGCGCTACAAAGACGATTTTGGCTGTCTTCGTCCAGCGGTAAAAGTTGAGCATCACTGTAGCAGCAATAAATGTCTTTCCCAGACCAGTCGGCAGCGCTACCAGCGTGTTATTGAACAAGCTGTTTCTGACAATGCTGAACTGATAGTCTCGAGTTGGCCCCAGATTTGTTGGATACACCCAAGTCTTCAATGCCTCTCTATCAAGCTGATGAGGGCTAGGAGGTTCAGGGGGCTGATCAGCCCGATAGACCCTGGTAGTCGTAGTCTGAGATGGGCGAGGAGCATCTTCCGTCGCCGCATGGCCACCCCATAACGTGGTTTGTCGCAAAGTACCGGAATTCGTGCGGCTGAAGCCAGTGCGAGCTGTTGCTACAGGCTTTGCTGGGCCCCTGGCAATCTGCCTCACTGGCTCTGGTGAAGAAAAGGCATCCGAAGGCAAATCATTCAGCTCCTGTGCTGCCCATTGCTGCTTATTCAGGTCACCGGCGTTATTCTTAGAGCCACTCGAAGAAGATGTAGATGTAGACACAAGCTTCCCTCCATTAGATGAAGATACTTGATCAAAGGCAGCGAGAATGTCCTCATCGGCGATATCGTCATCAAAATCGTCGGAATCCATGGCGACCAGAAGCCATGTAGTACCATGCAATATGGTCGCTGAGAGGTTAAAAAGTATCCAGTTTCATGTCTCTGAAGTATTCTTCAGGCCATTAGTAGGTGGTGTGTAACTGATGTAATTTCTTTGCGGTGGCGATGCTGGCCTCGTAAATACTAAGATGCTCATCCTGTAGTATTTCAGGCAGCATGTCGCCAATGTGACGCGCCAAACGACCACCAGGACGCGAAAACGGTACCACATCACGTGACTTAAATAGACTGTGACTCGCAAAGTGCAGCGGCCGGAATATCTTAGTCGAGAGGTACCTGTGTATCTCTGTACTTTTGCAATGGCAAGATTCCTTTGAGACCTGCTTGAACTTAGCCACAAAAGGAATAGAAAAGGGCTTTTGAACATATTTTATTCAGTCAAAGAGACTTCTCAAAGCTCTTTGCATTTTTCAAAGACGAACAACAATCACTGCAGAATCTATTTATAGTTTCTTAATCTTCCTTTCACTTGCCCATGTCCCTATGCAAACAAAGGTACACGCTCGTTCCTGTGAGATCTAAAGGCATTCGGAACAAATCTAGGCAGCCACTAGGCTTCATTAGGCAATAGTGCACGCCTGGAGAAAATCCGGCTGGCTGCCTGCCTAGTACCTCGCAGGCTTAGCACTTAACTGACTTTCTCAGCGGGTCTAGAAACAAACATCAAATCCTCTACATACACCAGTCCAAGCCTTGTTTTCTTCTTCTGCAACCATTTTCCAAGGCGAGGCTGCACGACAACGCTGCCTACGCATCACCGGAGTGTTCTCGTGCGATCCCCTAGAGCGCAAGGCCCGGGTTCTCTCCAAGCTACCAGAATTTCCACCTTCTTTCAACACATCCCGCGCTTTCTAGGAGAATCAGCCGCCGCGACAGAGTCTCAACAGCCCACCGCGGCTTCGCCTGACCTTCCTGAGTCTCCTGCGCTCTTTCGCCAGGCTAGCGAACCTCTTCGCTAAACCAAAACAACAAAAAACACCCCGCGCATCTCAACACATTTAGCCAAATCAGCGTCGCAGCTGCTAGCAAGGAAGGTCAAGTCCCAACCATCGGGGCCGACCCGACGAAGGAACCATCAACTGCGCCGCGCGGGCTCAGCATTCCTCTTTCGCAGCCGACCCTCACACCATACCGTCCAGACCACAAGGTTTTCGTGGACCGTTTGCGACTATGGCTCCTCGCGGGAAAGCTCAGTCGACTCGAGAGGCCCGAAATCCCCTGGGCGCAAAATCAAGCTCTAGGGGCGGCATTCAGAAGCGAAGAGGTCCGACGAGAGTCGACACCGATGGAGATCTCGATATGGATGGCCCATCCAAGCGGCCAAACAGAGGTCCTACGACTGAAACAAGTGGTGGCAGAGGCAGACCTTCAGGAAGAGGAGGTCCACAGCCATCTAGGGGGGCTGCCAAGGTTGCTCAAATCGTAATGAAGCAACTTGGAGGCGGTTCTGACTTGGCGTCTCGAGTTTCAAGACCAAACAGAGGTCGAGGTGGCCAAATCGAAGGGCTTACTTGGCTAAGGGTCCGTGGCCTCAAACAAAGCAAGGCTGCGTCCAACTCAGATGGGGGCCTCTCTGACCTGCTGAGCTTCCTGGAAAGGAAAGCCTCTTCTCTCGGAACTGGACGGAAACGACATATTACGATTCGAAAGGTAAGCCAATCATTGACGATTAAAGCAGGGGTGCCAACTTGAACCGACGTCTCAGCTGCTTCTTTGGCGACTGGAAGTCACACATCTCCGGGGAGATCCTTGACGTCGAATTTATTTCGCCCCAGCGCTTGAGGTTGAATATTCTTTTCTTTTTCTTGGTTGCTAACCCGCCATAGTCACACAGAGCTGGGGAATTCGTTTTTGTGGGGGCCAATAAGGAGGATGCGGAGGAACTTCTCAAGCTCAACACGTTCACATTTGCCGGCGTTCAGCTGGAGGTGGTGGAGTCTAATGGTGATTTTGAGCCGTCAAGCAAGGCGACAGAGTCACCAGAAACGGCAGAGCTACGCGCAAAACTTCAGTCGATTCTCAGCCAACGCTATATTGGTGAAAATAAACTACTCAAGCTCGACGCTCTTGCCTCTGACCCTGAGCTGGTCACTCTTGGCATGTTTGAAAACCGAGAGAGGGCACTCAAGACATTCAAGGGCCTCATGGCGATCTGTGATGGTCTCTTCAAGACGGCCCAGGAAAAGAAGGATGCGATTCACAGCATCAGCCTCGCTAATAACAGCATTGACAATGTTATCCAGGTGGAGTCCGTGGCAGTATCGTTCCCACAGCTAAAGAATCTCGATATGAGCGGCAACCAAGTTAGCAACATGGACGGACTCCAACGATGGAAGGGGAAGTTCAAGGAGCTCGAGACCATTTACATGACCGGGAATCCGATTGAGGGGACGGACGTCAACTATAAGACTACTCTGCTCGAATGGTTCCCCAAGCTCCAAAACATCAACGGGGTTGAGCTTCGCACTGCACAGCAGATCGCTGAGCAAGAGGCCGCCCGTCTACCAAAACCGATCCCGCAGAGCGGTCCCGACTTCCGGGACGTCAACGGCATCGGCGAACAATTCCTACTCGATTTTTTCATAGCATACGACACCAATCGCGAAGGACTTATATCCAGGCTATACGACGCTGGCAGTCAATTCTCCCTGGCCGTGGATGCCGTCTCCGTCAGGGATCCAAACGCACCGCCCCCTCTTCCATGGGCAGCCTACATCAAATCATCTCGCAACTTGATGAAAATTAACAGCCACCACGCCAGATCACAACGACTATTCAAGGGGCAAGCGGCCATCAATGACCTGTGGAAGGAACTCCCTATGACCAAGCACCCCAACATGAAGGAGGAGCTGAGCAAATACATCATGGATTGTCATCCGCTGCCAGGCTTGGCCGACCCCACAGGTCAAAGCCAACTGGGCGTCGATGGCTTAATCCTTGCCGTTCACGGCGAGTTCGAAGAGTACGACCAGAAATCAGGAACCACTGGCAAGCGTAGCTTCTCTCGCACTTTTGTGCTCGGGCCAGGCCTATCCGGAACCGCTCCGATCAGAGTCGTCAGCGATATGCTATCTCTGCGAGCGTACAGCCCCCTTCCAAACGTATTTGTCGCACCTTCACCAGCCCCTGTGGATGCGGCAAACCAGCATCAGGCAATGATTGCCGAGCTGTCAAAACAAACAGGCATGGTGCCTCAGTACTCAGAAATGTGCCTGTCACAAGTCGATTGGGACTTTGGCAGAGCCTTGGTCATCTTCAACGAGAAGAAGGTATGTTTACATTATGAATTCTGTTTTTCTTCAAGGCTAGTAGCTCACTCGCATCATTGTAGGCACAACTACCACCGGAAGCATTCGCATCAGCTGTCTAGCAGGCGGGCTGTTTTGTGCAATGCTCCCATTGCAACAAACCTACCCACATTGGGGTATTAGAGAGGATGGATTGACAGGAGAAACGGGGCAATCCCTGTGTGGAACTTTATATGGAACTTTGTGTCGGTATAATACATGGTCGGTTATTTATAGAGATCGGTATCTGGGAAGTAGGGGTTCCGTGTTCGTGTATTACATGCGTGGCAAAAGGGGAGGAGAGATGAGGAAACTAGTCTAGAAGCAAGAAATTGCAGACAAAAAAAAAAGCGCTGCATCGAGGTGGATGATGGGAGAATATACGAATTTTAAAGGCCAATACAGTAGAACCTGTGCGTGTATAACCATTATGTGATACTAGATCGCCTTGTCGTAATCAGCTGCTCTGAGGACGCTGTCTCAGTAATATGAGGAGATACAGCCAGCCAAGTGGCACTGGCGATGTCCACAATGCAGGAAATCGTGCGCCCATAGCGGATCAGCCAATGAAAGAGTAATAATTTGTCCTCGCGAGACCTCCTATCCGAGCGTTATTAGATTGAGGCCCAGAGGGAGTGACGCAAGACGTATGGATACAACGGCTCAGTGCCAAGACCACGTGCAAGATCACCAACAGGGGCTGTCGCAGGTGTTACTGAATTTGATACTATTCTGCCTGTGCGGCGCTTCAGTGTGTGGTCGTGCATTCATTTATTTGAAAATATGTTCATGAGCAGGTTATCGTGGAAGATGGATGTTTGACAGGATGTTGGTTGTGGGAGATTGGAATATGGCTATGTAAGAACTGGGTGTTGTGTGATGGCCCTGTCTGTACCCAGCGGACCAATACGAAGGATTACACGTAAGGCTTGTACCTGTGCTAGCATAGCCCATATGCCAAGAACAAAATTCCGCTTCTAATGAGAAAGTTCCATGGTAAGACAGCGGGATATAGCATTGGTTGGTGCGGAATATTTGGTGGCATACGAGCCTTGCAATTTACATGTGCCTACCCTACATGCGACAACAAGAAAAAAAATTTACGCGTTTATTGCTGATGCAACCAAAAGGCTTTCATATCGGGAAATAAGTCAAGAGAGTGAATAAACGACGGAACTGTTGCAAATCGGGATTGTTTTCGTCGTTTCGTGGCTGGGAGTTGACTGCAGCTGTATCCCAACCTCTCTCAAAGGGAGTTGCTTAATCGTACATGAATTTGCCCTCGCTTTGATACACTACAAGGAACACTGCCACGGATCTAAATATCCGGTGAACTCGAACTCCACTAGACTCTTCTGGTATAGCTAAGGGACCATTTGCACCAAAACCTCTCATTGCCACAACAAGCTTATATCCCTCCCTAGGTATGCATTTCTCCATGCAGTGTATCCAAACTGATCGTAGATGCTTCAATTCACTAGATTCGGTCGACGCTACCTTATTTCTAGACTGACCGCCGACCGACCTTGCAATACCTACTCCGTACTCTACTTGTAAGCACTGATGGTAGCACGACTCCATTCTCGTACATTTTTTGCACTTTATTCGCCCCTCTCCACTCGGCTTGTCAGTTGTTCCTCCAACAAGACGTGATTGACGCGGAGAGAGACGAGCCCATGACTAGGTTCGATGCAGATGGAGTGATGACCGTAGATGGCCGGGTCCTGTTAGGGGCTTTGGACAATGCAGTTGCAGGGAGAGCCCCTGGTAGTGCGTTTCACGTTGAGTTGAGCCAGTGGGGATTATGCACCATGGAGCTAAAGGGATTGAGGCACAAGAATGGAGGACTGCAAGCGATCACCGTGGGCCAAAGGGTCCCCCGGCCAGGAACCGATGCCATGCCCATGGCGCTGTCGAACAGAGATGGACCCGAACCAAGAATGATGACGCTAGAGGGCAACACTGCAATCTTGCTGTGTGCCTAGGGCGCTGGAGAGAGAGGAGCTGGCGAAGCTCAGTCCATACGGGTACAGGTACGAGTACAGCAGAGAGAGAGAGCTTCACGGCGCGGAGAGTTTTTGTTTTGACTATGTTTTGTTTTGGCCTCGAATCTGGTCGGTGCGGTCTGTGCGGTCTCGGAAGCTTTTCTTTGCGATTCATCCGGGTTGGTGGTGGTGCAGCAGTAGCTTGAACAGGATCCATGAATGGGAACAAGTGCTCAAACTCTTGACACTACTCTCGTAAAATAGATGGTCCCTTTGCTGCGAAGCCATGGATTAGTATGAATGCGACGCTGCGCAAGGGCTTGTAATTGCACCAGGTGCTGGAATTCACCCGCCTCAATGCACTCGTACGAGTTCGTGCCAGCATCTGCGTCTCTGGTAAAGTGCGGGTAGGCCGTCGCGAGGTCTGGGCGAGCCGACATGCGCCAACGGTATTACGAAATTCGTTGGCACCCTGGGCAGGCCAGAGTACGAAGTGATAGTACCAGTACTCGTAGTAGCACCAAGTATTAGCACAAATGCTAGCATAGGGAGCGAACGAAGCCCTAACACGGCGAGTGGTGGTATGCAGGTTAATCGGGTCCAAGCGAGACCAGACGAAAGCTGCTGTTGATGTCATTTCGCGTGCTGCCCGAGTCGTACCATTGCGATGCCGATACGACAAGGGACGACAGCGACTGAAAGCATCACCTTGACGTCTGCCGCACTCCATACAGTACATGTACTTGGTGGAGGATGGAAGCATGCAATTGATGAAATCCGATTGCTTGCTAGCACAGCTCCTTCACCGAGACCTCAGTCAATAGCCTCCGGCTTTCGCATGATTTGGGGATTCGGACAGGCTACCGCACAGGTGCTAGTGGACGAAACGGTCACATTATTAGACACCAGCTTGACAGATCCAAAACGTCGGCCACGGGGCGCGCAGGACGCTATACTGGTGCGAATACAGCACTGTACTGACACGACACGGTATGTACGACACGACACGAATGAAATCCAGTGCCCATCTATATCCATGGGGATGCCTGTAATACCAAAAGACTCAGGCACCGTATTACAGCATGTACGAGTACCTACCAACGAGAATAGCAGCAGCGTATTAGTATGGAGTCTTAAGGTGGTGGTCTGCAGGCGCCAAGGCGCTTCAAGCACAGCAAGCAAGTGGCTTGATTGGCGGCTACCCCTTTTCCACTAAAAAAAGGTGTCACCTTCAGGAACGAGCCTTGGCGCAGGACCGGGGGTCGGGGTCTCCTCCAGGTATCGTAGGGCCGCTCAGTACCTCCAATTAATGCCTCGCACAGCGGAGGTTCAGGTACCATGACGTCCGCTGAAACCTGGGGCTACCCGGCGCTGCGCAACTGGAACGCCGTCTGCGGCCCCTGATTGGACGACGCGAGGATGATCCCTGCACCAGCACAGGCACAGACTGCCCAAAACACAACCACACGCAGACGCAGGTGCGATGCGCCTCCCCCGGTTCGCACCGTCCACAGCGCCTCCTGCCCATCCTCGTGTCTCGAAGCGGGTTCCGTCTGGGTAGCACGCAGGGAAGGTGCTGAGGGCCCAGGCAGGGGGGAGGCTCGTTCGTCCGTCCCAATCTGCGAGTGAGCCGGCCGGGTACCTGTGCCTCCAGCGCTGCGCCAGCCAGGCCCGGGGATCCAGGTACAGATACATGCACGATGGGATTTGAGTACATGCTACGAGCGACCAGGGGCTGGTGTGTCGCAGCCCAGAGAATCTTTGCACCCGTTTCTAGTCCTTCTCCTCCTCCGCCTCCTCGTTTTCGCCTCTCCGTCTTCCCTCTACCTGTGGCTTGGTGGCTTTTTTCCTTCTTTTCGTGTTTGCCTTTGCCTTCCTTCGCCTTCTCCTTCACCTGCCTTGCAGACGCCGTAGCAGCAGCATCAACCGTCCGTCGATTTCCCTTGTTGTTGGCTGGCTGCGCCTTCTCCCTTTCTTGCGTCTTTGCTTGCGTTTGTAAAGTCGAGTCTTTCCGCAGCTCTTTTTTTCTTCCCTTCCGGCTACCGATTCCGCCATCATCGTCGTTGACACGTCTGGAACGAGGCATTGCCTTTTCGCTGTTGAATTCACCTTGCTGTCCTGTTCTTCTTTGATACACGGCCTTGCTCATCTCGCAACTCCTCGTTGACCGGCTGGAACGAATACTGCACCATTCCCGACGACCTCTTCAAGATTCACAGCCCTGCCACGATTTGCGCTATTAGACTATTAGATCGAAACTGTCACCACTTGTCGCCATTCACTCTTTGAAACAACAAACACAAAAACACTTCCGCACGCTTGCTTATTAGATACATTCGTTATTGTTTTGTCGTATTGTAATACGTCCTTGTCGCTACTATTGTAACGGCAGCCATTCATTTTTAGTTACTTGCCCGCCGATTGACACTCTTTTTGAATCACGGGCTCTAGCTATTCAACAACCCACACACATATACAACTTTCCTGTAACGACTTGGCTGTGCCCTCGTTGCTAATCTAACTCCAACCTCTCGAAAAGAAAATTAGAGAAGCATTACGTTGAAACCGCAAATCATCGCCATGCAACCTTAGGAAACGACGTCTACATCGAACAAATAAGAATCCTGATATCGTCTCGAACTCGTCCTTGAAATTCCGCCGGATTCGTCTGTCAAACTCGGCAATGTCGTTACCGAAACCCCCCTCGTCTTTGGACAACTCGTGCTCTGTCATTCATGGCAACACGCTTTATTCTTACTCACCCCAAGGATTTCTGTCCCTGCCTTTGGAAGACAGTGCAGAATGGACAAAGCTTGATCAGGGAGTCAAAGTGACTGGAGGAACCTGCGTTGGAACAACCCCCGTAAATGCAGCCGATGCTGCGCTCTTCATTGTTGGAGGAACATCGGATGCGCCTGATTATACTGGGCTCCAAAAGTACACATTCTCAACAGGCAACTGGACCACCGTCACGCCATCGGTTCCCGTCACGCAAAATCGCTTGCACCATGGATCCACGTACATCCAGGCCGACGACGTGATCTTGGTTTACGCCGGTAGCCAAGATGGCAGCGCTGGTCCCTCTACACAAACGTTTACTATCCAAACTTCTGAGCCGTACCAAGCTCTTTCGTACCAATCGAATTCTGCCGCACCAGCTGTTGCTCCCCTTCTCATGAGCTGGTCCAACGCCGATGCCGCCATGATAAGCGGCGACGGTGTGGACGGCAAGATTTACTGGTTCAACCCCACGGCTGGATGGAGAGATTCTGGTGCGGGCACTGCGCCACCGATCAACAAGGCCGGAGGTGCGGTGAATGTGGCACTGGTTTCCGGGACTGATGGATCCAAAAACCTCTATACTTTTGATCTATCCAAGTCACCAAACGGTGTTAGCCGTACCATTGTACAGGATGCCACTGGCCACCCTCTCGCCAACTCAGCCCCCATCGCTGCGCGGGGTCTTGACGAGGTCTCTGGAAGCACCGAGAAGCGTGACCTGACATTGAGCAACTGGCCCGACTACAACTCCACGTTTGCCCCCAAGGATACTCGAACAAACTACGCAATTGCCCAATCTGACGATGGCACTGTAGTCTTCTCCGGCGGCAATGCTCAGGTCCCTCTTGCTATTTTCAACGTCGACCAAAACGGCTGGGTCAACGCTGCTGATCTATTGGGTGACCAGCAGCAGCGAATCCAAGACGTTTCGTCAACGACTACCCAGTCGAAGACGAAGACGACTTCTAGCTCACGGACCAAGTCAACCACGCACTCTACCTCTACTACACATACCGGCTCGACAACGCTCCCGTTTTCCACTACCGCTACTGCCACGCAGACTTCTGATTTCGTCCCGACTGATTTGTCTATTCCCGCCCTCCCAACTGGTACTGGCAGTTCGAGCGACGACTCTGGCCCTAGCTCCAACGCCATCCTTGGCATCACTCTTGGCGCCATTGGTGGATTCCTCGCTTTACTTGGTCTTATCCTTCTGCTTCTGCGTTGCCGCAGAAGACAACTGCTTCATCCAGAGGCAGGAAAGCCCAAGACCCCTGCCGGTGATGAGAAGAGCGCTCCCGCTTTTGCTGCCCAGAACACGTTTGCGACGAAGAACACGCTCCCTCCACACGTGCAAAAGCAGCTCCGAGGCCATCAGAAAACTGCGTCTTCAGAATCAACCTCATCGATGGCTATCTTGATGGGCAGAGTGGGCCAGCACAAGCCAAGAAAGCTCAGCAATGAATTCAAGAGCACCATCAGCAAGCCAATTCTCCAACCCCAGCAAGCCCCGATTCTCCAGATTCAGGATGAAAAGGGCGACACTTTGGACACCTCGCCGACCGAGCTTCGACCACAAGATGGGCTCGCAGAAGATGGCACTCGAAGAAGCTCGGGCTGGAACAAATACTGGTCAGGAGGAAGCGCTCTAGGAATTCTAGGATATGGATCTGCACAGGCACCCGGACAGGCACCTGTAACGGCGCTTGCACCAGCGCCTGCAAACAGAGACACCTTGGCATCCGATCGAAGCTCTCACTACTCCCAGACGACGACTACTCGCAATGTTAGGCAAACACAAGATTCAGCTACCGTCCCGCCTCTCAACTTTGAGGCCCCGCCTGGGATGAGCAGAGTCAACACTGGAAGCCCCGTGGTGTCATCCTACCCCAACATCCCTTGGAAGGAAGGCATGTCAGGAACAATTGAGCGACCAGTCTCGGCTGTCTCGGCGTTGTCAGCAACATCGTCGGGCTATTCCAGCGGAATCCCCGAGAGCATTCAAGAGACATGGGACCCAACGCATGCTGGAAAGGCCTGGGGTGCTGATCGGGCTCCAAGCAGCGCATACGCTCCCAGCGCATCCGGCGTGAGCAGACAGCCTCAGCTCGCCACGGCGTCAACATCAAATGACATGAGCTGGCTCAACCTTGGTGATAACTCACGGGTATGAGTCAAATGACATGATCATGGCGCAAAGTCTTTTGAGCGAATTTTTTTTTGATGAATTGGTCGGCTTATATCCTCGAATTTGTTTTGGGCGCGGTATTTTCAGCGGCATGCCGCCTTTAATTGTCTCTCACTCTCACTATCCTCTCTATTTTTTCTTTTTATATTCCTCGCGGCCTGGAAAAGAGCAAATTCGCGTCTTTGTAACGAACACTACACCGACGGAGGCGTAAGGTTCGGTTTCTTTTACAAAAGCACTGCGCATCGCAATCTCGCCTTTAGTTATCCCGGACACTTAGCTTCAAGATTTGTGTCCGTTACCTAAACCTCACCGCGTGACTCGGCGTCGATATCTCTGTTTGGACATATTGGACTCATACTCTTGTGTTTTTTTCTTCTCTTTATTTATTTTATGTACATTCTAGAAGCTGGCCCGGGCTTGGCCGTTTTCCTTGTTAGTGTGTCGCGATTGATAATACCATCTCCCTGCAAGTAATTCGCTGGATGGAAGTTGAGCAGGCAAATGGTAGACGTGGATGGGGTGGGATGGGGTGGGACGGGACGGAGGTTGAGGAGTATTGATTGATAGATAGAATTAGGGAGTAGCGGTGATGGGGGAGTGAGCAGTGATGCGAGTTGAAGAGAATGAGTAGAAGAAAATATGATAATCTCTCGGTGCTGCCCAAGTGATGATCGGCTCATGTGAAGTGACGTTGGTTTTGATCTGCAACTGTGCTGTCGAATCTATCGATAAGGACATGCACAATGACCGTGCACCTGGCCCGGCCCTGCTGCCAGATTCCGAATGGAAGCCTTCGAATCAAGCCACATGCAGCATTTCAGCCGGAATGCAGCGAGTCTGGACCCCTACAAATTAGCCTTGGCCAATGGGGTGGGCGAGATGGAAATAAACTTGCAGCATCCAGCTTGGGTTTCGAGTTTTGCCTATCAGCTTATCGGACTTCGGGGGCCATGCCGAATAGGGTGCAACCGAATTGCGCGTGGGAGGGTGGAACGGAGAGCGGTGATTGGCCAAGGAGTTTGCATGACAGATGCAGGAATCACATGAAATTTGATGGCAGGTGGCCTAGCTCCCCAACTCCCGTTAGAGCGTGCTCATGACCTTGCCTGGACGCAGTTTGAAGTCGTAATGACGGGCTAAGTGTGACCAAGGGAGTTACTGTACAGTAGGGGTCCAGGACTAAATGTGTCGAGTTCGTATGCGATACAGTTACGAGCTTGCGGATATTTCACTTGAGTATTTTTTCTTCTAGCCAAGATGTAGATGGGCCGAAGGGGGTGGTTCTCTACTATTTCCCTCTTGGCCCTGTCAACTGTGTGCAGGGGTGATGAGTTTGTAAGAGAGAGCCAGAGAGGCAGCCCAAATTGAGCTGAAGTCAGAAAAAAAAAGAGGGTGGGAAGCGAGAGAATAAAAAAAAAAGTGACAGATGATAGTCCATGCAGACATGCATCGGGTCTTTCGCTCGCGCTTCGTGCCACGGATGTTTAGCGTGGGATGCTAGGAGGTATTTGAGCACTGCCGAGACCGAAAGATGCAAGGAACGTTGAATTATTCTTTCCCTGATGCTCTCTTATTGGATTGATTGGCCTCTCGATTTTTTCTTTTTTTATTAGCCTTCAGGTGTTGCAGACTTGTGAAGGATTGCTTGGGGTGGGGGCGACATGTGGAGAAGATGGGCGGCTACTCGCGCCGAAAGGAGAGAAAAGAAGCAGTATAGAAGGATTTCTTGGTAGAGGTAAGGAAGGAATGGAATGGACGTTTGCTGTGTGCTACTTCGGCATTGACAGAATGGAAGCGGCTATTGGTGGCTGTCTGAGCATTGGGCTCTTCTCGGAGGTTTGGATTGTATGAATGCTTGTAACAATCCATTTGGACTTCATGTAATCAAGCCGTGTTCCCATATTTCCTCTATCCCGCCGCTATACGACACGTATGATTAGCGCTCTGGAGCTCCGGCGGGGAATCAATAGCAAGAGAGCTGGGCTCCACGGGGAATTACAGTAAGAGTTGAGCGCCGAAATAAAAAATTCATGGTGCTGTAGCCCCGTTTCCCGTGCTCAACTCAACTGCGTTTTCTGCTCCCCCCACTGCCGGACCCCTGGCTCGACAGGAAAAAGGCCTCGGTTAGGTTTACCGGCCGCTGGTCCATTCTAAACTACTGCAGAGGGCGATGGAGACGGACACAAGGGGAGGAGGTCAGTCACGATGGGACGGCGATGTGGCGGGCTGGGCGAGATGGAGGGAGGGCGAGATGGACGGCTGATGGTGACAGTCCGGCTGAATTTCAATCTGGTGATCGCGGTCAAGCCACCACCAGCCAGGTCTGGATCGGAAAAGGCAGATGCGAGCCAAGGCTGGACTTTTTGGACTGGCCTGCCTTGTTCGGGTGGGTGTTGGATGGGCAGCGGGCAGGGGCGCGCAAATGCATCTGGACCCCTACCAGGACGTTGGCGTTTGTGAGAAAAGAGTCCCGTCGAGTTTGGCCGTTGTCTGGTCCCCTAGCAGCCAGCGCTAACCGGTACGCCGCCGTGGAAAAGGAAAATGGTCGTAATGCAGAGGAATAGGAGCGTTTGATCCATCAACTTGCCTATGATCTGACTCGAGGAGGCCTGACGGCTCCCCACAATCCAGACGGTACCTGACCAGCGGGTGATTCTGTGCAGTGCAGACAAGTACCCGGATGGAGCAGCGTGAGATGGGCTAATGTGCCAGGGACACAGCTTTTGGGGGCAGCCCGTCCTGACGCCCGTCTGGGAGGCAAATGGGATGAATGAATTGATGGTTGAATGAGGAAGAAATACTGGAAGAAGACAAGATTTGGAAGGAGAAAAGAGAAGAGGACAGAAACAGACAGACAGGCCGAGAGCGTTGGGTCAGGACTGGGTTGTATGCAGCTGCCAAGGCCTGCACTGCATCGTAAATGTACACTCGGGCAATCCTCTCGGTCAGCCCTTGAACGCAGCCGGTTCCTGTTTGGGATGGACAGCCGCCGCGAGTCTAGAACTCGAGGTTCAGCTGGGAAAAAACAACGAGATGAGAGACAGACACAGACACAGTCAATAAAGTCAGAGGTTTGCAAGATAAAGTACAATATTAAACTTCCATAACAGATAAGAACTCACACATTAAAAATTTTTTTTTTTTTCTTTTTAGTAGCAAAACTACAAGTACCGTAAAAAAGATTCGATGCCAGACACCAGTCCTAGGCGAGCCAAGTTACCGCCTAGCTGATACCTAGCAGCTCCAACTTGGCCGCAATTTTCGCTCCCTGGGCCGCTTTAGCACCGTGCACCGCTGTGGCTAGCGCCCTTTGGGGCCTTTTAGCAGTCGGCCACGCGAGATCCGCCGCTGCGATCCCCCACCTGCCACCGCTAACGAACGCACTATCGCTGGAAGCACCAGCACACATAACCGTCCACTGCAAAAACCTGTGCCGCCGGCCCAAGTTGCCTGGCTGTGGCCTGCCCCAGCAGCCTCTTTTTTTTCCCTCTCCGCCCCGGAGATTGACCCCATCCGGGCCTTTTTCTTCGCTCTTTTCGTCTCTCGCCCTCTTTTCTTTCTTTCGCCTGTTGCTTTGAGCATCTTCCTCCCGTCTCGTTGCGTCGCATCGCCGGGTCTTGCTTTATCGCCAGGAGATATTTAGACGACGGCACTTTTTTTTTTTCCTTTCTTTTTTTGCTGACGATACTCCTGCCGTTGCGTCACTATTCGCCAATTGCTGAGCCTATGCGTACGGAACGGCTCTGTCCCGGATTACTGCCGCTACTCCCCGACCGAAACGCTCTTCGTTACCCCGACATTCGTCGACGACGACGGCATCGCCATTTCGCCTGTCGCTTCTCTGTTGATTTCATCTCCTGCTCTCTCTCAAGACGAGCCTCGGAAAGCGGTGTCCGAGAGCGCTGCTCACACTGTGGGCACACTACAGTGCAGGAAAAGACGGTTCTTGGCATACGGAACTCGACACCGTTGGATATTTGTTTGACTTGGGCCAAATCTCGCAGCGAACGACCATCTTGTGCGGAGACGCCCGGCGCATCTCCTACACATCGCCATGATGAGCTCCGCAACGTGGAACACGCAGGACCAGGCCATGGCCGCAGCGTCGGAGGATGAGTTCCAGCAGTTTCTCGACATCAGCGGCATGGCCAACATGGGCGACGGCATGCAGTTTGACTTCCAGGGCTTCCAGGACGACGGCTCGCATTCCATCATGGCCCAGCCTCGCCAGACTGCCGATGCCATCATGAGCGACTCTGATCCCTCCCACATGATTCCTCGAAGCGACGGCCTCCTTCAGAACCACACGCCTGCCATGGCGCCCATGCCCTCTCACATGATGGCGCAGTCGGCGTCCCGCGAGGCTATTTCCAACATCGACGCCCAGATCCAGTATCTCCAGCAGCAAAAGTTTCAGCAGCAGCAGCGACAGCTGCAGGAGCAGCAGGCCACATTCTTCCATGGCCACTCGGTACCCCCGACGCCGCAGAGTCTGGAGATGACTCCCGGCAGCGCCCAATTTTATTCCCAAGCCGAGCAGATGCCATCAAGAGGCGCCTACGACAGAAGTTACCATCAAAGAATGGCCGAGCAGGATGTAAGTCTCTTCTGCCCCGATCTTTCCCCATCCTCCCAGCTGCAAAATACGTTTGTAGACGTCTTTGGACGATTGTTGAGCCATTTCTAACACCGAAATTCTACCTCTAGATGGCCTTTACACCCCTCGTATCACCAGCTGTCACCCCGCTGGATCCTCATTTCAACATGGATAGCGCCTTCACCGTACCAGGAGCTTACTTTAGTCCCCTGACATCGCCAGCTCTCCATGCACAGAATGATTCATCATCAAACTATGACCACACCACTCACTCAAATAATTCACCAGTAGAGATGGACCTCGAACAGTCTGCTGTTCCCGCAGTCAACCTGGACCTCTCCAAGAAGACAAGGAAGACCCAGGCTTCCAAGACAAGGAGTAAGCCAAGTGTCAAGAGCTCACCCATTTCCAAGCCACTCAGGCGAAAGACTGGCCCTAGCCCAGCCATGGTATCACAGGTGCTGAGCGAGGTAGAGGAGAGGAATCTACAGGCCGGCGACCACGGGCTGCTTCCCCTACCCGCTGCTTCTACCGATGGGTCTGATGAAAATGCGTCCGTTTCGCCAGAAAACCTGTCGGAAATGCCTCCTCCACCTATTCCTGCTAGGCGCTCAATGAGCAAATCGCCTTATATACGCCCGCAAACGAATATGCAGCCGAGCCTTGGAACCGGTCTGCTCGATGAACAACACCCTCCTCATCCCGCCACACCTGCTTCTCTGATGAAATTGCCGGCCTCTAAGACGAAGAAGATCATCACAAGCCACCAAGAGGCTCCGCTCTCCGACAACATCGAGTCACTTGAGCTTCCTGAATCAATATCTAACCCGTCGCTCGCTGGTGGTCTTGCCGACAACCAGCTCGGTATACAGACCCCTCGGGCCGAGCCAAGCCTGGTATCCAAGGGAGTCACGTTCCAATCCATGCCTTCACCAATCGTCAGAGCGGCGGGAACATCATCAGCAAACCAGAGTCCCCTCTTACTTCCTGGGGCATCCAGCTCTAGCCAGCGAAAGACACCCCAACTTTCCGCTAGGAATAGTCGCAAGAGGTCAACGGGATCTATCCACGCATCTCCAGCTTTACTACCCAGGATATCCCCCAATATCAAGCCCCTACTCCCTGGTGCTCCTGGCATGTCTGCCGAAGACCAGGCATCGCGACTTTTGATGTCCAAATCAAATTACCAGAACATCTTGGAGGGCAACCAAGTCCCTGGTGTATCTTATCCAAGCGAGCTGTCCACAAATCTCACCTCCAAGAGGACATCACACAAGATTGCTGAGCAAGGTCGCCGAAACCGCATCAACTCTGCTTTACAAATCATGGCCAGTCTTCTCCCGGATAGCAAAAACAAGATCATTTCGGGCGACGATGACGACAAGAAGGATGGGAAGCAATCGCATGCTTCAAATAGCAAGGCCAGTGTTGTGGAAAATGCCATCGTCCACATGAAGAATCTCGAGAAGGAGAATGTGGATCTTAAACAGGAGTTGCAAGCATTGAGGGACCAGCTTGAGAAGTTGAAGGGATCAGACGGCACCTCCGAAGAGAGCGCTGCAGCCCATGACAACGACAAGAAATTGCCAAGGATAAGCGAAGAGCAGGGTGGCGGTGCCCAGGACGCCCAAGGAGACGTGAATATGTCGACGGCCACAGCGACTGTAGGCGAGCCCGAAGAAAGCAGCTGACATTAATGTTGATGAGCACACCTGCTATGCAGAATGCTATGAACCGAGGGATAACGGTGTTTTAACGGGATACGATCAATGTACATGATATTACGTCGTGTTGGGGTTTCCGGTCGGCACGGAGTAGAACGCAGATTTTTCTTGGGATTTGTTGTGGTGGGCGAATTTTCTTCGGGGATGGTTCATGGCATTTTTATTTGGGCGGTCTTTCCGGATTTTTTCCAATTCTTTTTTCTTGCGACTTTTGTTGATATTTCCTGTTGTTTCTTTTTTTCTCTTGTTCGGTATGCATTGATGTCAAATGGGTGGGCATGTTGTCATCTTGTTCTATCCCCTGTCTTTTTTTTCTCGCTTCTTGTTTCCTGTTTGTCCATCCCATCATACTTTATACTTGATAGTGTAATCTAGACTCTGTGAGAGGAAATATCTGAATACCACTACGCGACTGATGGCGTATCGTTATTATATACTGCGGTCCTGATTTGGTGCATATTTGGCGTAATGGTTATAATAACGTTAAGTAATGTATACTGCAATATATCGAGACACTGCGCATACGTGTAGGTGTTTATGTGTATATAGGAGTCACATTTCACATCGAGTCAGCAAGAAGGTGTCATGGGGATATATATTCATGGAGACTTTATTGACTTCGCCTTGTCTGCAGCTAATACGTCGACATCCAACTGCTCCATGACTTCCAAGACGAGCTTGAGGCCCTCCATGAAGGAGTTGACGGCGACCCGCAGCATGCGATTGGTCGTGGCCTGGTATTCTACCTGCAGCACCTCCGCATGGTCGTCGGAGCTGGACGAGGACGAGACGACGGAGAGATGTCTTTGGACGAGGGGCGAGAGTTCGGGGTCGACTTGGAGGGCTTTGAGGGCCGTGGAGGCGAGGCGGGGCGTAGGGAAGGGGATGCGCAGCTGTCTGTTGAGGGGTTGCGATGTTTGGTTAGCCATGACGACGGGTTGCGATGTTTGGTTAGCCGTGACGACGGGGGAGATGGCAGATGGGAGATGGATAACAGGCAGTTGATTGGCAGGGTAACGGGAGGAGTGAGGGGAAATTAACTTGCATGCTGCATGGGAACTTGGGATCGGAACTCATTGCGTGGGGAGAGTCTTCTGGTTGAGACACTGGGTCTCGGGATGTTTTTCTTGTCTTTCGTTTCTTTTGGAGGTTGAGAATGGAGGGGTCTTGCTAGTATGACCCGACACTCTGTGATGATGATGGATGGTGCTGATGCTTCTTGTTGTTCTTTCTGCGGTGTTTCTTTTCTGGATTTGTTCTGGTAGGGCTTAACGAGTGGCTTATGCGCGCTGCAGTGAGGATGGGCCGGGATAGTGTGGGGATCTCTGCGTGTTGATGATGGAATTCCTCGAGCTTGGTTCTAGATGCAGATGCAAAACTTCAAGGGCCGATGATTGTGGTTGACGGACTGGAATGGGCCATGTGGGTAATATCAGCCACAGAGCGTGGCGCACCCAAACGTTCAGCACGTCGAGCCACTGTACGATAGCCGCTAACCTTAGAGCAGCGGTTCAGCAGCGTTCTAGCACGTCAGACCCCGGGCACAGCTGCCCAGTGCTTGTTATGACGTTGCCCTGGCGACGGGTCAGCGGCCCACTAATAACAGCGCTGCGCTGGCCTTGGAGCGCTGGCGCCGGGGGAACAGGGGGGCAACGCAGCTGTAGCGCTCCATTAGGGGGAGCTCAGGCCTGCAAGAATAACATCTGCAGCGCCTAACCCCCCTGTTACAAAAACATCCGCGACGGCCCAGATCACCAGCTCGAAACATCACCGGCTGACTTTTCTCTCTTTCTTAATCCTCACGCTTCCCCTCTCGGCCTTTCCCTCTCCTCGTTCCCTCCCAATCTCCTCTCATTATCTCCAATACGAAAAGGTTTGCCTTTTGGCTACTCTTTGTTTTCTTTTCTCCTATCTCATCTTTGCTGGAGCTTTAGTCGCATTGCTGTGACGCTTAGCATTGTGAGGGAAGAGACCGACGCTGGAGAGCGTGAGTGAGCGTGATAGAGAGAGAGACAAGGTGCACCCGTGCAATTCGCCGCCCACACCCCCGAACACCCGTTATCATCCCCCCAACGTATTTTATTCCTCCACTCGCAGCGATTTTCGAAGAAAGAGACGTTTGTGATTGTCGACGGCCAAAAATATTCTCTCTCCGCCTCAATTGAGCTGTTGTCGTTTGGGTTACTTGATTTTGGTCTTGTCTCGCTAAATCCCGCCCAGCCCCCTTTATTCTTTTTGCCTTGTTGCCGCTTTCTTGTTTACATCACTTGCATCACACGACCCTTTTTTGGGGAGCTTCACCGCAGCTTAGCTTTCGCCATTTTTTATTTCTTTTTTGCGCATCCGCGTTTGCGCAATTCCAAACAGCTTTTTGGCATCATATTTTACATTTAGATTCTGTTATTACTACGGACGTGGACGAGTAATTCGCTGTCGCGGATTGGAAGCATAGCGAGCCTGGAAGAATGGCTCCTTCTACGAGACACTCCCAGAATCTGGGCCATGTCGTTGAATACATTCCAGGTACGACAGCTTCCTCTACCCGCGTCATTGAGCAATACAGCTTCTCTATAGATTTTCGAGCTTCGCGCTGACAATTTCTCAATCTACAGACCGACTCTATCTGGGCGCCTATGTGCACCCTCCGACTCCCGATACTCCGCTCCCCGGCACCGAATCCCCCAGAAAGCGAGCATCGCGATATGCGGACGGAGCTGCCCCGGCACCTCTGGTAACCAACCGAAACCCTCCCTGCTACTTCACAGTCGACGACACTCTTCTGTACAACGCCTTCCACCACGACTTTGGTCCTCTGCATATTGGCCACCTCTACCGCTTTGCCATCAAGTTCCACGATATCCTGGGCGCCAAGGAGAACCGAGACCGACCCATTGTCTTTTACAGTGCTGCTGATCCGAGGAGTGAGTCTTGACCGCTGATAAAAATTGGATTGAAAGATTCGATTTACTGACATTATTGGCTGTTTCTAGGTCGCGCAAATGCCGCTTGTATGTTGGCTTGCTACATGGTTCTGATTCAGAACTGGCCGCCTCACTTGGCCCTGGCACCAATTGCTCAGATTGACCCTCCGTTGATGCCTTTCCGAGATGCCGGATACAGCCAGGCCGACTACGGCATCAGCGTCCAGGATGTGGTATATGGTGTCTGGAAGGCCAAGGAAGAAAAGTGCTGCGACTTGGACAACTTTGACTTGGACCAGTATGAGATGTATGAGCGAGTCGAGCATGGCGACTTCAACTGGGTTACGCCCAACTTTCTTGCCTTTGCCTCCCCTCAACACACGCCAGTGGCCAAGATTACCGAGGACTCTGACCTGTATCCTCTGCTTCCCAGGGACGTGGCCGCGGTCGAGGATCACCCGCTTCTTCCCCAGCCCTTCAAGAATGTACTCTCACACTTTACTGAGCGCAACATTGGCTTGGTCGTCCGATTGAACTCGCCCCTCTACTCCCCATCCTACTTTGAGGCCCTGGGAATCCAGCATGTCGACATGATTTTTGACGATGGAACCTGCCCTCCGCTTTCCATGGTTCGCAAGTTCATTCGCATGGCTCACGAGACTATCACTGTCAAGAAGAGAGGCGTAGCTGTTCACTGCAAGGCTGGCCTTGGCCGAACCGGCTGCCTCATTGGCGCCTACCTGATCTACCGCCATGGCTTCACTGCAAACGAGGTCATCTCTTTTATGCGCTTCATGAGACCTGGTATGGTTGTTGGACCTCAACAGCACTGGCTGCACCTCAACCAGGGAACATTCCGAGAGTGGTGGATCGAGGAGCGTATTGAGCGAAAGCTCAGGAGAGAGCTTGCTGCTGCTGCCGCCGCCGCTGGTCATCCGGCTCCCCAGACGCCCATGCGAGCCGTCAAGTCTGCGCGTAACGGCCAGACAGTGACCCCCTCTAACCGGAGCCCATCCGGCCGCACTCCCCTTAGTGAGGTGGACCAAGATCGCGGCAATGTCGGAGTTCATGAAGATTATTTACCGGCGCCAACGCCTGGGCAGCCACGAAAGGCAGCGCGCGATCGGCGCAATCATCATCAGAGATCGGATGCTTTCCATGCGGCAGCAGAGGAACAACTCTTCGAACAGCAGCAACATAGACAGGAGGAAACAGCAGCACCACCATCGCCACAGCGCCGTTCACAGGCCCCAGACTCGGACGAGGAGCAGCACTTGCGGATGCGAAAGCAGCGCAAAGCGGCCCAATCATCCAATCGGAGCGGGAAAACTCAACCGGCGAGCCAGGACACGAGCCCATATGTCATAGACAATGACGCCTCATTCGACGCTGAGAATATTGGTTCCGTAAAACCCAAATCTGCCGAGAGGGTCCCCAGCCAGCCTGGCACACTCGCCAAGGTCCGGAATCGGCGGCAAGCTGCGGATTCACCCTTGAGATCCAAGGAATCTGCTGGTGTTCGCAAGACGAGTGGCCGTGTTGGTAGTGCTGGTGTGGGCGCGTCGGTATCATCGACTGGCCGTAGAGTCTCGGGCACGTCGTAGGCAAGCGTGACCAGACGACGGGCTGGGACAGCCATTCACAAGGAAATGGCTGAACACCTTGTAAACTTTACATCTTAACGATCATGACTTCACGTTTTATTCTATTACGAGCGATTAATGCGTATGCATATACACGGGCGTTTTAGTCTTCCAAGGCGCGACGGGAGAGGCAGCATGACTTTTTTTATACCACTATTCACCACCATCACCACAACTAACCACCACGACTTACTATTACAACGCTGAATGTTCCCTGCGATTTTGAGACCACATGAACTCTTTTTTATGATCCTCATTACGCCAAAAAGATGTCATTTTTGGACACGCTTCAAGCGAGAAGTGAGAGAAAACGATATGATGAGGTGAGAGCGGGGAAAAAAGCCGGCAAATCTCAAGAAGAAGAAGAGAGATAGAGATGGAGGGGAGGATTTATGGCGGCGATGGCGCAACGGACGGAAATGGAAAGGGGATTTGGGTACATTTAGTGTTTTCTTCTTTTTTTCGCTCTACTTCGGCATTGTACTGGCTACTGTTCTTCCTTTGGTTTTTTTTGTGTGTCTTTTTTCTTTTGTTCGCTTCTTCTCTGTTTCTTCTCTTCTCTTCTTTGCTCTTCCTTGTGCGTATTCTTTTTACTTACTCTTTGCTGCGACTGGTCTATTGGGCATAGGGGTAGGCATTTGGGTATTGCACGGTACGATGTCGGTTGCTAGTTCAACGTTTTTTGAGACGGTGGAGGTTGTTGTGGAGGGGATGGTGTGCTATATATCAATTTTGATGCATGATATTTCAATAACTCTTTTTAATACTTTGCAAGTCAAGTTTAAAACTCTTTTCTTTAGTTTATTGCGTACTGTGATACGTCGTTATCCTTGTCCGTGGTTGTTTCACAGAGTGACTGTTATGCATACCGACTTGTTAATCCAGCGCCAAGGTGTACAGGGGTTGGGATACTTGCTGATGCCAAGAAGCCATCTCTATATGTAATACAAAGTAGATCGTATATGGTATGAAGAGTTACTCAAGCTAGGTACGAAAAGTAATTCCAGATCCTTTTTATTGAGTGTCTACATTGCTAAGATCGTCATCCTCTCGACGAAATTTACCCATCCTGATCGCACTTTGCTACATCAGATTCATTACATGTGTCTCCCGTAGTTATCATCCACCGTTATACGCATCGCACCCCCCATGGACGACTTCACTGCCCACACCAACTCGACTGGGTGATGAATCTGCTCATTCCACGCCAGCTTGACCTTGAATCCGAAATCTCGCAAAGCGTTGCCAATTCGGGCGCATGAGAATTGCTCTCCGGGTGAGCTTGGCGGGATACCCCATGATGCATCTGTGACCTGTTCTCGGCTGAGGAATCCTTCCTTGCGCGGATTCATGTTGTACATGACATAAACCCCGTCGATGTGGCCAGTATGGCTAAGCCGGGCTACAACAGAAAAGCCAGTTGGTTCCCAGTCTCCCACGACATCATCGCCTTGCTCCAACGTCGTCGGCATCTCCTCAGCGGTCTCGCATTCTAAGCACTGCAGCGTGCCGAGCTCGTGGAAAACAAATCCTGGGGCCTCGATGTCGTCTGACTCTGCTGATTTGGTAGACTCTTCTGATAGATTGAGGGCGCGGCGGTTCAGCGGCAGAGATGGCTGGCTGGGCTGTATGGTAAAGTTCACGCCAAGAAACGCAGTGTCGAGGATTTCGCGATCTGTCAAAGGACACTTGCTTTTCTGCGGTGCCAAGTTGTGGATGGATGGAAGTAGACGGTAGAGGGTCGTATTCTCATAGCCGAGGGGTATCCAGGGACGATAGGCCCAAGTAAGTCCGGGCAGCAGCTTTTTGTATTCATCCGGGTTGAGGAAATTGATTGAATCCGCAATCTCAATAAATCGAGCGGGCGTCAAAATGCCGGAAGGATTGGAGAGATGCGGCAGACTCTTCAGACCACGTTGCAAGTATGCTCGCCGCTCTTCTGGATCCGTGAAGATCTCATTGACGGCTTTCCTGTAATCTTCACTACTGAGATAGCGACGAGCCAACGAATAAGAAATCTCGTCAAAACGAGCATTGCGGTCTTCCATGATGGTGTTTTGAAGACGGCAAAGTGGTGCCTGAAGACTTATCCTGCTGGAGACAAAAAGCCAAAAAGAGAGAGAGAGAAAGAGTAGTGGATACTAGAGGAATATAGCTATAGTAGGTGATACTAGAGGAATATCGCTATAGTAGCAGATACCAGAAAGATAAAAGAGAAGAGAGAGAGGGAGGGAGGAGGGGGGGATGGCGAAAGAATTTGTGTATAGAAGCAAACGGAGGGAGGGACATGCGTTTGTTGTGAATGAAAGAGGGCCCACATGATATAAGTACATGCATCTACCCGTGGCCTACAGCATTCACTTCAACGCAAACATTCGAGTTAATTCACAGTGCGGTATACCTTATTCTTAAACTTTTTCACATTGTTGACTTTGTCCGCCAATATTTAGACCAAACCACGCAACAACATTGAAACTTTCTTCAGAGTTTACGCCAGTGCCCCCCAAGGCTGTTTTGCTTTTTCGACAAAATGGCACCACTAGGGCTTGTGACAGAGTTCCCAGCGAAGAAGCCGCAGCTATTGATCCCCTTCGACACCTATGCCGACGTTGAAACTTGGGTCAAGCCCGTCGAAGTCATTCGCCAGGCGGCGATTGCTCTGACCGAAGATGCTGCCATGTTCAAGGCAATCGACTATCACAAAACACGTACCGAAGATGGCGAAGAGTTCCTTCGCAGTCTTGCGTATTATGCAGAGGTTCTTATTCAGGACTCTCTCGTCGGCTTTGAGAAGAGATTCGAAGTTTACTCTCATACGCCCACCTCGACAACCACTGAACTTACGGGTAATCGCTCAATTGGTTCGATGCTATTGGGTGCGAGACAATCTTATCAGGAACTTACGGATTTCCTCGTGAATTTGGTAGACACTCTAGGCTGGGAGTTCCATTGGAAGATCCCGTCGGCGGGTGATTTGGTTCCGACGGCTTCCCCGTACCAGCTGCTATATCAGATGATATGCAAAAAGAAACTACATGTACCCTCTGCCCCGACTGGCGATCAGATAAAACGTATCTTCTGTAAGTTCCATCATCCGTGGCTGATTCTGAGGATGTATTTTATGTACCTGTACTGACCCCACCAGTATCTCTTCAGAAGCAAGCGTATTTGGCGCTACCTGAACTGGATTCCGGTATTGAAAGGGTTACCTCTGATGCGCCTTGTGGGCGGCCTACGATGCTGTTCGTCTCAGGAACATTTGATCTGTCCCACATTTTCTTCGGGGCAAACGAAACTGCATGGGGCGAGTTAACGGCAGTCTCTGCTATAACTAGGATAGCGCGTGACATCCGACTTCGACATTATGTCCCTGTGGCTATGGAAGCTTTCAAGGCGCTCCAACGCAAGGAGATAGAAGCTCTAGCGGAGCTTGAGAACGAATCGGGCGGTGCCTCTGATAAGGAAGACCTTGTTTGGAAAGCTCGTGCGAGAGCAATTGACCGGATGAGGTCCGATCAAAGCACCTTGGGTGGAGAGAAGGAGATGGGCATCGCCCTTCGCCCACCAACGTGGGCGATCAACCAGGGATGCTACCTCTGTCAAGGAATGATGGAGTACCAATCTCCAAAATCGTGGAACGAGAATCAGCGCAGAAAGTACATCCTCAAATTCGACTAGAAGCTGCGAGGGGATTATGCTTGGTCGTGCGCTGAAGGAGAGGCTCGGTTGCAGAGCATGGGACTAGAGTAGGACGACGAGGACTATGTTTTCTAGTTTTCCCCATGGACGGGATATGTATAGATGGACTTGAGAGAAATGGGCTGGAGGAAATATTGTGGTAGTACGTATTAGACAAAATACACAACGTCAGAACACCGGCCTTGCTTTTAATCTTCTCTTTGTTATATAGGAATGGAATGGAATGGATATTTGCTACTATAGCAATATCTTTCTAGTATCTGCGATTTTAGCTATATTCCTCTAGTATCCGCTACTATATCAATATCCTTCCAGTATCTACTACTAAAGCTACCCCCCTATAGCATCTGCTACTACAGCTATATGCTTCTAGCATCTAATGATTTCCACTAGCTTTACAATTGAGATTCGAGATAATGAATCGCAAACTTAGTGTGCTGAATTGCCACTCCCTTTCTCTAGTGTCAGATGCTCGAGTACGAGTAGCTGTCAGTGGTAGACTAGTAAATCTTAGAACCGTGTGGCTGTGTACCTGTATATAGTCGACGGCGTCTAACACGAATCAGCATATTGACGTCTTATTTAGTCCAATTGTCTGTTATCCTGCTCAAGTCTAGCGTTTACAGGTAATTTTCACGTGTCGCTCCATTTATTCTCCTCGGCGATATTATAACCTCAATTCCCGGCCCGTCACACCTTGATGACTCTCGACAGCTTCGCCCCTGCAACGCTCGTATCTCTCCACGGATGTGGCGACTCGGCCTGTCAAAAATAAAAAGCTCTCACTGGGGCACCTGGTAACCATGAAGAGCATGATTGGGTTCAATTCGAACCTTTGAAGTCTCCGCCGCCCCGTATTTCGGTCTTTTTTGCTCAGGTGGATGGAGCCGCCGATCGGCGCCGATTCCAAGAAATACTGTGCCGCAATTGCGCATTGTGGATTCGATATAGATTAAAAAAGCTCAAATCTCTTCCGATCTAACCGTTGACAACGGACTGCGTAATGTCCTTATTAGGAGATGAAAGTCCGTATGACCTCATGGATGCGTTTGTTCGCGGAGAAATGGAACGACTTGTAGCTCATTGTTTTGCTTCTATAACCTTATACCTGTCTTCACCCTCTTTCTTTATCCTATAGGCTGCCGTGGTGGGAAGTCATATATACCACAGTCTGAGGCGCAGATAGCCCAGCTAAACTGTCATTTCTTGCTCTAGTATTGCCTCGCAAAGTTTTTTTTTTTTTTTTTTTTCGTATGACCGAAAGCAAAAGTATTGACTGATAGAGCCAACCCTTGGCAAAACGACTACGTTGCTCACCTCTAACTTCGATTATCGCGTTTCAATCCAACCAAAAACATGGAAGGCTCATCTAATTCAGCCCGCAATGCCTCAAATGATGATGCTGGTGACATCACTTCACCAACCGGGCAGGTCACAAACGAGTCTATGACTTCCTCAAGGCGAGTTCTCAATGAAACTCGCGAGGATCAAGACCGTTCAAGTCTCCGTCGACGGAGTAGAGCCTCGAGGAGGTCTACCTTTCGCAGCGTGGCACCTATAACAACAGCTGGCCAAGGAACTCAATTCAATCTTGCTGGCCCTACCGATACCCCTCAATTGCGCACCGCACATGAACCTTTTGTTCACCCAGGCTACAGCGATCTCAACCCATCATATGAGCAGCCAAATAATGCCAAGCCAATATGGAGTTTGGCCAAGCCTCTGCCGCGTGTTGTCCGTCCGGGGATGGTACCAACAAAGAACGAGCTGCTCGAGAACTGCGTCAATGCCGAGCTGCCCGCTGAAAACTCGCAGAATCTAGGGCTGGATGTCGATCCGAATGAGATTGAAAAGGGCCGCATTGAGAAGTCGGCGGATTTGCGTAAGATGGGAGCGCAAGTCACCGATGCCCGGCAACAGCGAGAAAATAACTTTATAAAAACGATCTTGGCCGCAGATGCCGAGGCACAATCAGATGGACTCCCACAGCTTGTAAAAACGAGGTCAAGCCAAAGACGAGCTACGATCACGCGCCCGTCAATTCAGAGCCCTTTGTATACTGTGCAAGAAGGCCTATCTGAACATACTTCAGAGCGACACAAAGACAGCCACGAGTCCCAACGGTCAGGGCAAGGCGAAGGAGAGTTTGATCCAGGCCCAGACGAGCTAATCGAAGGCAATCGTTCTCTTGAGACACTGCGGCTTGACCAAGATGCATATCCAGAGGACCTCCATCCCTTGGTCCAGGACTTGGTAGAGGAAGAGATTCACAACAACCACACCATCTGGTCTGTCATCCGTACTCACCATCGTGAAGCTTTGGCCGAGTCCCTAGCTGTTTTCGTTCAACTCACCATTGGATTTTGCGCCGATCTTTCTGTCACTGTGGCTAAAGCCGGAAACCCCAACACGACTGACTGGGCTTGGGGATTTGCGACCATGATAGGGATATACATCTCTGGTGGCGTCTCTGGTGCCCATCTCAACCCTACAATCACTATAATGCTCTGGTTCTTTCGTGGGTTTCCTAAGCGCAAGATGCCCGAGTACTTTTTGGCACAGTTTCTTGGGGCCTTTTGTGCGTGTTTTGCCGCATACGGAGTGTACTACGTGTCTATCAAACACTATCTCCTTACCGGTGTAGACGATGACATTATAAACTGCTTTGTCACAAGCCAGCGCAGCTCATACATTAACGCACCTACAGCTCTATTCAACGAGTTTATTGGCACAATGTGTCTGACTATTGTTGTACTAGCTCTTGGTGACGACCAAAATGCTCCTCCTGGCGCTGGCATGAATTCTCTCATCATCGGCCTCATCATTACATGCCTCAGCATGAGCTTCGCTAACCAAACGGGCGCTGCTCTCAATCCGAGCCGCGATTTTGGACCTCGCTTGGCGCTTTTGGCCTTGGGCTACACTTCTGAGCTATTCACCAACCCTTACTGGTTTTACGGTCCCTGGGCGGGTACGTTACTGGGCTCGTTTATGGGGGCATTCCTTTACGATTTTTTTATTTTTACTGGAGGCGAATCACCAATCAATTATCCATTAGAGCGGACACAGCGTGCTTTTCATAAGAGTGGCATGAAGTGGCGCCGTCGGCTGCATCTGACGCCCAAGCAAGAAGAAGAGAGAATTGTCTAAGAGCCAGCATATAGAATTCTTGAGATCTAGTGTAGCGTTGAAAATATAGCATAATTCTTTGGAGATTACATGTATATCTGCAACAATTTCTGTACTGTGATATTTTCAGGTTTTTGCCAACTTGACATACTCCAAGTCACTTCCCACCGTACCGCATGCCTTCCACAGCCCTCACTTAATCCAAAGAAATTCATTCTCGACTTCCTCATTAGCCACAGCAAGATTTGATCATACATTAATGCTCCTCGATATTTTAATTCAGTGCAAAAATACTGCGGAAGATGTTGACCACGCGCTGTAGATGGCTATTCTGGATATTACGGGTGTATTAGTCGCGATATTACAATTGCGTGTACTTCACTCGCGATATTGAGTGTCACCGCCGCCATCCCAAGCGTCTCAGTTGCATCCCGCGTGTCTCAGTTGAGATCCTGCGGCTGTCAGTCACAAAATGATGCATGTCTCAGGATGACGAGATCAAGTGCTCGGCTTTGATAGCAACAATACGGAGTATACGGCAGATTAGGGAAATGATTTTGTCAATCTCGTAGGGTTGCCAATGAGAAAACCCCGATGTTGCGTTACTCAAACAAGGGACACAAACCTTGGCGTGGTCGAACCCAGGTAATTGCCCTATATTGTTGAAGGGATGCTAGCGCGAGCTTTGTGCAACTAGGGACACTCAGTATCTTCTTGTATAGTTAGGGATAAAAAACGGCAAGTGACAATGTGTGAAGCTCGTAATCTTATCGATCGTGAGTGGAACTGTTATTTTCCCGCTTGGTGTCGCTGGGAGACTGGTTGTATAACTTGGCTGCTTGGCGGGACATTGGTGTGTATTATGTAGTTAGTATTCATCATTGGACAGCTCTTCTGTGATTTACTACACACGTAGTGATGTAGCCAAATACGGCCCATCTGTACGAGTGAGAGCTTGTTGCTTTCCACATCACTTTTCGATTTGGAAGTGACTGTAAACCGAGGCTTACAATTGACTGATTTCACATTTTTGTTCTTCGTTTGCCTAAAGGGGCATTTTCCACTATACCAGCAAAGCAGCTACCCAGCCCCTCCAATTCCATGTCTGCAAATTAAGACTGGCTAAGAGGTGCGCCGTCCTTTCGCTTCTGCTCGCCATACTTCTTGAGGCGCATAGCCTGGATGGCAATGAATCCAGAGGTATCCATTGGGGAAAAGCCCTCGAGAGAGTCCATAGAAGCATCCTCCTGGGAGTACAGGTTGGATGAGTCGCTGGAACGGCCCAAGATAGTTACGTTGCCCTTGTAGGCGGCCAGTCGCACAACTCCAGAGACATTACGCTGAGAGAACTCGATAGAGTTGTCAATGAACTCGCGTTCAGGGCTGAAGTACATGCCGTTGTAAAGCTGGCGTGACCAGTTAAGACTGACGAATTGGTCCCGGATTTCTCGCACTCGGGAGTCCATGACGAGACCCTCTAGGTCCAAATGGGCGGCAAGAGCCAGCGTGAGGCCTGGCGTTTCGTAGCAACCTCGCGACTTTAGGCCAATAAAACGGTTCTCAACGATGTCAATGCGTCCGACACCAGCCTCGCTTCCAATCTTGTTGAGGGCTTTGAAGGATTCAACGGAGTCGGTAATCTCCTTGTCGCCGACGACAACCTTGGAGATGACACCCTTATCGAAGTGAATGCTGAATTCGACGGGCTCATTGGCCGCATCCCTGGGGTCGATAGTACGAAGCCAAAGCTCCTTCGGGGGAGTCGTCTCAGGGTCTTCCAGAATTCCAGCTTCGTAGGAGATGTGAACAAGGTTCTGTACTTTGATGTCAGTGTGCTTCAGGCCAAACAATGTAGGATATGAAGGGAGTTCTGAGTTGAGGCAAGGCCAAACCACGACATAGAAGCTTCAAAAGATGCAAGTTCAGTGGGTGGCCCGTTCCCCAAGATTCAGGTGACTTTGCAAAACTCCAGACATAGTGAAAATGGACAAATCACGGTGTACGAACCTCATCCCTATTGGCATATTAGCAAAACAATCCCGATGCAATGGGTAAGGGGGTTGTTGAGAAAAGAAATACTTACATTGACCAGGGGGCCTTAGGTGTAGAGCTGACGGGGATTCCGTTCTCAGCGGCGAACTTGAGCAGGTCGTTGCGACCCTTAAAACGCTCGATGAAAGCGGGAAGTCGCCATGGGGCAATAACCTCAATGTTAGGGTTGAGCGCATGGAAAGCCAGCTCAAAGCGAATCTGGTCGTTTCCTTTTCCGGTGCAGCCATGCGACACTGATACGTCAGCTTCACTCGGCATCAACATTGGTAGGCTTCTTACAGTATTGGCAACCATGCTTTTCTGCAACTCGAACTTGGCTGCGGGCGATCACAGGGCGAGCAAGCGCTGTGCCCAAAAGGTACCGAGACTCAAAGACGGCATTGCACTGGATAGCTCGCTTGACGACTTCGTCAACGAGCTCACGCTGGAGGTTTTCGCAAACAAAGGCTTTGGCGCCGAGCTGGAGAGCCTTCTTCTCCACGGCAGCAAAGTCTACAGTAATCGGTCTTGTCAGACGCAACCCAGCGAAGGTGCCCATGCCATTGACATACCTTCGACCTGCCCAACGTCGGCCAAAAAGGCAATCACTTCATATCCTTCCTGGATCAGCCAGACAAGGATAGTAGACGTATCAAGTCCACCAGAATAGGCACTGTGATTCCATTAGTTACTGATCCAAGTCAATTTGGAGGGGTTGATCAGTCATCTTGAATGAGAAAGACGTACAGACAAACACGACCCTTGGACATGGTGGCTAAGGATTGGATTGGAAAAAGAAGGTGAAAGTTGATGGATTGGTAATAACAGTGAAGGCAAATGCAATTCGTACCTTGGCTCGAAATATATATGTTCGGCCAAAGAAGAAATGTCTCGCGTTAGGATGACTGTACCAGACTCAATGTGTCGTCACAAGCATGGGTCATCGGTGCAATATTTTCATTGTGGGTGACTCGAAACTCTGTGAGTTATCACGTGATGCACCCGATCTCGGACCCATGGTAGATAACAGTCACTTTTGTTCTTCGTTTCAGCCCGAGTTATTTAAGCTTCCATGCCCAACAAACTGCTAGTTTTAGGCGACCCATCAAGGTGTGCGGGACTGTTCAACCGTACGGGGCCCTTAGTCATCAAAAGCTTGCGATAACAACCGCTGCTATATTATTGGCACGCTCCGTGACCGTCTCATCACCTGTAGACATGGCTACGAGTAGTTTACAGTTCTGAGGGCCTTCCGGGCGTGTCAACTGTTCCACGAGAGAATCAACCATGACCCACGCCTTCAGACGGCACATTGCTTGTATCAAGCATGGTTCCTATATCGACGGTCCTCGCTGACTCTCTTTGGCTGACACGTACATGGACGTACCAAGAAGGAATTCTTTCTCCCCATTGCCTGGTCTTTACGAAACAGCAGATATTCGAGGTTATCGAACAAAATTGCGTCTTATATGAAGTTGTTTGAGCTCGAAGACAAAATAATGGAGTCTTCCACAGGTTATCGCTATAATCCAATCTGTTACACTTACAAGCACATACGACCATAGGTAGTGGAAAATTCGGGGTCCCGTCTGCTCCCCCATAGACAAGCCACTAACCGGCAGATTAGTAGTTGAGTGGGTGACCATCAGCGAACACCGGCTGTTGTATGTTTTTGCCTTTTTTTGCTTCTTTTTTCACGTCTTTCTGTTGTCTTGTTGTGTGTGTTTCTGGCTCTTGAAGTGATGTGTGAGCTAAAGTGCAGACGCTTACATTTTAAGCCTGGGAAATATGCAAGGCAGGGTAACATCGCGTCAATGTTGGCACGTGATACGGCTTTTCTCTGCTTTGCCCATGATTGATTCACCTCCTCCAATAAGAGAAGAGGGGCATTAACAAATCAACGCAGGCCCTGTAACAGGAGCTGCTGTGCTTGGAGATTTGGCGGTGGCTTTCAGTAAGCAATTACCACATCACCCATTTCCAATTCAGGTGAGAGGGCGAATTCAGCGCCGCCACTTTGGTATTTGGAAAAGAAGAAAAATGCGAAATTAGCGGTCAGGGGGTGGTGTTGCTTATGTGATGGATATAAAGCAAGCTCACTGCATGGAAGAAGATCAATGAGGCGGAGCAGAGCCGTATATATACGCTTGTGTTTACGTAGCGGGCCCTTTGTTTCTTCTCATCAATTTTTTTCATCTTCTTTATTTTGTCTGTAGTTTTTGTTTTCTTTCTTTCTTTTTCTTTTCCAGCTTCCTTTCTAGTTCTGCTTATAAACACCACCTCTCACTAGTCTAGGGCGATCGCCAAGGCCAAGTGGTCTTTCTTTCTCAGCCCAGAAACTAATTGCATCTTTAATCCCCACGTTTTCTATCTAATACCAGGCCATGGCTGAGGCTCTTGGCACCGCCATTGGCGTCATTGGCTTCGTCGGCCAGCTATTCGACGGCTGTGTCAAAGCCTATGGATACTTTACCACGGCAAGCAACCTAGACTCGGACAGCCAGCGGATGATGTGCAAAGTGCGCATTGAGGAGATGCGGCTGGTGGTCTGGGGCAGGGAATGGGGAGTCGCAGAGGGCAAGTTTGACGAGCATCTGAGCGAGCGGAATCCGCAACTCAAGGTCTTGGCGACACAGATTCTGGAACAGCTTCATGGCACCGTCACGGACTTTAAGAAGCTGCAAGATCGCTATGGGCTGGTGGACGAGGCGGCGACTAAGGGCGGTAAGGAGGCGGATGTCTCACCACCGCGGAAAGGGTCCAAAGATGAGGGCAAGAAGACGAATGGCTTCAAGACGTCTTCGAGCACGCTTAATCTTTCAAGTGAGAGGAGCTGGAGAAAAGAGATTGGGCTGAGGACGAAATGGGTAATAGGAGGTGAGATTTGGTCATGTTGGTGGTGCAAGTGAGAGAGTTCTGGCGGTGATGCTTACAAATGCTTCCCTGCACCTGAACAGACAAGGACAAGTTTTCCAACCTGTTAAAGGATCTCAAAGGTGCGTATGATCACTTTTACACGCTGTTTTTCCAACAACGTTAAAAGGCTAACAAAGAATCCAGACTTCAACGACGGCCTCGAAGCCCTCTTCCCCCCTTCTCAGGTCCAATCCTTCCAGCGCGCATGGACGCATCAACTCCTTGATCGCGCCCAACGAGACCTCACCGAGCTCTCTCTTCTCGAAAATGCGTCATCTGGCATCTATCCCAAGCTCACAAACTCGGCCAACCTCAAGAAACTCCGCATCAACCTCGACAGCAAGCCCCAGGAGTCCTTCAAGCCTACCTTTGCCCTGAAAATCGGCCGCACCTCGCTCGACATCCAGGATTTGGAATCGCCTCGCCGGGTTCAGGCCCATCATGTCACTGCAGGTGATGTACTCATCGAATGGGTCGATTATGACCGCGAAGAGATTGAGGAGCGCGTTGTCCATGTCCGAAGAATGGACGACTTGGCTCGCATGATGCATTCAGCTTCAGAATGCCATCCAGATCTTCACAGCATTGACTGTCTGGGATACACAGATGACTCCGCCAACAACCGCTACGGCCTCGTCTATAAAGCGCCGGCATCTTCTCACTCAACGCTCAAGACGCTCATCTCCAGCCCCGACCTCAAAACGCCGGATCTCGACGACCGCATCCGCCTCGCGCAGACACTTGCCGTCGCCGTTTGGTCTCTGCATTCGCTCGACTGGCTGCACAAATCCATCTGCTCTTCCAACATTGTCTTTTTCCCTTCTGCATTTTCCACATCTGGCCTCTCGCCCACCGCCTCTGCCGCCCTCGTGCCAGACATCTCCCTGCCGTATCTCAGCGGCTTTGGCGCCTCTCGCCCAGAACTCGACACGGCTCTATCCGTTGTCCCGCGCAACCCGTCCATTGAGGACCTTCACCGCCATCCTGCCTCTCTCCGCGGTAGGCCGCATATCAAGCCATTTGACATTTACAGCTTCGGCCTGGTGCTGTTGGAGATTGGCCTCTGGAAAGTCCTACAGACTTACTACAAGGCGCACTACACTGCCGAGCGCTGGCGTGATAAGGTCGTCCTCGCCGTGCTGGTCCCGGGATTGGGCAGCAAGGTAGGCAAGCGGTACAGGGAAGTAGTAGAGATGTGTTTGCGAGTGGATGAGGAGATGTCAAGCAGCGAAGCGGGTGAGTTGATGGAGGAGGTTGTGAACAAGTTGGAAAGCATCCGGGTGTGATATGGGGCAGTGATATAACACGATGTGACGACGATAATGATGATTGAATGAGTAGCAATGATGAAAACATGGCGAGCTGTTGCATATAGAAAGAATAAGTATAACATAATGCGGAACAAAAAAAGGAGCGGTTGTCTGGCACCCAGTCTCAGCTGGGTACGCCGTGGGTCATGGGCACAATTGCATAGACAGTACTTGTATCAAAAGCGTCTCGATTCTTTTATGAGTCGCTGGTATCAAGAATATCAACGCATAGACCACTATAGAAATCGAACTCCAACCATGTACCATAACGATCAACGCTTTTCAACCATGAACGGATAGGGTTTTCACCACATTAAAGAACAGTAGAGGATGGTCAAAAGACCATCCACTAGAGAGTAGAGTTTCCCCCATCAACGAATTAATCCCTGTACTTGATCTCAGGAAGTTCATAGTCATAGCCACAGTCAGATTCATCATCGCTAGGCACCGCCCACTCTATATTGTTGTTCGTTTCTTCGGTAACAGTGGTGGTGACGGTGGCAGTGGAAGCAGCGGCAGCGGTGGTGAGGGGGATGGGAGCAGTGGCTGGAACATTGGGAGCTGGAACAGCTGGAGCAGCGGGAGCAGAGGCAGAGTCGGCAGAGGCAGAGGCGACAGCAGCAGTAGGGCCTACTGCTGCTTGGATAACCTCAGGGGCTAACTATGGTTTGCGTCAGCAGGGCAGAAAATAAGACAAGTATATGCGCGGATATAGACTAACATGTGCCTCTTCTTGTCGAGAGATACTGACGGCATGGCCAAAGATCTCAAGGCCCTGGAGGTCTTCTTCAGCCGCCTCGCAATCGGCGCTGGTTTCGAATACAAGAATGGCGTAGTGCTGGTGCCAGAAAAGGGTGAAAGATTCGGGCTGCCTGAGCGTTTCCTGAACGTTGAACAGGAATTCGTTCTCGAAGTCTCCAAGGTTGATACTATGAGCGACTAGCACATGGCTCGCGATTTGGTCCTCCGACTGCGCGTTGTCGTTTCCTGACATTCTGTCTTCTATGTTAGGTACGTGTATTATCCAACACTGGGAAATGGGCACAACGCGCTAAATTCTGTGATACTTACTAGGCGGCTTGCTTCAACTCAAGGTTTCTTCTTTGAAGACGTTGTGGTGGTAGTGAAAGATTCTTGCTGGTAGTGGCTGGTTGGGCAGGATGACGTTATTTGGCGAAAAGTTGTGCTCGAAATTCGGAACGACTGAAGTTTTGCAAAGGACAACTTTTAAGCCGTTTGAAAGTGAACAAAATCTGACAAGCGCAGCCGTCAGGTGGGCCACGCGGATGATTCACTGCTCGAAAGTGAACAAAATCTGGTAAGGCAGCTGTCAGGTCAGTTGCATACATAACCTACCTACATGTAGGTATGATAAGACCTATGAGGCCAGTCAGTTTACATGTACGTTGGTAGGCAGTGAGCGGAACTGGTCTGGTGTCTACCATGGATTTTAGCACGTCACCAGAGCGCCTGCTAGGTATATGTAAATATGCCTTGTCGACTACATGCAGATTTGTAATAATGTCGTGAGGGCTTATTCCTACATGGCACCTGAAGACTGGGGTTTATATAGGGCTGTAAAAGCTCCATTGATAGCGAGAACTCCAATCCAATATCATGACTACTACAGATGTAATTTGACTGCCTGCACATTATGAGAGATCTTATGCCTGAGTGTGTCTAAAGACCCTTGAAGCAAGATGACTACCTCCATAATGCTTGGCTACGCGCACTAATTGTGAATAGAGGACATGGAAGGACATTTGTCAAGTCGCGTTCAAAATATGAGGTGCTCTAGTGCGACTGATTCCACAATCCATCTGGGACCTGGTTTCCTCATTCTCAGGTTTATAAATGATAATGGAAGCTGATGTTGAGTAGCGGGGCGGGCGAGTTGATGAGAACGTTGTCAATAAGCTGGAAAGCACCCGGGTGTGATATGGGTATGTAGTGGTATAATTGTTATATGGCAGGCTGTTGCATATAGAAAGGACAAGGATGAGGCAGTAAAGAAAAAAAGAGAGGCTGTTGTAGCACTTCGACTTGGTCATTCAGAACACCGGGTTTATCATAGTACATACATGTATTGTACGTATTTTTATATACTTGAAGAATGTAGCGGTAGTAGCAGGAGCTGTATCCTACCTAAGTGGTTCTTAAGTAGTCTATATAATATCGCTAGTAGCAGAAAGTACCTAGGTAGATCTCGGTTTCTGAGAGTCAATACGTCCAGCCAATCTGCAGGTCGGTGAATACCGACATTGGTGGGCAACAAAAGAGGCTCAGACGCGTGTCTACGATGGCTCCCAGGTCACAAGAGCGCCTGGCTGAGTGCCTTGAGCCGCCAAACAAGAAACAATACGGACAACATTGATGTGCATAGCTACATGTATTTGCGGCTGCTTATGGTCCTCTTCAGCAGCGCCAGCAACAAGTCCAGATCGACAGTCCGCTCGTGGGCCTCGTCAATGACTACGCATGCGTACGCCGACAAGTTTCTGTCTGTCCACGCTCAGCTGGCGAAGGAAAATGCCTTCCGTCATATAGGCGAGCCGAGTCTTCTTCTGTTTGTCTTGGCTGATCATGTTGTCGTCACGGATCTGATAGCCGACTTCTTTGCCAAGGACAACCCCCATCTGGTCAGCAACTTGAATAGCGAGCTCGGTTGCAGCCAGTCGGCGCGGCTGTATGCAGGCAATCTGGAGCTTACTTTCATATTCACCATGGACAAGAAGCTGGGGGACCTGAGTTGACTTACCATAGCCAGTTTTGCTCGACAAAATCATCACCTGGGACTTGTGGTAGTTGTCCAGAATCTCTTGGTATCGTCCATAGACCGGTAATTGGCGGCGGCCTTGAAGAATGTTTTTGTGACCTTGGAGCTACGCTTTTCCGGTCAGCGGGTTTTAAGCTGCGTCCTTAAGACGCTGAATCTGGGCGGCGGTGGCCTGGTTCCGTGCAATGGACTCCATTTTGGCTGATTTGCTTGGTTGTCTGTATCTTTAAAGAAGATTTGCGAGTGCGTTGTGCTGAAAGTTGTGCTTGTTGGGCATGATTCACTTGCGGCTCATTGAAAGTGGAAATGACAGCCATGGCAGTAGATTCTAGAAAAATATAGTAATCATAGCAGATACTAGAAGAAGATGGTATCAGTAGCAGATACTAGAACATAATGTCAATAGTAGCAGATGCTAGAATAAAATATCGATAGTAGCAGGTACTAGGATAAATTATACATAGTAGGGGAAAGTAGCAATAGTAGCAGATACTCAAAATCAGAGTAATTATAATTATTTACTGAATATCTGTAATTAAGGCGTAAATACAAGCATTACTGAACAACTCCACAAGCCGACATCTCATAGTTCATCAGATTCATCGTCGCTCCACGCATCTTCGAGTCGTATCCCATTATCGTCCAGAACTTTGCGCAGCAGGCCCATCTCCGATTCATCCAACTCCACTTCCACATCGCCCAGTGGCCCGTTTGTGCTATTTCCCGTCAAGAATATCTCTTTAAGGAACGGAAAGTCAGTAAGCGATGTTGCCAAAGTCATCATATTTGCGACAGATTCCCCTTGCGTGTTGGTAAGTTGAAAGCGACGTATAGAGCCAGGTAACATGTTGATCAGGATATCGGTGCGGTACTCTGGCGTCTGGACAGCTGGAAATAGGACTGAGCTGCCGTCGACATGGAAATTCTCGAGTCGCGTGAAATCTTTGAGAGACAGGATTTGGTCACCATCAATGCATAAGCCAGAAAAGGACAAGGTGTCGGTGGCCGCTCTTTCCCGAAATCCTAGATCAATGTAGACTGAGCGAAGAGTGTCGTTGTGGTTGTGCTCCCTCAGCATATCGATGATTTCTCTTGGAGTCACACAATCTTCGCCAAGGCCGGCGTAGATGGAGTGATATGTGTACTTGAAGTATTCCAGAGCTTGGCAGCGCGAGACTATTTCATTTAGTTGCCTCCTGGATATGTGACCACCCTTGAGATATAAACGGGTTACATTGTCGAGAATCATACGATCATTCACATTCTTCTCGTTGCAATGGAAGCCATAGATTGGGTCGCCCGTAATCTCTGTTATACCAGGTGCAAGCTCAAGAATTCCCCCAAAGTATCCGAGAGATATCTGCCGGCAGTCGTCATGGCCCACGCGGAGTCGACGCAGATGCGGTAGTGAGACTTGTCTTGGAACCTGAGCGGCCATTTGCTCAAGCAGTGTGAAAGCCCCAACGCCCTCATCACAGTAAACCTCGTGCGCAATGACTTCCATGGACCTCACATTCGGCGTGTAGGCGATGACGAGCTGTGATATGGCCTCCCACGGGTTGTTTTCCATCCAGCCATCGAGACTTACGCCCAGTCTTTTTGTCGCAAGGTCAAAGGCTTCGGTGTGACTCTTGTCGAACTCAGTCCAGTAAAACGCATTGAGATATAAGTCCTGCACCATCGCTCCAAGTTCAGGGCGCAGGGCAATGGTACGGAGGAAATCGGAAAGTTTCTTGAAGCGCTCGCTTGAGTCGAAGCAAGAATAAAGCACAGGCGTACCGATGCGATAGAGAGCTTTCGACGATTGACAGAGATTAGACAGAGGCTTTGGGCTATAGCGTGATCGTGGATAGTTGGCCAGCTGTCGGCATATGTTTTCGATAATCTCCTCGGGGAACGACATCAACGGGAATGACGAAGCCATCGTGGCCATTGTTGGTGAAGCGACGGGAAGAGAGGGAGGAGAATTGAGGCAGATCCAAGTGCTGTTTGGGAGGGCTGTCTGGATATTTATTTAGAAACTCCAGCATTGAAGCCAGTGTGCATTAAACTCCCGTCAGCCTTACTTATTCCGTATTACAGGGGGATGTGCTGCGGCTCATCCTCTGTACATAAGCATGAAACAGCCTTGAACTAGCTTCCACTCGTATCCATGCTCTCTCTTTGTTCAGTGTTCAAGAGTTTCTACTGGCGTGAGTCAGCACTTGTATAGCCATTCCGATTTTGGATATTGTCTTTGATGCTGGTTTTTCGGACCTCGCTCGGGCTTTGGAGTGCCAAAAATAGGGACGGAAGCTAGAGAAATCCAAGCCTGAACTGGAATCGCGCTGGACCACATAGTGGATGTTGGTGAGATCGAGTTGACGGCTTTGAAGCTACTGTTAGATACAGAGTAGCATACAAAAAGACAAGAGAAAAAAAAAAATGAAGGTTCTGCTGAGGTCAAATAGTTATCCATGTCCATATCATTCGTGATGCTTCTTCACTCAGTCAGGTCCACTTGTGGCTTGGAAGCCATCGTGGACACACATCTAAGCCTCGTTTGTTACCAACGTATCGAGAACCCAGAGAGCTATACTGACCTGCATCGTATGTTGCTATTGAATGCTTCACGCCTTGCTCCATGATAGGGTTATGAATGCAAAGTGACGCTTACAACTCATCGTAACTGTCTAGAGAATATGTTAGTATAATGATGCTGTGTGATCAACTTACCTTGAGCATGGCCTTGCTATGTAATAGCTGGGCCATCTCAACTCTATTGTGAAATGAATATCTCGAAGCCGTTCTCTACTACTACCATTCCGCAGAGGTTAGATAAGTAGATGGTGGAGATGACTGAATATCAAAACACGATGCGTAGGGTCGGCAACCAAGTGTTTTCGCTCATTGAGGAATGACTGCTTGTTCGCAACCGCCAAGGGATGGAAATATCCTGGATCGCCGTGGGAATCGAACCCACACCCCAAAGGGGTACCAGAGCGACCTTTAGGGCCGAAGCCCAAGGATTTCCAACCATCATGGAAAAAGAAGGCCGAAGGCCATTATGGAAAAGGTCAGAATGGGATTTCTCCCATCTACCAGTGGAAAAAGTAGGCTTTCACCCGTCTATCTATGAAAAATTAGGCTTTCGCCCGCCTGACTCTTCCTCCTTTATCTTCTTCTTTTTTTTGTTTTCTTCTTTCTTCTTTCTTCTTTCTTCTTTCTTCTTTCTTCTTTCTTCTTTCTTCTTTCTTCTTTCTTCTTTCTTCTTTCTTCTTTCTTCTTTCTTCTTCTTCTTCTTTTTTTTTTTATAACTTCACGGGAGTCTCCCCTTTTTTTTCTCCTCTCCTTCTCTTCCTCCTATTCTGTCATCCTTTTCTGGTTGTCCCCCATGTCATAGTCCTCGCCCTCACCACCAGGACGTGCGAGGCTCTTCGTTAGAGTCAGAGGGGGTGCGGTTCGTGGCGGCCGGAGGAGTAGCAGCTGTAGCAGCAGCAGCGGGAGCGGGAGCAGGAGTAGTGGCAACGGCGGCGGCGGTGGAGGCAGCGGTGGCGGGAGCTGGAGTTACTTGTGCGTATTCAGGACCCGAGACAAACTACATGTATAATGTGTTAGAAGTGTTAGAAATGGGAGAAATAGATCTGTAGACTGACAGCTTCCCTGCCTGCGATTTCAATCCTGACCCGACGACCGCAGAAATCGAATGGCCGGAGTTCTCTGACAGCCCGCTGGGCATCTGGTCTGGTGTTGAACACAATAAACGCATAGCCCCGGTGACGCTTCGTATTGCGTCTAAACCTCCAGTCGGTCTGACGAGGCCAGACGAAGCTGACGGTATCACCCATGGTGAGCTTAGCCCGGACAGCGGTCTCAAACTCAGCTCGGGTTGCTTCCCAATAGATGTTTTTAGCGACGAGGAGACGTCGCTCTCTCCTGTAGAGCTCGATTCGGGCCTCAAATTGCGCGTCGCGGGGTGCCATTCTAGCAGACTGGTTAGTAACTGTTGAGATGCCCAACTCAGAGAGGGAGAGACAAGGTAAAGAACTCTGTGGTACTTGCTTTATTGTCAGTTTGACAGCGTGATTTGACTTGAGTTTGCTTTTGAAGAGGTTTGTAGCCGTGATGCCAGACTTGTTGACGTTTGTGATTGCAGCTTGTTGGGCAAAGTGATGTTGTTTTGTGGAAGAGTTTTGCTTTAGATTTGAGAGAGTGGAAGTTTGGAAAAGGGCAGCTGTCAGGTGAATTTGCCAAGAAGTCACAGGGAAGACGCTGTTTAGTTGCCAGTTCACTTTTGCTTCAGCCATCTGGTTGGCAGTGCCAGGCTCTCGCTGCCAGGCCTGCAGTTTCCGATACCAGTGAACTAGAAGTGAGCTGAAAGTGAGCGAGAACTATATCATGGCTCTACTTTGTCCTATTTATCATAGAAAAGATATGGCCCTAAAGACCACGGCAGCATTCTTTGAGATCGTCATCAATCGTTAATCTACGATCAATACCAAGAGATTCCCACTAACTATTACAAGTTCAAGGTGATGATTCTGTTGAACATTCCCCCCTTTCCCTCCATATAGTCAAGTAAACCGACTCGATTGAGAATCTTATTATCTGGCATTAAATGGTCATGGCCACCGTGTAAAGATGTATCTATATGCAATACTCTTCACTATGCATTGTCCTTGCTATCGTCTATCTCATCACTATCTTCCTCGCCATCTTCACTCTTGATATCTAATCTGCTCAGTTTCTTGTTATAAGAAATAGCTCCTTCTACTGTTTGCACTGTAGTTTCCGGCATGTGACACAAGAAGGCTAAGTATGTATGTACATACATATATATGCAAGTCTCACCTCAGCTCTCTTCGATTAGGGCACGAGATTTTCGCACAATACGAAACTCGACCAACCCAAAGACCCACTTGGAAAGGAAAAGAAAAGAAAGAAACCGACAAACACCTTTTCAAGTGAACAATAAGTGAGCTGAAAGTGAAATGAGAGGTGGGGCAATGAGTGTGCCCAGCAAACGCAGGTATTTAACGTTGTCCACGCCCCGTAGCTCAGATCTGCAAACTCGCACACTACACCATCGCAGATGCAAACGCTCACAAACACCCAGCATTCCACAAAACCAGGGAAGACATTGAAACTGGTCACGTACGTTCCATCCCAAAGCAAGCTGAGACCCAACCTCACTGAGTATACGTTGGAAGCTAACGTTCTGGAAAACAGCATGTCGTCTTCCGACAAGACCCAGGCAACAGCCCCAGATGATCCCGCGAAGCCGATTCTGGTCAACGGTGAATGGTCCGAAGAATGGAAGGATGACCCTGAGAATCCCGGAGCGAATATAGCCAAGGCGCTCGCTGACGCTGAAAGACGATCGGCGTACTGGGAGTCTCGTGGCATGCCAGGCATACGACTTTCTGTCGACAAAACCAAGATTGTGCCCATCCAATATCCCAACCCGAACCCGCTCTATCTCAAACAAACTGGGGATAGACTCGATACCAATTATATCACCATGAAAAGAAAAAGTCGTCCTGGACAGCCCGAGAAACCAACCTGCTACGTCATTGAAGACGGTGAACGAGTAGGAGTAGACTATGTCATCGTTCCCGAGGAAGAGGTTGCTGCTCGAGAGGCCCAAGGCTGGGAAGTGTAGTACGCTCCAACCCCTCCTCTCGACACCTACAAGAACGACCATGACAACCAACCTGTGGAGAGGGATCCATTGGCGCCAATTGACTTTGTTGATGAGAATGGTACATTTGTTGAGACTCTTACCATTCCCTTCACGCGAGAACAATTGTCCAGAGCGGCAGTGCCTTTCTCGCTGCGCGAGCACTTCAACCAGCGGGACAATCAAAAGCAAGAGCCCCCGGCGGGCGGTATCCCAGCCAGTCCCAAGACCTCCGACGATAAAGTGTGATTTGGTGCAGCTGGCATCATCATTGTGCTCAATCGGTGGATGGGGGAAACATCAACTCTCTATCTCTAGTGGACGGGCCGAGCCAAGGTGACGAGCGGAAGGTGTGATTATGAGTTGCGGTTAGGGGTTAGATAGTAGAGCCAAGTCTATAACTCCGATACATGGAATACATTCGTTCCATAAACTACTTCTTAAATGGGGCGTGATCCATGTGAATGCCAAGTTCTTCAAAAGTAATAACGATTTATTGCGCAAGCCCGGACAGCAACAACTCAAATTTTTTTTTGGCCGCCTTTTCAGTACGCAAATAGATCTGAAACACAAGTTACCGCGTATGCTATATCATTAAAAAATAGACTACTTGCTATCTGACGCCAATATGATCACTGTTCTCCACCATTACGGCGCCATCGTGACTCAAGACTTGAAGACCAGCCATGTTTTCAGCTATGCCTTTGTTGCTCGTATCGGCCCCGTGTAACAAAGCTGGCTATCTACTGTAAGTTGCAAAATAAAAGAAAACGTGTTGAAACTGGTGTGTAAGGGAAGAAGAGAAACATGTATGCTGGAGGAATCCACCCTATCTAGCAGCTTAGTAGTTCAGCAACTATGAGAACATGTCCAAACTTGAGGCTCTACTGTCCATACAACAATAACCCAAAGAGATGATAATGAGACAAAAGGCTACACCTGTTCCTTCATATATAGGGATAAAAAAAAGCAAAAAAAGTAGAAGAAACATACAACAGCCGGTGTTCGCCAGTGGTCACCCACCTGACTACTAATCTGCCTCTCATTCGCTTGACTCTGGGAGAGCGGACGGGATCCCGTATTTTCGAATGGATATGGTCGTATGTGCTCGGATGTTGAGTCAATTCAGCTTGTGAGAGATCTGAATGTTGAGTTGAGAGACAGGTGTAAGCTCCGGGTTGTATATCCCCTGTAGCGATACCCCAAAACAGGTGGGCGCGAACACAGTGGCTAACGGCCTTCCACTGAGGAAAAAAAAACATTCAATGAGATAATTTAAAACTGTTATCAGTGTGTCAAATGGATTAAGACATATGTATGCCTCGTTCGTGTATGTGGCATGCAGTCTACTGTCCTGAATCATCCCTACCCGTAATCACTCCAATGTAACTCACCGTATTACTTCACTCGTCAGTCAAAATTCCGTCAGCTATTAATGTCCCTGATAGCCCATAATGTGGTACTTTAGATGAACCAATAAATTGGTAAAATATGTGACTGTTTTTGCTTTGATGGGCTAAATATTTCTCAGAATTGTCCTCAGCTGCGCTACCATCAACGACATATAATTTGCTTGTTCACCATCGCTTATCGCACTATATAATTCGGAAGTAAAGCGGGGTATTGTTATTATTTGAGATTTAATACTCCGTACTGAAGTTGAACAAACTCTACACTGCAACAATACGTCTCAGAGCGCTCAGAGCAACTCCTCCCCTCTCATGGATGAGCATACCATACAATAATCAGCCATTTCCCCCCTGAATCAATGTTTCCACAATTACAACTGTTTCCGAAATTCCTGAGCTGCATTCCCTATTGCCCTAGCCGCCAGATAGGGTTGCCGATTTGTGGAGTCTGCCCACATGCGTTGCATCTCCCTCCATCCACTATCACGGCATAGATATACGAGTACAATATACGAGTACAGAACTACAGCGTTCACACCATCTGCTCTTAGAATAGTAGTTGAGCGTCTTCTTGGAAACTACTATATATGTTGGACCGACGATATCTTCATCTTCCAATCACGCTGCTATGGTTACCCACCTGCTAAGTCCGCGGGAAACCGTTATCACACGCGTATTATTAAAACCCAAAAATACGACATATCACTGCAACGGTCAAGCGATATATGCTCTGAGGCAACCCACCCATTCATGATTGGGTTGCATCAACGTCATCCTCCTGGCACTTATATAGAGGGGGTATTATACAAATATGGTAATAAGTCCGCCGTTAATATACTACTCTGATGATATAAAAAGCAAATCTTCCCTGTTCACGCTTTATAGTGATCTCACGTTAAGCGTATCATGGTACGCAATCTCATGAGAGCCGGGGTCATATCAGGTATGAAACCTCGCCTGTTTGCCCCCGCATCCCAATCGATCTTGGCCTGCATGTGAGTAATCCTACCTAAAACATCACAAGCCAGGGCTTTTGTTGAAACCGGCTTGAACTCAGGCGGGGTACCTTGCCTTGTTTTCTTCAGCTCTGTGAGCTAAATCCTTGGTGAGTTGAGGTAAAATTCGTCATGAAGAGGGGGGGGCATGAAGAAGGGGGTTTCGCATAGAAGATGTATTTACTCTATGATACCAAAATTTCGAATCAGTATAACATCTTCGTTGATTCTCAACTATAAAGACTATCAGTGATCCTCATCTCATCCCAACGTGTCCAGACAGCTCGAGACAGCTCAGGACGACTCTGATAGAAGCACTCTCAAAATGTCAAACTTTGCCATAGCCCAGGGCATCATTGTCCTGATTGGCGTCCTTGTTTACTCTCTCTTCTTTCGCAAAAAGCGTGAAGTTCTTCTGCCTTTACCACCGGGCCCAAAACCTCTCCCTATTCTCGGTAATATCAGGGACGTGCCGGCCCCTGGAGAACCAGAATACGAGTACTGGCTTACGTTGAAAGACAAATATGGTCCTATAAACTCTACAACCATTTTGGGTCAAACTCAGGTCTTCATTTACGATAGGGAAGCTATTACTGAGCTTTTGGAGAAATCGTCTTTGAAGACCGCTTCAAGGCCCCAGATGGACTTCTTAGACTTGTGTGGCTATGATCGGTGGTTGAGTATAATGCGATATAACACTCAGCATAAATTTTTCCGCAAAATTATTCATCAACAGATCGGAACCAAGCTCCTCTCGACCCAATACATTGATATTCAAGATGTTGAATCAAAGCGTTTTCTATTGCGCGCTTTGCTGGATCCTACCCATCTATTCGGACATGCTAAAACGTACGATGATACCCCCAAGCTTGATCCACCATATGGATTGAGCAATAGCCTCTAGGAGTATGAAATGGTTCACTTGCTAATTATTTGTGCAGCGAAGGGGCTTCTATCATATTGAAACTCACGTACGGCTATTCATCAGAGCTATATAAACCAGATCCACTGGTTGAGCTAATCCAAGAGGTTCTGAGAAACGCCTCCCTGGTCATGGTTCCTCTTTCATGGGCTGTTGATATTTTCCCTGTTCTCTCGTACCTACCTGGATGGTTCCCAGGTGCAGGCTTCAAGCGGATTGCTCGCGAATGGAGAGCGTTACTCGATGCCTCTGCTGACATTCCTTATGAATTTACCGAGCAGCAAATGAGAAAAGGCTCGTATCAGTCATCATACACATCCAAACTTATTAATTCCTTTAAGAAAGATGGCAGGGAGATAGATGAAGAGACGCTTGAAGCTATTAAATGGACAGCATCGATAATGTTTGCCGCCGGCGCAGAGACTACAGTGTCGACGGTCATATCATTTTTCTTAGGCATGGTCTTGCATCCCGATGTTCAACTAAAAGCTCAAGAGGAAATCGACAGAGTGGTTGGATCTGATCGCCTGCCCGAAGCCAGCGACGAGGAAAACTTGCCCTACGTTAGAGGCGTGGTTATGGAAGCTCTTCGAACTTTCCCTGTCTTGCCCATGGGAATAGCTCATGAAGCTGCGGAGGATATAGTCTTCCGGGGTTATCGCATTCCCAAGGGCGCATATATACGCCCTTGTATATGGTGGTATTTTCACGACCCAAAAACCTACGCAGACCCTTCGAGATACGACCCTGCGCGTTACCTCGAACCCCGGAACGAGCCAGAGCCCATGGACGCGTTTGGGTACGGTCGTCGAGTATGCCCTGGCAGATTTGTTGCCCAAGAGACTCTCTTCCTCACAATCTCACGAACATTGGCGGCCTTCACGATTAGCAAGGCAATGCATAACGGGAAGCCAGTTGATTTTGTACCCCAGCATGCACCAGGCGGGCTAGACCATCCGCAAGATTTTCCCTACAGCATTGTTCCGCGAAGCGAAAAGCATGCAGAATTAGTTCGAAGAGTAGAGGTAGATCACCCGTGGGAAGGGAGCAACGTGGGAGACATTCAAGGGAATGCTCTATTTGACAGATATAAGGCGAGATGCGATGCTGGAATAGGCAGCTACTAAACTTGATGAGGAAACCCGGCGGAATGGTTGTTTATGAACTGTATACAGTTACTTAGATTGATCCTACTTGACCTCGGCAAATGACCAATTCAACATTCGATTCAGATCTGTCATGATTCAATATGCTGTTTATACAAGTGGAATGCAGCTTCAGCTAACCAATGTGGAGCTGTGTCGCGTTACAATTCCATGCACACGATAAAAATTGGCGTGCAAAGAGTTAATTGAGGGTTCGTGCTTTTTTTTCTCTCTTTCGTATCCTAGCATCCTTCTCCCTCCGTGACTCCCGAGATAGATAATTTGTTTTTCTCTCTCTATGTAGTATGTGCAAAACTTGCAACAACTCGTAAAGACCATCCATACTTTGTCATGTAAACTCATACCCAGCAAATCCACATCCCATTGTTCCCTGTCGACCAAAAAAATGGAAGAAAAAAATAACTCCAAGAGGTTGTGGCAAAGTTCCAGATCTTGGAGCCACAGTGCTCACATGCCAGCGAATCCAAACATGCGGTTTTTTGTCCGTGATGTATTTTTACTCGGGTGTTTAGTAAACCTTCTTCTTCTCGTCGATACTGAACTGGCCGGGGCCGCTGTTGACCAGGAGCAGCAGACCACCGACGATGGACAGAATCTGGAAGAAATCGTACTTGGCAAAGTCCTTGTGAGGGTGGTGCTCGTGAAGCTGCGTAAAGAGTCCGGTTAGCCAAAAGAAACGAAGAAATAGGTAGCAAAAGGCACTTACAGTCCAGAAGTTGTTGACCAACAGGTTGAAGCCGCTCAGGATGACAACAAGCAGCGTAGCGCTGTACTTGGCCTTGAAACCCACGACAACCATGACACAGGCGCCAGCGCCAAGGATGCAGACGAGGACGCGCCAGAAGGACCACTGGCCGCTGAAGACGAAGCCAATGAAGAGGAAGATCAAGAGCACACGACCAGCCAACTGGAAGTACATCTTCTTGTCCTTTTCATCCAGGGTGGGGAGACCAGCAAAAGCCTTGGTCTTGCGAACCCATGAGTCAGACAAGACCATGAGCAGACCACCAATGACGGACAGGTTTCGCAGGAAGAAGTTGAGGTCGAAGATCAGACCGTAGCCGAAAGCCTGGATGACGACGACAGACATGAGACCGGCAACAGCGTAGTCAGAGTACTTCCTGGCAATGACGAGGGTGGAGCAGGAAACCATGGCAATAACGTTGAAGAGGAGGAAGAGGTGGTTGAGTCCGGTGGGAACTGGATCAAGATGTTAGCTCAAACTGCCTGACAAGAAAAGACGCTGGAAAGTAGGCAATGCGCCGAGATCATTGCTTACTGTGGCGGTAGTCGTGGAGATAGAGAAGCTGGTCGCTCCATTGGGTGATGATACGGAGCGCATCCTCGAGGAAAGTGACGACAATCAAGAATCGTCCAATGGCGGGAAGGTATCTGAGCAATGCGCCGCAAATGTTAGCTGCCAATTCCAGATTTACACGATTCTGGCAAGCCTGGAGCTCGTTGGGAGTCACTTACGGCTTGACGGGCTCGCTGATGGAGTCTAGAGCATCCTCAACCTTGCTGGTGTATGGCCGGAGCTGGTCAAGGACGCTGCCTCCGTTGGACTCGTCCGAAACACCAACTCCTCCGACGCTGCCACCAGCATACGGACTGGGGCCGCCAATGCCGTAACCTGAAGGACCGCGATGCGACATTTCGAGCTTTTGTGATTGATCTCCTTCTTCTGTTCCTGTTCCTGTTCCGATTCCTATTCGCGTCTCCGCCTTGAGCTGTCGTCGGTACTTCTCGAAGCTCTTTGGTGAGGCGATTCGGACGACGGACGGAGCTTTCCGCTACGATGGTGTTGCGATGCGATGCGATGCGCTACGAGACGACGAGCTGCAATGTCAAGGTGCAAGTGGCCAGCAAAGGACAGCGACGGCGCCCAGTCTCACAGGCAAGGTTTGACAAGGTCGAATTGAGTGGGAGAAGCGCAATTGTGCGACGAGAATCACGGCGGGAGGAGGGGCGAGGGAGGAAATTCCCAAAGGTCGTGACCTCAGAAAAGCTCGGATTCTTACATACCACTGTGTCCTTTCCAAATCCCGTGATGGTGCAGGCTCCGAGGTGTCCACTTTTTACTTTGGCAAAAGCCAGTGGAGCCGGGCTTCGAGTTTGATCATGATCCCCCCCAGCTTTGCGCAGGTACCTGCCGCTTCCCCTCCAGCGACTTTGGCGGGCGGTGCAAAGGCTAGCGACGGGGCGTGTAGCTTTGCCCAGGGATGCAGGTAGCGAGGCAAAAGCAAGCCCCCTTCTGGCGCCAACTCTGTGACAATGGCTGTGGACTGGCGCGACAGAGCACAAGTACATTGCTGGTACATCAATGGTACAGACACTGCGTGACGCTGAGGGTCGGGTACCTTCTCGGTACGGCTTAAACCCGATGAGCCTGTCCGTGATTGCATCTGATCCATCCATCTAATACATCACAGCCCGCCCTTACATGTGGCTCCGACTGCACCGACAAGGTAGGTCGGTAACTAAAGCGCATACCTTAGTTGCTTAGTAGGAGGGAATAGCAGCTGGAACCTCCCTAATTAGGGCCCGTGGCGAGGCTTGAAAGGGCCCCAGTAAGCCCATAGCCGCAGAGAGCTCGACTTGGACAAGCATCCATGGATGATGTGTGGAAAAGCTACGCACGCCATTACAGTACTACGGGCTGCCACGGCAAGCGGGGGTGAAGCAGCGCCAAAAATAAACTAATTCAAGGTTACTAGCCATGGCGGCAGAGCATTTCTTGGCAGTTGAGTGCTTGCAGCGGCCCTTTTGCCGTTTTGCTTAGGTCCATTCATATTGCTTGATCGATTTGAAATGCCGTCAGAATGCTACTGGGTACCCATGTTCTAGTGGGGTTGAGTGAGGTATGAGATATGAGGTACTTCGGGTGCGATGAATGGAAATGAATGCCCAACGGCAAACAATCGAATCAACAATCATCCATTGAATCCATTCTTATTGAGGCGCTATTGACTTAGTATCTTAGGTTTGCAGGGCAGCACAGCCCTACCAACTCATGCTTTGTGCTTCTCAACACGGGCCAGATCCGATCCGGAAGATTAAGGGAAAACCCCCAAACAAAAGCCCCCAACGGCATCTCTTCTTCCGATTTCTGACCTGTTATCTGCTATAGGAAACTAGCTGGTCTGATACTATTTTCTAGCTTCTTCCAGGCCATCGCCAGCATCGGATAGCTCAGGTGAGAGGTACCTCGTCGTCACAAGTGCTCACCTGCCTAAACAATCGCCCCTCGTGCGATGGACCGTCCAGTCCCCTCTTTTACAGAGATTTCAGAGGCTGTCTCGCCCTGCATGGCGATGCCCGCAGCGGAACATTGGAACTTTTATTCGATATCCTGAACTGAGCAGGTCGTAAAGTTCTTGGTACAGGACACCTATCGTCAAAGTACCTTGCACAGGGCGCCACTGCGGTCCGAGACATGTGCATGCTTAAATACCATGAATGGTGGGCCAAGCATACGGTATGTATTGTTTGTACTATCGATTGACGTTATGGAGTACCTGGTAAGCGTAAACCACCTGCCGAGGTCATCTTGCACTATTTCGTAAAGTGAGAAAATGCGTGACAACTGATTACGTGGGATTGACCATTTGTGGCTGTGATGGATGATGGCAATGCAATTGCTTTATTTATCCGTGTTATTTCGCATTATTTGCAATATTTGGCATCTATTCTAACATAAACTTGACCGGCCATCGGGGCGCGTAAAGAGGCACAAGAGCACATACCACGTGTCTACTTATCCAAGCGCTTAGTATCTCATCTCATACCATCTCTCCCAGATTACGGAGTACAACGTATACCGTCAGATTCCTCCCGCTCTCCTCATACAGTCAAGATTCTCAATGCCCCCGTATCATCATACTCAACCCTCCCTTCGTTGACAGCCCTTCGCTTCTCCTCCCTCAATACCGTACGTTCGCCTGTCGTCGGGTCCCATTCCCAGCCTTCGCGCATCCACATCCACCGCAAGCAGGCTCGCAGCTCCTTGTCAGCTGGTTTTACCCTCATCCACTCAGGTTGAAATTCAGCTTCGCGGCCCTTTCCGTTCCAATCTTCAGCGCGGCCCAGCAATTCATCGCGACAAAATATGCGCCAGCTGTCGATGGCATACTTGCCCTGAGTCATATGGCCGATCTCCCACGCCTCAAGATCCTGGTCACTGCTGTCCGATGGCGAATGCGAAATTTCTGAATCCTCAGAGTCTCCGCTGCTAAGATCTCTTGGTGTAGGGCTCATGTCCCGTTTATCATAGTTCTTCACTCGATATAGCACACCAGACTTTGGTGGCTGGTGCACAAAGGCCGTTGCGTATTTCAGGATATATGCAAGCCGTACATTGGATAGTCCTAGGTGACGTATCATGTCAAGGAGCTCTTCCTTGATGGATGGATCTAACAGCTGCAATGGCGTAGGAAAGCGTTCTTTTACCCGGCGAAATGCAGGTAAAGCCACCTGCCCGCTCGTCTTTATAAGAAACGTAATGGCAATAAGCAGCCAAAACGGATCGTGAGCCAGGTCCTCTTGAATGATGCCAAACGAGCGCGAGTCGAGAGGAGGAAACGGGATGCAAGAAATTGTTCCTGGCGGTGGCCGCTTCTTCTTTGGAGACTCCTCCTTTGGTGACGGTGCTTGCAAAAAGTAGGGAGATTTTGTCGAGCGTTTGCTATGCGGCGTCTCCTTCTCATTCTCCTGTTTACAAAAGTCACTACATAGCCTTAGATTGTTGAGGCGAGAACTGTCAAGTGACGATAATATGTTCAAAGGCTGTGCTTCCGAAGTCGATGTAACAGCAAGGAGAGCGGTACCAGTGCCCTGGTGGATGGTCTGGCCATATGCCCGTATTTGACTGCATTGACGATAGCCAGATACAGACGCAGAGGGATCAGAGAGATTGCCTTGCTTGCCATTTGTTTTGCTTGTCTGGTCCGAAAGCTCGTCAGACCAGTAATGAGACGTTGTTCCCAGACGCTGCTTCTTGACGCGCGATTGAACTCGTGAGGATGCGCTCTTCCGGGTTGGTGGCAATGTGGGCAGTGAGGGCGGTAAAATCTCAATATCCCTTTCAAGACCTTTGGCGAGCGCAATCAGACGATCGGTTTCTCCCCAAGGCTCGGCAGATGGCGATGCACCGTCGTATCCATCTAATATTTCCCAGACGAAGCTGAGAATATCGCTGCCGTCGAGGCTTTCAGGATGGCGATTCTGAAGGCATCGAATTGACCGTGCACAGTCGATCAGATAATGCCAGTCCTCAGCTCCGCCAGTGAGGCTCTGGTTGAAAAAACATTGCACTTCGTCGTTTGGCGCTTCTCCGGATTCCAAGACTTCAGAAAGAAACGATGACGAGCCTTCCCAAACATCGAATACGGACAAGATGCTCTGGCCGAATAAGGTTGGCATGGTGTCGAAATTCACGGCGCGCCGTTGGGTACAAACAGCTTCAATGTCTCGGTGTCTATCAAGGAGCTTGGCAGTTGTGAATGAGGAATCGTTCCATGATGAAGTCGCCTGGGCTGATTAAAATAGATGAGAAAAAAGAGAGAAAAAGGTGTCCAAAAATGTTTGGGAGCGCCCAGCAGGTAAGTATGCTGAATAAACAGTTGCTTAGGGTGTTGTTTTCGAAATGATCGTTAACGTCTTAACACCGCCGCATCTGGATCAAAAGCAACACACGACATTGAGGAGGAATAAAAATCCGAAGCAATTAGCGAATCGACATGACTGATTTCTTTGCATGTTCTTTTCGTCGTCTTCTCTTTTAGTTTGCTTTCTCTGTTTCTTTTCTTCCGGTTTCTTTTCCAGTTGCTATCTATTACCAGTGTGTACAATTATCTAAGGGCCATGGTCAGCCGTCAACTTTGAAGATCAGTACATACTGTACTCATTCACCTCTACACACGAGAAATAATCAGACCAATTGCGGCCATCCCAGCGAATCAAAAACACACAGAGCAGAGCAGAGTAGATGGTTAAATGCAGCTCCGCAGAATCCCCGATAAGCCGCGGACATGTTGCTGGTGTTTCTGGTCGGCGGTGAAAGCCGAGACGTTCGTGGGGTGCATGGCCAATTCGGCCCCTGAATGGCTGTCGCCTGACTCATCAAAAGTCCCCCACCGTGAATCACTGCAGCCAAGGTGGCGCGTGATGCAATTCTGCGTTGCGCGTGTTTTTCCGATGGGACCGTGTTGGCAGTTGGTAGGTCATGGTCTGATGTATCAATTCACTGCAGAATTCCATCAATGTTGTCTTGCCGGGTACAGTACCTCTGGACCTGCAGTACAGCACTGAGCATTAGAGGTACTTCGCTCGTTATTGTTTGTGCGGTGTTGGAGCTCACGTGAGCGGTGGCCGAAATGGAACATTTCCATGTTATGGAGGTACAAAGTCTCTTTTCTATTTGACAGCTAAGCAGTGTACCTATACAAAACTCTCCTATCTCTCTGTTGATCTCATCTGCAGCGTGATAGATATACAAGTACCTAGATAGTACTATTGCCTATATCAAAACTCCAATTGCAGATCCCCGCGCTCCGGCCCTTGTGATACATAGAAATGCTGCATTAGCACACCTCGAAACTGCTGATTATACTCACCGAGCACAACCGACAAGGGAACGTGTCTTGACGGAAGCGCCAATTGCAAGCAGAAAAAAAGAGTGGAGGAGCTCCAGAGGCAACGCTAGCAGCCACTTACCGCACCACGAAAGCACACGAAAAGGTACGTACCGGGCGCCGGATGTCCAATTGCCAGCATTCAGGCGAAAAACGCGAGTCACGTGGGCGTGGCCTATCAGACCCACCGCATCGCCCATTCTCTCTGGCCGTCTTGCGTCTTGTGCCTCCACCCCGGAACCTCTTGTTTCCATTCCATCTTTCGCATTCCCTCTCCGGCGCCACCTCCGACCCTTCTCGAGTCTGAAGCATCACCACCACAACCTCAATCATCCAAGAGATGAGTAGTCGCGGCGGGAAACTTGCCCCCGAAGTCAATCGGTGAGTTTTTTCGGCTTTCTTGCGAGTCTTGGCGTCGCGGCGAGGCTGCAAAGGCGTGTGGTCTCGTTTCTCCGACCACTCGGCCGGCACGTCTCGCTGGATGCTCGGCGAAAAAAGTGTCAAAAGAGTCTTTACTAACTTGTTCCTCATAGCGCTCTGTTCGTAAAGAACCTGAGGTACGCCTCCGTCGATAAGCAAACGCCGAATTCAGACGAGAAATACATCTGACACTGACTTGTCGTAGCTACAACGTTACTCCTGAAGAGCTCTTCGACCTCTTTGGAAAGTTCGGACCTATTCGGTATGTCCAAATCTACGCGCGGCTGATACTTCTGGCCTGCCGCCGTTATTCCCTTCTAATATGTTGTTTTTAACACCTCTGCAGCCAGGTTCGACAGGGCATTGCCGGCAACACCAAGGGTACAGCTTTCGTGGTCTACGAAGATGTCATGGATGCGAAGTCAGCCTGCGACAAATTGAACGGTTTCAACTTTCAGAACCGCTATCTCGTTGGTACGTGACGACATGTCCATTTTCTTTCTTTTCCTCTTTTTCTTCTCTTCTCTCCCCGCGAACAAACGCCCTGCTGACACGCGATGTAGTATTATATCATCAGCCCGATAAGATGGTAAAATCTAAAGAGGACCTCGACGCCCGCCGGGAATCTTTAGCGCAGCTCAAGAAGCAGCACGGCATCGATTGACAATCCGACCGGTCTGTAGGCACCCTGCAGAAGAAGACCCCTTCTTCGTCTGCGGGCCGGTCTTCCTCATCCTCATCGTCCTCGTCAACTTCGTCAGAGATTAAGACAATCCTGCGAAAAGAGAGGTCGCCAGCCAAGGCCACTCTAAGCAGTGGGCACTCTCCCACCCGAGCCGTCCGATTTGCAGAAGGACTACGCGCAGCTCTACCATCGTTTGCCTAAAACACAGAGCATTGGACGTCGTGCCCACAGAGTGCATTATTATTCTAAACTATTAGCTTTTTTCTTCTTTCCTCTTCATGCCTTGGCTGGCACATCAGCTTTTTTGTTACCTTAATGTCAGTATTTACCGGATCAGTCACCTCTCAGGAAAGAAACAAATCACGAATGCGAGTCTTTTATCAACGGAAAGGGGAGGAGAGGGTACAGATTGGGGGAGCTGGGAAAATCAAAGGGTGTTTATTCGGCAAGTGACGACATGGCAAGTCACAAATGAACTGCTTTATTCGGAATTTGGGCGGAGCCAACTTTGCGGCCATGTTTACTAGCGAACATCTCCTGCCTCCCGAGGCCTTAACCAGAGAAATCAACAGCATGTCTCAACAACGCAAACGCATTTGCACCTTTGGTCAAATCAACTGAAGCAAGGCGTGGGGGTTTTTGTTTTTCCATTTGAGTGAGCTCGTCTCATTATTCTACGCGATTTGCTGCAGCATTTTCATTGTCTGGCAGCTGAAAAGGACGACTGTCGTTGTGGTGGAGGTTTATGGCTTTTCACCGTGGCGCGTTGCACTGCGGGTAAATGACGTATGATACATGGCGTAGAACCAAAGGAATCAACTTTGACGTCGCAACATTTGCTTCAAGGGACGTGCCTGCTAGTAGACTTGTATTTTCAGCCTCCAATGCGTTAGCACCTGTTTGTGAAACCACAACGAATAGCCAAAGACCCGTTGACATTTGCCTACCTCAGACTGAGGTGGCCATGCCTCTAGTCTTGAGATAATAGTAGGGAACTACGACAGTAACCAGCAACCCAAGTCTGTTTTCCAACATCCCATGTCTTAAACTTAAAGCTACATAGGTGGTGAGTGATAAGTACCTGCTAACCCCAGACAAATCAGAGCCCGCGCCCGCCATAATGAGATAATGGACGAGCTCCAGGTCGATCATGGTATTACTTATCTCTGCTGATTCATCTGAGAATGGTTCTGAGAATGATGATTCCTCCGACGATGAAGACGGCTCCTCTGATGAAGACATGGATATCGACGAAACAAAAGGCAGATGCTTCACAAGCTGGGTATGTAGTGGCCTGTGAACCCACAACGAACGACCAAAGGCATCTGCTTGCCTACCTTGGACTAAAGGTAGGCCAAGAATCAAGTCTCATGATAATGGTAACCCAACACAGGACAATTGTACTCTTCATCTGCTTCATGAAGCAGGCAGACATCGACGGAGACTTTGGATTAGTGCCGCCGGATCGTCGAGAGTTGACTTGCCTGCTAGCTGAATATGATCGTAGTACGTGGGTGTTGATAGCGGTTACCAACGAGCTATCAACAGTCCTTCCGCCAAGTGAGTACTTGCATCACACAGCGAAAAAAAAAAACGCCTTGCGAGTTTGCCAGCAAGTCGCGAGACCATTACAGCATTCGATTCTACAGATTCCTTGGGATCCAAAGTGTCAGTCGCACCAAAAGCTCCTCCTAGGCCGCAGACTTGGTCTCCCTACGAGGGCGGTGTTTTCTGGAATCGCAGCTTGTATGGACTGTCCATAGCTCGACCAGAAGCGAAGATGGAGACCGGGCCGCAGAAACGGCCGGACCTGGTGGGAATCCAGCGGCGGTGCAGCGGTGCGAGAGAGCGCTGTAGCTTCGCTAGAGCGCGGTGCCGGGGGGGTTCTGAAGCAAGCGAACGTTTAGAGCTAGAGTGGTGCTGTAACGCCGTAGCGAGGCCTGGAAACGGACTTGAGGGTGTTCCCGTGGCGCAGCACCTTTTGCGGTCGCTTTTTGCGGTCGGCCGGGTGGAGTCGCGCTTATCCCCATATTCCTGAACTTGCAACCAACAACGGCCGACACTTTTGGCCATCTCGTCACAATTTCTTAACGCCGTTGCAAGGACTCGCGCAGAAACGGTCGAATTCCAAGAAAGAACGCCTGGAGCACAGCTTTTTTCAGGCCTCCATTTGTGGTCGAGTATATCGAGATATAGAAACAGCAGGGCTTTTTCGATTACGATTGCCGGCGCCAAGGGTCGGAGGTCCGGCCTGGCCGTGCTCTAGGAACAGGAATAGCATTCAGATCTACACAATGGACCTGGGAACAAGGCTGATAGTGAGTTCATCGTGAGCAGGAAGCCTGACTTTGTCCAGACTAAAGACAGGAGATGGCATCATGTTGGCAGACAAGATGCTTGATGGCCCATGCTGATTGGTGATTTACCTAGGTCTCTTTGTCTAAGCGGTATGGAGACGAAGACAAGTCGTGCATAGAAGCTGGTCATGGGCAGCCCAAGAGTGGCTTGTTGTTCAGCTCGCAGAATTTCGACGATCCAATGAGCATCCTCAGCCTATCATCTACATCCCAGTCGTTAATATGCCAGGCCCAGGCATGCCACGACACGTTCGTCCTATAAACGCCATCATACACCGTCCTCCGGCCCGGACCCACATCGCCGGCTGAGGCCCCCGGCCCTCTTCCGGAACTCGTTGAGACCAGTAAGAAGTCGTTCCATTGCGCTGGGATTAGGCTTCACTGGTCTTGATGCGTTCACAGCCCCTCCGCAAGGTGTCTTAATTTCCTCCCTGGCCGTCAGCCGACCGGATTGGTCCTTTGAATGAGGCTCGAAATGGGCTCTCTTGCGAGCAGCCTTCCCCCCGGGCGTTCAGCCTCTCGTCCAGTGACATGCCAGAAGATGCCATGGGTACTTTCGCTCCTTGGGAGCTCCTTCCATTATTCAATGTATTCATGACTCCTTCTATATTGGCCTACACGTACCAGAGAGAGGGAGAGGCTCGGTCATTCCCCCTTGATGTTAGTTCGCGTTGTTGGTTGGGACTTGGGTTCGACTTTCCCCTTGACATGATACGTTTGCGGTTCTCTATCTCTATAAAGCTGCTTCAACTTCCACTTCCAATCCATCGTTTCATGACATTCAAGTCATACATCCAAGAATCTGAAACAACGAACGATACCTTCTTGTCAATACTGATCAATCCAATGTCGGTGCCAGTCGCGCCATTCAGCAGACTATCCCTTGACGAGATGTCTCCCACTAGCCAATCAGGTCCACACGCTGCCCTACAAGGCGACATCTATGAGCCAACCATAGAAGACTCGAGCTCTGACCTCGAATCCTATTCAGATTCCGAGGACGACGACGACGAGCTTTCTATGGTTGTGCAGTCTCCTACTAAACTCGCCTACAATATCAATCATCTTCCGGAAAAAGCGCAAGGCGCCGTGCGCGAAGTCTTCGGCGAACCTCCTGCGATTGTGCTGCAGCAGTGTCGTCTCATTGACGATACATATGCTTTTCAGATGACGGAGCTCGTCACACAGTCTATTCGCATTCGAGCCAATGGCGATGGATCATCCCAGCTCACATGCTCGTGCGGACGCGGAGACGACGCGGAGCCATGCTCACACTTGCTGTGGCTCTTGGATCGGCTCACAAAGCAGATGCTTTATGACTATGATCCCAAAACTCCTCTTACCATGACCCAAGATGGTTTCGCCGAAGAGCTCGGTGATCCCTTCACTGCCATTTCAGAGCACCACCTTGATGTTCTGTCCGATGGCCTCCACTGCCAGGTCATTGACCCGGAAGCCCTCTCCGAAGATGACCTGGCTTCATACCGCGTCCAAGAGTCGCGTGAACTTTTATCTGCTGTCTATGGAAAGACTCCAGAAGACTTCCGTCCGGACATCTTTGCACGGCCAGTGCTAGGAAAGAAGGTGCTCAAGCGCAACGACCTTGACTGCACCGTCTTCCGCATGCTGCTCGACAACCACCACTTCTTCAACTACTTCCAGTCCGTGTCTCGGCCCAGAGACCCTATCAACGATCCGTTCAGGAAGCTCGCGCAAAGAGTCGACCGCGTGCTCCGGCGCTTCGACGCCTACGCCTCTGATCCCGCACCCGCGCGATCCTCCGCAGAGACGCTCCCCAACGTTTCCTGGGCGGCGAAGCACCTCCTCGGATGCATCAAGCTCATCAAATCCATCATCTACACGCGCGACCGGCCCCTCCAGCCCTCGGAAGCCGCGTCCGCCGCCCGCACACTGGTGCACATTCTTTCCGCCGTTGTCTCCCGCAACCACGACGTCGTATCGTCCGGCTCTCCCGCAGAAACGCCGCGTACGGAGCGTAACTTGTACTTGCGCCTCATTGGGGACAGGGATAGGGACTTTGTGCTGGCGGAGCTGAATCTACTTCCCGAGGCGGCGAGCCAGCACTTGCATACCCTGGAGGCTGTTTTGGAGGACGTTGGGATGCACGGCGCCCCGGTGACGTTTGTCGATAAGTTCAATGCGCTGCTATCGAGATTAAGGGCGCCAAAGAGGAGCTCTAGTCTCAAGAGGCAGGGTGATGACGAGGGTGGTTCTTCTCGAGGCTCCAAGAGGATGAAGTAAAGGGAGAGACGCCTGTATATGTGTTGGAGTTCATTTTTCATTTCTTTCCCCCCTTTTTATTTACTTTCTTGTGTCGCACTCCGTCGATATACATATCACGCTGGCCGTGATGTCGTTGTTTTACTATTTTCTTTTTCTTTCTTTATTCTTCTTATCTTTTCCCCGTTTCAATTTTCTCGTCCTTCCTTGTACGCCATATGGCATTCATTGTATACTAGGTAGATTAGCATTCACGCGATTTTGCTCGATTTTCTCTAGATGAGTTTCACAAGGCAATACACAAATACTTCAAGAAATGGCCAAGATGAACAAATCACTTAAATCAAATACACAGCTAGTAAAGTCATTTCCTCGTATACATCTCCTCCAACGTTACATGCCAAACTTGGGGCTCAAAATTTCCTTTCCTCACGAAGAAAGGGAAACCCTCCTGACTCAAAACCCCCACAAGCGCAGACCACCCCTCGGATCACATGGAGAGCTAGGCGTCCTATAGAGTGGCAAACTAGTAAAAGAGATGGCTGTCCTCGAGAAATTTGGTCAGCTCCTCGCGGACCTCGCGCAAGGTAGGTCGATCATAGTAGTTCTCGTTCCAGTCGCCCCTCTTCATGCCCTCTGCGCGCTCCTTGAGCCACGCCTCCGAGTCGGCGATCTCCTTTGCCCACCAGTCGCGCGCAGTCTTCTGGACCTCCTTCGCCGTGGACTCGCCCGTGTTTTCAAACTCTCGCAAGACCAGCTTGTCTCTGCGGCGGACGATGAGCCTACTAAGCCCTGCCTGTCGGCCGCGAGTGCAGCGGTCGATGAGATCTCGCATGGCGGGCGGCGTGCGAGTGTAGCCGGGAAACTCGACCAGGGGCTCCCATCGGTACGAAAGCCACACCGCCGCTCGCTGGGGAGCGCTGTTGGATTCAAAGATGCACCACAGGACTCGCCCAAGCATGTACACCTCGCAGGCCTCCTGCTCTTTGGGGGTCAAGCACGCCCACGGCACGTTGTACCCCTTGGATGGCCAAACGTAATCTTCACCCTGGCCCATCTCCTCCCACCCGGGAAGCATGTCCGTCAACATAGCAGCATACTTATCTACAATGTGCGAGGGGATCTCGTCGTCGACGGCCAAAAGTCGGACATACTCGATGGCGTTGACTTCTGGGGCTGCAAACTCGCACCAAACGCCACGCTGCTCAAAGTCAACCATGACAACATCCCCAGATTCTGACAAGACAATGTTGTCAAGCCGGAGGTCCGGATAGAAAATGCTGGACGTCTCACGCAGATGCACCAAGGCAGATGCAAGTTGGACAGACCATTTGGCCTTGTCCCCCAGCGACACTCGGTCATGCACCTGTAAATAAGGGATCAAGTCACGCAAGCTGCCATGGACGTGAAACTCGAGCGTGAATCCGAGAACGGCCGTCTTGCTGCCAAAGCTGCACTTCTTCGTGATGAGGTGGACCGGTCGTGCCACAATGTTGGGGTAAGCCTTGATGGAGAGGAGCTGTCGTAGTTCATGGTACAAGTACTTGGTGTAGCTGGTCAGGGCCTTGAAAATCCATGTTTTGCCTTCATATTCAATGAGACAGACACTGTCGTGCAACTGTGACAGATACACGACGTCGTGAATGTCGACCGTCGGGGGAAGGTCCAGGTGCGACCCCCAGAAGCTTTCAAATGATGCCACAGAGAGCATTTGACGCTCGAGGTAATACGTTGGAGCGATGCATACTTGGACTTGGCAGACATCCCTGGGAAGGTTGTTGAAGACGATCCTTGAGCCAAAGGGGATGTTTTGATATATCTGAGGCGGATCATCCAACGTCGACGTCCAGTACTGGAGCAGCCGGAGCACATGCTGGGTAACGCCAAGCTGTGAGATGCGGGATGCGTCTCTTGTGTAGAAGGCCACGTCCATGTCGAGGACACTGCGCAGCTCGCGAGAGAGGGTCGCTGGCTCGGGTATGAAGACATCAATGCGGAACGGGGGAATCGAATCCATGAAAAGAGGCACGGCATAAAACTGAGTTCCAAATGCAGTACAGCCATCAATACGCCACAAGGGCCTCGCTGGAGGCTCGAGACTGTCGATGCGATTCTTGGGATTCAGTGGGGACTCATCCCACGAAGTTTCTCTCGCAGCGTTGACAGCGGCATTAGCGGCCGACTGCTCCCAGATGCTCTCATCCGAGAAGGCTGCGGTAGGATGGATGACATCGTGAATCGACTGTTGGCTGAGCTCCATGTTGTGCAGATGCTATATGTCTCAACGGACAGGTGCAGCTTCTACTGTTACTAGAGAGGGCAGTGTCTTTATCAGTCAATTTGGCACACACGAGAGAAGAGACCGAGAGAGCGGCGGCCGCCGACCTAGTACTCGTACCTCTTCCACTTCCACGTGCGGGCTCTTGTGCTTGATCAAACTCAAACCTGAGCGAGAGGAGGCATTCGATTTGCCAGCTCTGGGCCCAAGCAGCTGCTGTTTGCCGTCACAGGCGGCCCGTTGCAAGGCTAAGGCAGCGATGGATTCAGCTTCTTTCAACCCCTCCCAGCTGGAGAGACTGGCCGGGCTTCCGATTTGCACAGGACCGAGGACGTCGATTGTGTCACGTCTTTTTGCGAATCGAGCTGCTCAGTTGCTATGCCATGCATGAACTGGGGGGTTCGTGGCCAACAGCCCGCTGCATCTGGCTTGATTTGGCTGCAGCATTACCTTATGCCTGATCACATGATGCGGCCTCGAAGTACCAAGTACACTTGCATTTGCATTCCATTCCATCTGATTTTCGATATCAGGCGTGGAATTGGCCATCGTCTTGGAAATGCTGAGTTGTGCTTTGGTTTGCAAAGGCAAAGAGCCGATACAAAACTGCTTCCCTGCCGCACTTGTGCTAGACCGAGTTTTTGGCAGCTGGGGCTAAGGTCATGTTTGTTGCCCAAGCTCCGCAAACACACAACACCTTTGAGCCATCAGTCGTGCAATTGCTACGTCGGACAGGGACATGCACTTCGGCAATGGGTGGCTATTTCAGGAGCACGGCATGCTGGGAGGCTGGCAACGGGCTGGGATCCATTTCGTCATTGTGTTGGTCGAAAGACGCTTGATCCGTCTGCTTCCCTGTGCTGAGAGTGCTGAGAGTGCTGGGAGGGCAATGCCGTTCCTATATTTACGAATGTCTGAAGCTCACGCAAATGAGCTGAAGCAAGCCAAACTCAGGAAGCAAACCGCTTGGACGAATCAACCAAGCAGGTTTCCATCGGCTATACACTTCGTCGCTACTGGTGCCCGCGAAGAAAAGCAGACGCGAAAGAGTACAAGCAGCTTTGCGGCTGCACATCCCGTCAACCAGCCTCTCTCTTTTTCCTGTTCCCGTATCCGCACTGGGATTTGTTAATCTTGCTGCCTTGGATATTAATATCGGCATCATACATGGCCGCCGCCACCGGCGCTTCGTACACACGCGACGAGAATGGCTTTTTTTCTGTCTCTTATTTTGCTGCAAGTCCCTTGTTTGCTCAAGCCGAGCCGAAGTGTAGGATTGAGTGGAGCAGGGAAACTTTGGCCCCCAAAGCCATGGCCGTCTGTCTCTCTTTTTTCCTCCATGGTAAGCAGCCGATGGGGGCAGAAACCAGCGATATTCAGGGTAACGGATGCATGTCTTGCCCGAGTGTCAAAGCACACCTTGACAGTTTCAACCTATGGAACACTCCATAATAGGATATTTTGTGGCGTTAATAATGACTCGGGGAACCCATGCTATGCATACTCAGTCATCTTCAGCCGCAGCAAGCGATGATAGCCGTGTTCTGGAGTATAGGAGGTAAGATATTCGGACAGGCCCGGTATGCGGCCCATAATGCTATTGTTGAGCCAGAGGAAAGCTTGACAAAATTATCCAAAGCTACGCCATGGAGACGCAGCACAAAAGAAGCGGAGCTCAATGCATATGTTGTCATTATGCTGCATGGCATGGTCTCTCACGTACGACTATAGCAGCTTGTCAGTGACAAAGAGTCTCCCAAATTCACTCATTTATATGATAGTCACGTAGTATCAGGCGGCTCGGACTACAGCGGATCATCTGATACTGCTTCCTGCCCACTTACATGTCTTTGGCACGCACTCATCGCGATGCGAATGGCAGCAGGGCAGGTGATTATCCAGATCTGAATTGATCGCCAATTTCAAGGAGAATAATGCATCTCCGTCAATACTTGCATTGACTGATGTCATAACGTGTGTCAGACGCATGTTGTCATCAGTTGTGAACGGGTTTACTGGCGTGAGAGGCCGTGCTGTTAGCAAAGATGCTCTTACACACCCATCCCATGCAAATAGCTCATCCGAAGTTGCCAGCCGGTTTCTCTATGGGCCGTCGGAGGAAGATGCAAGTCACTAGGGTGAATCAAAAGTATCGTCCTCCTCGCTGTGACTTGTTTGAGGGGGCCCATGGTACCTTGCAGTCTGGTCATGATCTGGATAGCATAAGCCACGGTCCTCTCCATCTCTGCTACTCGACGGCTCAAAGCCCATGTTGGCACCACTGCATCTCCCTAGCCCCGAGAGGGCCTGGCTAAACTCACAAGTGCTAGTGGTTTTGTGGCGTCCATGCTAAATGCTCACCGGTCGGCGAGGGCTGTTAAACGCCTTTCGGGACAGAGAGCAGAACACCAGGGTCTCTGCAGATCGCGAGGAGGCCATTTGATGCGGCCAGCCATATACGGGCAGCTTAGCGGGCTTGGGAAAGTAACATGTAACACATGGTTACTCAGTCTTTTGGCGGTATGAACTGTAATCCCTTTTGTGCAACGACCACGGCACCAGCACCATAGCTGCTTCGAATCAAGGCCCTGCACCTCTCACATGGCTACAGCTTCCCTCTGGCCTCGGAGTGGACCACGAGAATGTCGAGTCTGGCTGCATATGCACGATGCACCAAAGGACGGAGACAGTCCGTAGACATCCCGCACGGCCTCTTGGTACTACTAGGTACCCAGCAAAAGACGGACTGATGTTATGTTGTGTAGCTTTGCGAGAACAGCGTTAGCTGGGTGATGAGATCAGAGTCAAGCCCTATTGGCGATAAGAGAAGAAACCACCGACCAGTCCAAACAGCGGTGTTGATAACGCGGGTACTCGTATACGAGCAGCAACACGAGTGGTTTTGACAGATGCATTTTCGTAATATGCATCTCGCCGAGACAATTTTGAAGCCACAGCAGATGAAAGACTAAGGCATGGAGTTACTCGTACAAGGTTAGGGTAGACGATGATGGTCTTGGAGGCCATGACGTTGTCTTGCATCGGCCCTGAGCAACTCCACTAGCCCGAACAGTTGCAGCAGCAGCAGCAGCGGGGGGAAGTCAGAAGTAAAAGCAGAAGCGGGAGATGATTGCGAATCGGCGCAAAGAAACGGACGTTGAAGCATCTCCGCAGTAGCAGCTCGTCAGACGCTCCCCAGAGGCTCTTTGGAGGCTCATTGCAGGTTCATTTGCAGGTTCATTTGCAGGTAGAGGCAACTTGATGCCTTATATTGGCTCAACATGGAACCCAATTGGATTTCATCCCGGCGACGATGATTGGCTAGCTAAGCAGAGAAGGCTCGTTCTGGCCCTGGTGGCTAGCACGGGGCAACTCGTCCTGGCTTCCTTCCTAACTAAGGCACAGCACAGGCAGGTCCGACTCCAGGCGGAGAAATAATGGAGCAGGCACGGGATTTCAGCTAGGGCCGTCGATAGCAGGGCCGTTGCAGTGGAGGCGCCTTCCAAGGTTCCTTGGCAAGTTTAGCAGTGGGAACAGCCAATGATCTGCCAAGTCTAGCCCCCGCGGGCGAACCACCGCCATTCCGCACCTTAAGTCAACATCTGACTATCGACATCTGCTTCACATGGCACGGCATGCTCGCCCTCGGGACGCCCAGTGGAGGCGCTGCTCCGTTCGCCGGAGAATTTCGAGCAATGATTCATGAACCACGCAGCACGAATCAGCCACAGTCCGTGTGTGCAATTTCAATTCCAAGTCCAATTTCGCAGCGAGGGTGGCACAAATGCCGCCGAGGCGTGGGGGAGACTCAATGTCTTGTGTGACGAGACGAGACAGCCACGCGAAAACACAATGAACAGCCGCCCACCCTCGACTTGACCGACCTCTTTTCCGATGGGCCGTGTCGCAGGCAAATCCGCACCGGGCCTGGAGCTCGACCAAGCTGCTCGACCTGGCACCGCTACGAGTTTGACTTCGTCCAAGGCCTTGCCTGCTGGACAGGCTTGAGAGGTTTCCAAGATGCTCACCCCCCCTGGCACAGAACTGCGGCTACCAAGCCGGAATAGATCAAGATCCCCCGTGGTTGCGTGTATGCATCTGCTTCGTGACTGGGGTTCCAAGGCCGTGTGGGTGCAGTTTAATACAGGCCTCGCTCACCGGTTCCCCACTCCTAAGCGGTTCATTCTCGAGAACTTCCTCGTGTGGTAGCACGCACAGCTTTTAGCTCGTTGATTAGTATGTTCGAGCCCAGCACCAGTCCAATGCACAAGCACTACCAGTCAAACCACATGTGCCTCGTCTGATCTCGGCTCTGGCTTTAGCATATTGGACGGGCAATTCTACACTGTGCGAAGTGTGTCATCCGACTCCTAAAGTCTTCAATCATCAAGCGGAATGTATCCATCTGAAAAGACAGACGATGAATAACCCGGCGTCTGTTGTTCTTTCAGGCAGACGGACGGCCTCTGGTTGAATCATTGCTGCTGCGTTTTCCCAGGTGCAGGTCGCAGTGCATGTGACCCGCCCGCGTCGAAATGAAAGAGGCGTATAAGCTGCAGTTGACAAAGCTCTTGTGGTACCATAATAGCCTTAGAAGATAAGACGACTTTTCATTGGACTGGGTCGCAGTCGGACTCCAACCTGCTCTGCCAGAATCCCTTCCTGGATTGCGCACACTGGCCGTCAGCTCCGTTGGGCGCTACGGCTGACTCTTCTCCCGGCCTGAAGACGAGGGCATTACTTGATGCCCGGGTTGTTTACCGCTGGCCCCTTCGTTCTCGTTGGCCAACTTTGTCATGATGGCTCCGGCGCATTGCATCTTGCTGGAGTTTTACACACCGTCAGGGCCGTAACTGCGCAATGACATCTCAGCCCATTCATCTCGCGATCGCATGTGCCCGCTATTTCTCAGCAGCTGTATGGTATGCCGGCCCGACCAGGCTCAATCTTTGCTTCAATGAGACGACGAGGAGTTAATTGGGCACTGCATCCCAACTACTCCCCCCTCCCCCCTGGCCGCAGCCGTAATACCCCTCAATTCCCATTAAATACACACAACCTGTTTAGCACCGGGATCCATGACTTCTGCTCTCTCACCGAGTCGCTTCTCTCTCTTGGAAAAACAGCTATCGTCGTCTAGCTTTGAATCCAGCCACTTAGACCACAGGCCAGCGCCTATGCACACTTCGGCAACACGCCCCAGATTCTAGCCCGCGCTACCCATCACCCCTGCTTTACGACCGGAGCAGAACCCTGGGCATCGAGGATACAGCCGGCAGCGCAGCAACAGCAACACCAGTGTCCCCAGAGCACATTCATCATCGGTCACCAGAGTGGCGGCAGCACGAGACCTCTTGGACAAGTGTAGCCAGGCGGGTGCGCTTCGCAGGTCGGCACCATCATTGGACTGGACCCAACGCTAGTCGGGACTCCTTACTTACATGCCACCTCTGTCTCTGTCTCTCTTACTCTCCGGCCAGGCTGTTCCATACACCGGTAAACGAACCCTCGTCTTGGATATTTGCGGCTCACTGTGTTCCCGCTCCTACTCCTCCTCGACCGCACAGCGTCCCGCTCCACCTATCGTTTTACACAGCGGAAGCCAAACTCTGCCCCCAGGAATGGTCCCGGTGGCACCATAGCCATCCACCCCCTCCCCGGCGTCGCTCAACCTCACCCGCTGTCTCGGTGCACAACTTTGGTGTACCTTGTTGATATTGCTTTGTCTCTGGAGTCTAGCTGATACTTGGCTTTCCACGTGCCGGTACATTGGATCCTGCTCTTGTTACTACGCCGCATCTGTCCAACACACCCCATCTATCTATGAGCATCATGGTAAGTCGACTTCCTCACCCCACGGCGGTAGCCTGCATGGTTATATCTGTAGCCGCCTCCCGTCCCCTATTATTTGAGTTTCTTCTCATAATGCCTTCACCACTTATGCTGTCTCCTTCTTGTTGATTCCTGCTTATATCCTTTCTGTACAACATCAATCCATTTTCCTCTCCATTTTTTCCCCTACTCCAAAAGTGCGGTCAAGTTAATCATCACATAGGCTCCCCGTCGAAAGCGTGTCCGGTCACTGGGCACATTTGATGTGTCAGTGCCTTCAGAGTCTTCAGTGCCTCTGGTACCTCCAGCTCCTGCCGTGAATACGGAGTTTTCACAATTCTCTCTTAATGATTCGCAATTCTTGGTAGGACAAGCGACGGCAGCTCTCGACTATCCCTATGGTTACTCTGAGTATTCAACTGGATACACATTAGGCTATACGTCTGGTTATTCGCCTGATTTACCCCCTGCTTGTCCCTCCAACTCTCCAACGCACTCACATAAACGCAGACGACTAGAAGGTTTTCACTCAATGCCTTCTGTAGACGAGCCATCGTCATCTGCCGTTGACTATCATGAAAAAACACCTGTAGCAAATTCTCATGATGAACAGCAGGGTCATGATTCAACGTCAATTATACCGCGGTGGGCACCCACCATGCCTGATGTTCAATCTCTGAGCTCCCCATTGGCATGCATTGCAGAGAACATGTTTGCCTGCTGTAACTTTGCATGGCAGCATCCTACAGGTATGCAGGCTCCCTGCCACCGCTTTGCGACTCCTCTCTAGTACCAAGATGATGGCTAATGGGTTGACCCAAAGGATACCAATTTCTCCCCAATTCGGCGGCCGTGGTATATGACCCTCCGCAGCAGTATACGATGGAAGTGGCACCACCTGTGCCAGCCCAGGCGATTCACCCCGTTCAGCACCTTGTCTCAGGCACTGATGTGTTACCTCAACATACACCGGCGCAAGATCAGCACTTGAACTTGGATGCCCTGCCACTCGACAGCTACCCCGTCCTTGGAGAACGGTCATTGCAGCCGCTGATCCAGCCTGTGTTGCAACCTATCCTGCAGGAGCCAACGTGCATTGCAAATACGGGCGACGACCCTTATCTGGTAGACCAGACTGGCCATGAGTACTCTAACCGGCTGGCTTCTTCGGACCTATACAATTATCCAATAGTCACGGCACCGATGCCAATGCCCTTGCCGCTCATTGACGAGAATCCCATGGATGCAAACACTTCACTTCTGTCTTATGGTCCAGCCCTCCTTCTACCGCTAGTCCAACCTCCTTTGGTGGTCATTGAGCCCACATCCCCTGAGATACCCAATTGTTACAACACTCCTACAGTGCAGAATTTACCTCAGCCGGTCCAACCTGAAGATGGGGGCAATACAGTTGACCAGAGGCAAGATACAAATCCCGACACCCTGCAACCCACCCAACGTAGTGGTAAACGTGGCCCTTTCAGAGACCAAAGTCTTCGAGAGCAAACGGCCCAGACAAGAAAGATGGGCTCGTGCATAAGGTGCAGAATGCAACGCATACGCGTAAGTGGCATCCCCTGATAAGGAGGGGCGACGTACCCGTCTCGTGTTACACAACAACACTCGGCATGATCTACATATGCTAACGCAACACTCTCCTTGCAGTGCGAATTCAACTCGGATGTTCCAGGCGGTGTCTGTCTAACGTGTAAAAAGGTAGAGAATACAAAGGCGGCAAGGCTACCATGCCTCCGGTACAAGATCACCGACATGATGCTCTATAAGCCAGGCGCAGTCCCAGGTTACGAGTGGACCCAAAGATGGAACAAGAACAACTCGGAACCCATCCAGCTTTGGGCTGAACGTGAAGTCAAAGTCATTCATATATCTGTTCACTTCTCAAACTCGTTCCTCCCACTGCCGGTGCGCAAATTCGTTCCACAGGAGGGAGACAAACTAGAGCGGACATGGGATTACCAAGGCACCAAGAAGTCGGTCACCATCCCGCCATACGCACTGGTCGACCTGGAAGCGGGCAAATCGGCATACACCAGATATATCCGAGACTCTATGACCGACATCTTTCGGAACTTCCTTGGTGACACCGATAGTCTCTTGTACAAGACGTACCTCCAAGCTTGGCACATGTGGAAAGACCCAAACATCTCTACAGAATCCTTTGAGTTACTCAATTGGACGCTTCGGCTGTGGATAGCCGTCCGCTTGTCAACTACGTCGTGTTTTATCGCCGGAAATGAGAAGCTAGGCATGTCGACCGATATTCTTGACCAAACCAATCCAAACCCCGGAAAGATTCCGCTCCCCCCCGTCCTGGGCGCACAAATGGATATGATATTGATCCAACACATCCAGAGCAAGCTTAGACATGAGCTGTTGGACAACCTCCAAAAAGTAATGCTCAAGAATAAGCCATCTAGCTGGCTGGTGACTTACTTGGTGACTTTCATTCTGCTTCACAATGTCGCACTTATTACAAAGCACGACGCTGCATATGCTCGCAAGCATGGCATGAAGGTGAGTTTACCCAAGGCATAGGGTAGCGTTGGCGGCCAGCAGCCATGTTAGGGTCGCGGGGCCCCGTCCCCTCGTCCCTCCTTGGCACGTAGTACCAATTTGCTGACGAGATTGCCCTTGCAGCGCCGTTATGCTCGCGAAGAAAAAGTCCAAGAGTATCATCTGGGTGAGACCGGCCCCTCCTCCCGCCGTTGTACGCTGGCATAGTGACTGACTTTTGGCTTCTAATGGCGATGCCAATACAGGAGCAAATATTATCCTGGCCCACTTTCACTACTGTAACAAGGGTATTGTGCCCTTCTCGGAAGAGTGCGAGGATCAAGATCTTCGGACGTTAGCGCATCTAGATGAGGAAAAGATCAAGTTTGTTCGTGCGACCAGGGCACACATTCAACGGCACAGTGAGTCTCCGATACCACCACACTCCCCAGCTAACCGGATCCCCGGACTGGCGCTAATACAGGGGCCAACCCTTCTTGTACAGAGCAGGACTGGGAGAGTATGCGCGCCAGAAAGGCGTACGAGGAGGACTACTTCTTCGTCAGTCAGTTATTTGAGGAGAAATGGCAGCCGAGGACCACCGTCTTGTAACATTTGTTTTTGTTTTTTCCCCTCTCCTTGCTTTCTTTTCTTGCCATAAAGGCACCTAGTAATACCTTGAGGAGGTTGAAGCGGTGAGGTGTCGGTACTACGCGTTTAGTTTGGATGAAGGGGTAGACTGCAGGATGCAGTGCCCCGAGGTGGAGATTGGCTCTGGCAAGTGTCAATCGAGATACCTTGTTCCGAGATGAAGTAGTACAGGTATGGTAGCTACCATCCAGGGGCATGCAAACTACCCAAGATGGTAAGTGGTACGCTAGATGTTTCGCAGGTCTACACGGTCATGGGTGGCTAGGAGGAGGATACATTATCCCCGGTATGATATGTTACGTACACGATGGACGCTGAGTATACGAAGTACGAGTAATGGATAAAAGAAGCACGCTCCTAGGCATCAAGTTTGTTGTCTCTTTTCTCCAGCGATCACCAATTGACCATTGCCCGATTCGTACAGATTAGCGCGCTGGAGCCAATCCCATGCGAAGCAATCATGAAGTCGGCGGCGCATTGATAGCTCCTATAAAGGCAATGGCCTCCCGCTGGGAGCTTCGCTTTGCCCGAGTAGCAAACATCGACGCAATGAAGCAAAGAAGAGGTCATTTCGCAGCTCCTCATACGGTACTCTCGGCATGTACACTCCCGTCTACGCCAAGACAGCAGACATGTATACACGATAGGATAGCGGCATCGCCCCCGGATATCTGCTGCACTGAGCCGGCACTTGACCGCTTGTTTTGAGCAACGAGAGAAGGGAGAGAGAGCCGTGTTTTGGCTTACTTTCCTCGTTTTGTTTCTTTTTTTCCTTTCTTTTTATGGTTTTGTTTTTTACTTTTTTCCCCGGTGGATGATGTGGATCCTGGGGCTGAGATGCAAGCTTCAGCAGGAAAAGGGAAAGAAACAACGACAGGGGGTAAGCAAACTCGCCTAAGAAAGGAAAAAGCAAAACAACAAGCAAAGCAGCAGAGAAAAGAGTCGACAAAGCAGATGAGTATCTGGTCCATTACCAATGAGTCTGCTCTACCCTGCTCAACGTCCGGGGGCTTCAAGCACGCTATGCTCTCTGGTGTCTTGCTATTGCCATCCCCTACGCTACCAAGACTAATGTGTCTCAGCCGGAAGCTCACATTGGAAGGCAATCTAGTACGAAGGCGAGATGGGCCAATGCAAGGACAATCAAGGCTACAAGATGTACTAGGTAGTGCGGTGACGGATACGGGCCGTAAGTACGGCAGGCAGCAAGCCGAAGGGCCGGCTTTGTGATACCCGGCCTCTTGTCCCGCCCGGAACGAGTCCGCGGCCGGGCCCAATCAACCAGGCAAGGGCCAAGCTTGATATTTGCTGTTTTTCTTTCCTTCTTGCGGTGTCTACTAGTCAAAGGCTAGTTGCAGTTTGAACCCATATTGGTTTCAGTGGCTCTTGCCAGTTGAGACATTCCAATTTATTTGCTAGATAGGCGGTCTGTCTCGACGTATAAATCATGGCCTCTGTCGTGCTTTCCCAAGCTATCAAGTCCAACATTAACCGAGTCCACACCGTTGTTTGACATTCCAAACTTTTTATATATTTTGCCTCCTCATCTCTTCTCCCAAACTCCTCTCACCAAACACATTCGTTCTCTTCTGACTCCAGAGTCTTTGCCATTCTTTGCCTTCTGCACTCCAATCCAACTCCAATCCTCTCTTCTCTCTTCCAACAGCCAACATATCACCTGTGATCATTCACAATGGCCGGCACCGTTGTTGTCAACTCGGAGCTTGTTGCTCCTCACCAGGAGCTCAAGCTGCATTCTCCCCCCGCAGAGATGTCGAGTCTGCCCAATGGCTTTCCTGCTGTCTTGAACTCGCCTATGTCATGGACTGGCCAGCAGTTTGAACAGCAGCCTGACTTCATTCACCACTTGGATGCCGAAGAGCTTCGAGAGATTGACACCGCTCTCAAGCACTTCAAAGGTGAGTCAGCTACCATTGGCAGTAGATCCTTCTTCATCCAGCATTTACTAATGCAATGTCATGCAGCTCTGGAACTTGACGGCGATCTCGTGACTCCTGACAACTTCCCGCTTCCCACTGTTGGTCCCAACGTGCTGAAGGGTATGCGCCAGGACATCTACCAAGGTAAAGGGTTTGCTGTTCTCCGAGGTCTCGACTCCAAGCAGTACTCGGTCGAAGATATGACCACCATCTATCTGGGAGTCCAGGCTCACATTGCCAATCGCTTCGGTCGTCAGGACAAGAAGGGCAACATGCTGGGTAAGAACGAAGATGCCCGAACCGGGCCTTGAGAGGCTAACACATTTCCAGTTCACATCATTGCCGACGCCTCGTCCAAGGAAAAGGCCGAGCACCATCGCCACTCCACTTCTCCCATCGTAAGTCTCCTGCAACACAACATACCCCGCAATCACTTGATGGCTGACGCGAGTAGACGTTCCACAACGAGGAAGCTGGAGACATCATCAGCTGGCTCACAAGAAACGCGGCCAAGTCTGGTGGCAAGTGCATCATCGCCTCGACCTACACTGTTTACAATGTGCTCGCTGCCACTCGACCCGACCTCATCCGCACCCTGGCTCGATCTGACTGGCCTTTTGCTTTGTAAGTGTCTTGAACTCTGATGATGTGATTGCATGGCGCAAGGGCTAACGTATTCATGTCTCATCCCCTAGGCCCAAGTTCCAATGCCGGCCTGTTTTCTTCTACCAAGATGGCCACCTCATCACCAACTTTGGACGGGCTGCTCTCATGGGAAGCGCCAGCCACGCTCGACCAGCCCACTTGCCTACACTCACTGCTAGCCAGGTTGAGGCCTTGGATGCGATCCAGGACATTGCCGAGGCGACCAAGTTCGAGTTCACCACCCAGCCAGGTGACATCCACTTCATCAACAACCTGGCGATCCTCCACCGCCGCGCGGGATTTGTCAACGGCTCGGAGCCCAGCCAGTGCAGGCACCTTGTGCGCATGAGACTCCGCGATGACGAGATGGGATGGAGCATCCCCCTCGATCTGGAGAGCGAGTGGAACAAGGCTTTTGGTCAGGCGGGAACCCGGGTGTGGCATCTCGAGCCCATGCCCTCTGGCTACTTTCCTCTGCGATCCCAGCCTAACTAGGGTGGTCAGCCAGCAATTGGTATGATCTCGCAAGCTACTTGGGAGGGTCGCGCCTAGGGGGTTGCGACGAAATGCCACTAATGGAAGTATTGGTGAGAGGGCATTGCATTCGCGTCGGCGTCTTGAGAAAAACATAAAAGAAGAAAAAAACTATAGACCGGGTTTTCATGGAGTTCTGGGCCAAAAACTCCTTCGGCTTGCTTTGTTTGCTTGATTGTTACATAGATAGAACAGGTTCGGATCAGATCCGCAAAAGTTCAGCAGTGGCATGGCATAGACTAGAAACTACTCCGTAGGTAGTCAGATTGGACCAAATTTACATATTCTAGCACTTGATTTGCCTCTGCTCGAGCGCTCAGTAGCCGTCTTCATCACTCACCATAGGCCTGTGTAAACAGGGAACCAGAGGCCTCAACTGCTTCACAGCTCTAGCTACAGGGCCAACGTAGCCAATTGCCACATTTGGTACTAGCTTGCGCACTCAATGCCCAATTCGATGAGGCTGGCAAAAATGGGCGTTTGAAGCATCCGGAGCTCGCTCATGGATGATGTCGAGAGTGGAGCCCGCCTGACCTGTAACTGAACCAAATCGTTGGGATGCCGAGACACGGACGGGTCACGAGACTGGGGGAGTGATTCAGCCGCTTACAAGGTGATTGCAGCTCTGACACAACAAGGATGTCTAGACGCGGCAGTCCGATATGAGAGAGGCAGGGAGAAGGGTATAAAAAGAAAAGAAGAAAAGATGGACGGGAACTGTTTTGTATGTCTTGGGCGGTAAATAGGGGGGTAGAGAAAAGCGGCAGAGGGTTTACACTGAGACCGGCCGGCGGCTTTTTTACTGGAAGATGCCGGGGGCTAGCAGAGAATGAAGGGGGTGATTTACGAAGCCCGAAGGAAAAAGAAAACATGCCCGAATATTCAAGAAAAAGAAAAGCTCTAGCTGGACATCCTGTGATTTGTAGGGGTTGGGGTATAGGAAGGAGTTTTTTTTTTTTTTGACGGCGTCGGCCGCGGCGTTTAGCCAGGTTACACAGGCGCTTCTTTTGGTTCAGGCTCCATTCTGTCTTTCTTTCTTTTTTCCTTCCCGTGTTTTTAATTGATGCTTTGTTGGACGTCGTAAAAAAAAAAAAAATCTCCTGTCTCCCTTGCAGTAAGCCGTTCGGTAGTTTCAATGCTAAGAACGGAAATATCCCGTGCCTTGTGTGTTGGGCCTCTTTTTTTATTTTCTTTTTTGTGACAAAAGTCGCAGATTGGGGCGGGAACATTATAGGTTTGTTTTCTCCCCTGCTAGGTTTTGTGACAGATTCCTAAAGCGATTGATCCATGCTGTCTAGTCTAGATCCCTGGGCGGGTGGCAGTGATTAAGACACACACTTAGACAGAGAGGAAAGAGAGATCTAGGGATGGCGATCGGATGGCGGCGGGGACGTGGGATCGGAAGCGGCTTGATGTGATGGTGTGCTCGTATGTCATGTCACATGTCGATGAGATGCGAGATGTGAGATGGGCTGCATATATAGGCACTGCTACGATCTTGTTTGTATAATCTATCAATGTGTGATACCATGTCATATGGAAGCTATATAAGCAAGTCAGGTAGTAGTAGCATTAAGGTTTTTGGTGAGACGAGTTCGTTAGAGTTGACGTGAAGTGTATGCGAAAACAACGGTAAGATGAGATGAGACGACGGCGAGGCAAGGGTACGATGCCAAGTCAAGGTTTTGATACGAGTTTAAATGACGTCCGGCATCGATCACGACCCCAGGAAGCTATCCATGGATACTTGTAGTTCTTATCACACAGCTCACTCTCCAGGTTAGAGCTGCTTGGATGCAATTTGCACAGTGCCGCTACTTGACCCGAAACGGCGGATAGCTTCCCCGTGACCTGGCGACAGCAGCGACGGCACTTGAGCACCCACTAAATCCATGCCGCTGGCGCTAAATCACGGGGCCGCAATGCCGGTACAGTGTCTAGATGGTCCAACTCTACACTGTAGCCTAACTGAACTGTGATTTCCTAGCTACCCCCTGCTTACGTGTGGAGTCTTATGTCTCACCTAGCAGAGCAGCATGTCTTCAGCTTCATCCCTACATTAGTATCGTGACGGCATCCAACCTCATTCTTACGGCCACTGCCTGGGAACTCTTTACAACTTGCCCAAGGCTGTGACGCGTGAATCGGCTCCGGTAGAGGGGACGCGCCACCACTCGGACCAACAGCATCGTATCGAATCGCGCATCCATCACATCGCATCGCCTCGCATCGCATCGTACCGTGCCGTCGGATTGATTTGAGACAAGGGGCCGGGGCGAGGCCTTTGAGAGTCCCGGCATTGCTTTTGCTAGCAGCACCTGTACGTACGAGTCCAGGTTCATTATCCAAGGCCATGCATCAGCCGCACGTCACGGGCTGAGACCCAGCGTCTCGTGATCTGATCCTTTCATCTTGCCTCCTCCTTCTCTCTTTTCTTCTTCTCTCTGCTCGTTCTCCTCGTGCTGATTGGCCCGTTCCTACAGCACCTTTGCGACGCGGGTCTCTCTCTCGTTTATGTCCCAAGTCCGGAATCGAGATCGATCACGAGCCATGTCGACCTCCAAGCCAATCAGCAAGCCTGGCCGCGCCGACGCCTCAGACTACTGGCCAGTCCACCAAGACGACAACGCACACGATGCCAACGAGGAGGAGGAGGGCGTGTCGACGTCGGCCTACCTGCCGCCGCGCCGGTCGCGCGCAGATCGCCGTTACCGCACCACCATCCTCGCTCTTGTTATCGCCCTGATCGTCCTGCTAGCGACCAACCTATACCTATCTCTGCCCTACTTCTTCCCCGGTCACGGCCCCGGCTCCTGTCCGGCTCCTAGCAAGGTGCCGCAGTACTTCCAGACATCGCCGGAGCTGTGGGCCGGGCCAACAGCCACCGGAAATGCCGCCTTCTTAGCACAGACAAGGACCTTTGACCCGACCGCGACCTTTGTGCCCAATGAGCCGCTGCAGACGGCCATCCCCGTCCAGGGCATGAAGCCCGGCAATGAGACTATTTTCAAGATGATGGGCTACTTGTCTCCCTACTTTCCCTCCCCTGGGTTTGGAGTCAATGAGTACCCGCTTCCCGCAGGAGCAGAGATCGTCCAGGTCCAGATGTTGTCCCGTCATGGCGCCCGCTATCCTACATCTGGGGTTGGCGTTGTTAACTTCGCCCAGCGCATTGCCAATGCCTCTAGCGACTTTAACCCCAAGGGGCCATTGGGCTTTCTCAAGGGTTGGGAGTACCATCTTGGGTCAGAGATTCTGGTGCCCAAGGGCCGTGAAGAGCTGTACAACTCGGGTAAGCATAGCATGCGTAGTAGGCATTGCGGATTGCCCTGGATAAAGCTGACATTTGCATAGGAGTTCTTCATAGCTACATGTATGGCAGTCTGTATAATCCAAACAGCAAGATTATTGTTCGCACTACGGTAAGGCTCACGGCTTGACAAACAAGCAGTACTTGAAGTCGATTTCTTTGTGTACTGACAAGTCGATATAGACACAAGATCGTATGCTCAAGTCGGCTGAGAACTGGATGGCTGGCTTTTTTGGGTTGGAATGGTGAGGACTTCAATATGAGCCACTTTCATTGTGAGACATGACTAACAAAGTCCAGGACGAACAATGCAACTATCGAAGTCATCATCGAGGCTGGCGGTTTCAACAACTCTTTAGCAGGTTCCCTCAATTGTCCCAACTCTTACACCAAAATATCGGCAAACGAAGCCAAGCAGCAATGGATCAACACCTACCTTCAAGATGGTATGTATTTGTCTGGTACGATCTAGTTTCAAAAGTATCGAGACGGCTAACTCTGGGTAGCTCTTCATCGTTTCAACGCGTTGACAGATGGATTCGAGTGGACCATTGACGACGTATACAACGCCCAAACCATGTGTCCTTACGAGACAGTAGCATACGGCTTCAGCATGTTTTGCGATTTATTCACCTATGAAGAATGGCAAGGTTTTGGCTATTCCATCGACGTGTGGTTCTCAGGAGGCAATGCCTTTTACAGTCCTACCGGGGTATGTATTTGAACCTCTCATCTCAGCATAAATTTGACGTTCGAAACACTAATGCTTTATTCTCGATGCAGAGAGCAATTGGCATTGGCTATCAACAGGAAGTCCTTGCCCGGTTGAAGAACCATACCCTCGGCTACTCTGGCTCGCAAATCAACGTCACCCTGGATAACAACACGGAGACTTTCCCCCTTAACCAGAGCCTCTACTTTGACTTTTCCCACGACACCAACATCGTTTCCATCCTCACTGCATTCGGTCTCCGTCAGTTCGCAGAGGAACTCCCGGCTGATCGATACCCCGGAGCGCACAACTTCACCGTCGCACACATCACCCCCTTTGGAGCCCGTCTCGACATTGAGATTATCAAGACCCCGAAACCCGTCTCGCCCAACCGCGATGGTTATCTCCGTGGCGAGGAGCAGAAATACGTTCACTTCATTCTCAACCAACGTACAATTCCTCTGGGGCTGAGTTTCCCCGAATGCGACGCCGACCGTAAAGATGGCTGGTGTGAATTCGACACTTTTGTCAAGATACAAGAGGGCATGTCGGAGAAAGCGAGCTACGATCATGCCTGCCATGGAGAGTACGATAAGGAGCCTTATGGAAAGATTACCGATGGTGCTCCAAACTGAGAGACAAGATTTTTATTACTTGGGGGAAAAGAGGAAGATTTTATAACAACTTTTTAATATGGCGAAAGACATCACTATTGATTGGTAAATAGAGTAAAATGTACGGCGCTCACGGGATCTTGGACGAGATTTAGTTGTTCTTGTTTTTGGAGACTTGGAAAGAAAAGAAGGCTTGGGTTATAATAAAAGACGGTGTTTGGAACGGCATTGCTAGTCAAATTGTTACATGAGGATCTGTTTGAATTACGGCTTATATTTGTCACTGTCGTCGATTTAGCATTCAGCTGGTTTAAAACATGACATGATTGCGCTGTTTATAAAAGTTTACATCTCAAGAGAGATCCGCAGACTATCTAAAAGCCGCAACATGGTGAATCGATTCATCAATATAATTCTCATGAAAAGACCAACACAGCCATTCTCCTGTCCTCATCATCCCCTCAAGTTTCTTTCTTTCAAATTCAAACACCCACTTTTAAAATAGCACGGCACATCACATTGATAACAGCAAGATAGAAACGTTTGATCCAACTTTCAAGTATATTCGTTGATAATCATCCACACGCTGGTATCTACAAAAAGAGTTTGCGCTCTATATAAATCATGCCATCCCATCCATCCACGGGAATAAAACCTCAAAACGCCCGCTATGTAAAGCCCCGGATAGATATGTGTTTAAAAACAACAAATACAGCGCCGCAGTGAAAAATTAGAAATTGCGGACAAATATAATAACATGAACAAGGAACGGCTTTTGTATAACCTCCCATTTTGTGAAAAGGAAAAAGAATTGAAACAAGTCGTATACACAAGACAGTAGCCTTAGTCGCGCTTCTCGTTGCTCTGGCTGCCCTCGGTCGTCTCGGTACTCTCTGAGCGCTCCCTGGCGCGATTATCGTATATAGATGCGGGTTTTCTCTCTTCGGTCTGTGTGTCAGCCAAGCTGGCAGAGCGAGCCATGTTGGCGTGCTCCTGGATGCCGTGCTGAGGCTCAATCAGGATGGTGCTCTCGTGGGCAGGCTCTTCGCGCTGGGGGCTCCAAGCCAAAAAGTCTCGTCGGACTTCAACGTAGTCGTATGAGAATTCGCCGTGTTGGTCGTCGTCCATACCAAGGAGCTCGGCTTCTTCGGAGGCACGCAGCTTAAGGCCGGGAATGAGATCGATGATTTTGGCAATGATGGCGGACATGACAAAGGCATAGGCAGAACCGGCGACGATAGCAGCGATCTGCCATCCGATGAGGACATAGTGGCCGTCGACAAAGCCACCAATGGCACCGCTATTAACTCCGTCGAGACCGATGATGCTACCGCTGGCGAAAAAGGCGTTGAAAATGAGACCGACCATGCCACCGATACCGTGCTCAGCAAAGACGTCGAGAGAGTCATCGATTCGAATGAGGAATTTGACTGTTGAATACATGTTAGGGAACTGTCTCGATACACTCTTGAGGTTTTCATTGACTATAAAGGTCAAAACTTACTCTTGGTGCCAAAGTTACAGCAGACTCCAGCAACGACACCCAAGATGATGCTAGCCCATGGGGTAATGAAACCAGATGCAGGAGTGGCAGCAACCAGGCCCGAGATGGTTCCGGAACACCAACCGACCATAGACCACTTCTTGGCAAGACGGAAATCGAGGAGACACCAGGTCATGGCGGCGAACATGGCTGTGAGACACGAGTTCCAGCAAGCCATGACGGCTCGGAGGTTGGCACCAAAGGCAGATCCGCCGTTAAAGCCTAGCCATCCGAACCACAGAAGAACAGTGCCGAGAGTGATGAGGGAGATGTTGTGGGGCCGGAAGTTCATCATCATCTTCTCGTTTCGGCGGCCAAGGACCCAGGAGTAGGCGAGAGCCGAGACACCGGAGCCGATCTCGACAGGGACACCACCGGCATAGTCGAGGACGCCGTTCTTGAAAGCCCAGCCGTTGGCGTTCCACACCCAGTATGCCAGGGGGCAGTAGACGAGGGTGGCCCAGAAGAAGCAGAAAACCATGCTCGGGACCACCCGGCCACGTTCGGCAACGGCTCCGACAGTCAGGCAGGCGGTGACGGCGCAGAACATCATCTGATAGAAGGAGTACAGGAGGGCCGGGATCAGGGGAGAGCCAATCGATGGGGTAGCCAGGACCCTCTGGAGCCCAAAATGGTTGAGGTTTCCAATGTAGCCATTATTGGAAGTCGAGGAGAAGGCTAAAGAATAACCCCAAAAGTACCATTGGAAGACGATGACGCTAAAGGACATCATCGTCACCCAGAGCATGGAGAGGGCGGACTTTCTGCGAGCGAGGCCCGAATAGAGAAAGGAGACACCCGGTACCATGAGAAGCACCATACAGGCGGCCACCAGGATGAAGGCCTGGTCTCCGGATTGATACCATTGGTTCAGGTTTTCGGTCCCTGAAGCAAAGGCTTGTCAGTGACCCCGTGGTCCATTTCATCTCGGAACCATGACTTGCATATTGGGAGATAAGGGGAATCGGGTGCTACACGGGGAACGGGGTCAAGTCAAGGCTACTATCGTTACATACTGGCATCACCCCCGAGGGAACCTGTCCCATTAAACACGGTCGGGGCCCCAAGATGGGCGTAGGACATGATGGGCTAAGCGAAATCCGGGGTTTCGTCGAGTAGATGTTGGAGATGGCAGCCACGAGGACCAGATAAACGAGCGATAGGACGCGGAGTGAGATGAGACGAGGAGAAATCGAGGATAGGTCGGATGCCGGCACAGGCAGGGCGAGGATCCGGGAAGCCTGAGCTACGGCAAAGCGTTGTGATAAGGTTGCAGGAGGTGAGATGCCTCTGGAGGTTCGACCAGAGATAAGACGTGCAGGAGAGGAAGAGAGATGAGAGGAAGGAAAGGGTAGCAGGACCAGATTAGGAGGAAAGACGGAGGAGGAGGAGGAGGCTTAGAGATAACGGACAGGCTTAGATCCGTTGTATATAGCATGCACATCGCCTTCAACACCACTCAGGCAGTCCCCGATTTCGACAGCACGGCGACAAACCGGGAGCAAGGCCACTGGGGCCCTGTCAAGGGCCACCACGCCTCTTCTTTTTTTCCTCTCATCAGCCCAGCCCTGGGGGGGCCCATGTTGGAGCCAATTACCCCAGACAGGGTCGTCCGAGGCCAGAGATAAGACACCAGGGGTGGGCCGTTCTGGCTGCTGTCTCGTTCGAAAGAGCGTTGTGCCACGGATTGGGATTATCTCGGGGAGGCCATGGGGGTGTGGCCACAAGCGAACAGGGGGGTGGTTTGTCTATCTCATCTCACTGTTCGTTATCTCGGGGCGAAAGGGCTGTGGATGCTGGGGCTAAGGGCTTAGTTCGAAGCGCGGCGCGAATCTGCATTGCTGAGGCATGAAGGCGAAAAGCAACTGGGTCTACAGCGACGATGAATGACGCTTGTAAATGGAATGAGTTGGTTGAAGGTTCGTGGAGAAGGAGGAAATGTTTATCTCGTCTGTTTGTTTGTTTCTTCTTGGTCGAGAAATTCTGCCTGGATTACTTAATCATCAAACGATGGAGGAAAACAAGGGCAGGAGCAAGACAATGAAAAATCAATCATTCGGGAAAGCGCAGCGCCACAAACGCGGATTATCGACCCGGAAGCAGCAGCGAAGAAAAAAAGATACAAAGATACAAAGTGTGACATTGGCGATAGTAAGGCCAGAGATAAGGTGGGCGTGTATAATCGAGGTACGTACGACAAAAGCCAAGATACGGTCATCGAAATCGCCAGGTACGTATCTTTTCCGCATGTGGGTGGGTGAGATAACGCTAGTCGGTAAGCACTCTAGCGCCGAGACAACAATAGAACATGCAAGTGCAGCACACATTGCCGCGCAGCCCAAGTATCGGCCGAGTATCGGTGAGGCCGCAAACAGGGGAGTCTTTTTTTTTCTTCTTTTCATTTGTCTTTTGTCGTTTTGGCTGGAGCCGGATAAGCAGCAAATCTGCAACCCTGAACTTTTTCGTTGGATTCTTCTTATTGTTTTTTATTTCATCCTTAGTCGTTTGGTTCCCACGCTTGGTAGATAGGTAATTGATTGATTGAAAAGGGCGCCAATTCACCCGGGCCTATTATCCAGCAACGAGAAAAACAATCGGCTCTGTCTCGCCTCCTTGACAAAAGGCCGTCATCGGCATCGCCAGCCCGAGACAGAACACAACTCATGTTCTTCCTCAAGACGAACTGAGCCGACAACCCGAACAGATAAGACAGGTTTCTTCTGCACCGATGGAGCACGAGTACTCGTACAAGCACAAAGTACGAGTAAATTCATTCTGCAGTTAACCAGGGGGTCGCATTGAATCAATGTCCCAGCCCATACTACTAAGACGCCTCACCCACAAGGAATGCTTCCCTGTCCTCTTCAGCTGATGCTGAGAAGAGGGACGAGTTACTCGTACAACTTACCGCCTTCCCCCAGCTGGCCCGTCAATGCCGTCACTTCATCATGTAAAGCCTGATAAGCCCACTCTTGACGGGAGCGAAGCCGGCGAGGTTGGGGCCCTGCAGTGGGGGGAAACCCGCGCCCTTGGCCGTACCTTGCTTAGCTGACTTGAGTCTTTCTTCTGTGCATGTCAAATTACCTACTATGTACAACTAAGGTGCTGATAGAGAATGGTGCCTGAGTACCGAGTTTACGATAGCCCAGGCTCCGTGAATAGATACGATTCAGAAAAAGGGTCTCCGTTACGGCATTCTCGTCTGTCAAGGGCGCTCCGGCGGCTTCGGGCGACCCGCCGTGGCTATTTAGTGCCATTGAGTGGCGGCCCAAGTCAATATCGCTGCTAATAAGAGTATACATTGGCGTCTGTCAAAAGCGTGGGCTTGCGACGAGCCGCGGGTTTTGCCTCTCTGCTGAAAAGTCGCGTGTACTTTGAATGTTTCACAATTCAGCGCGCATCACGAGTTCTCTTCACGGTAACCTGCACCGGCACGCTGGCTCCGGGTTAAGACATGTCGTCTCGCACACGTAAGGGAGAGAAGATTACAATGAACCAGTTTCAAAATTATAGAAATGGAAAAGGAATAGGATATTCCACCGATCTTCCGTAGAAGCAACCCCAGAGTTTCCCTCGTACAACAAAGTAATACCTCACGTGCACACGCCGATTCTTCCCCGGGTCCCTCCAGAGAAACCCCAAATCTCATCTACAGTAAGGTTACTCAATAAAACACCCCCATGACCCAAACCCGGGAAAATCTCGTGCCACCAACACACAAACTCGGGAAGCACAAGCAAGAAAATTAAAATCTCAGGATTCGTTACCCCAGCCCCAGCCTATCCCTTCCCTTCCCACCCCCGCTCGCCCTCTTTGTCTTGTCCCCATCGATCCGGTCTACTTTGAAGGAATAGATCCTCGGTTACCCGTGCATTGGCATGTTTTACTAAGCCCAGTAGCACATGAAAAAAACATTGATCCCGGTGAGGAGGGGGGCGCAACAAGTAAAAAGGTACGTGAGCCCAACTTTTCGTTATCAGAGGATTGTCTAGCCAATCACAGGCCCGCTTGCTCATTACGTTCGAGAAACCCCGATTTGGCGATTTGCGGAGCCAGCCCGTGTTGCCTATCGGATCATCGTCCCGCTGTTCTGGATGCGTACAAGCACCAACGCTTGAGATCGACTTGGCAACCTTTCTGACTTGCGTTGCTTTTTTGCCTTTGCCTTTGCCATGTTTTGCTTGTCTTGGCGTCTTTCGCTTATATATGTGCTTAAAAGTCTATGAGTATGTATGTAGCTGTAAACATCCAAGAGTAGCAACCGGACTGTAGAATGTTGTGCTAATACTTCCTTCACACGTGATACTCAGAATAGCTGCTAACATATACATCTCCCTCTTTACGTGCCCCTTTGCTTTGCATGAGATCGGTTACAGCAAATCATACAGCTTCGTTTCCTTAATTCTCTTCGCCAAACTGTCGAATACGATAATTAGGCTCTTCTTTCAACTATGACCCTCGGCTTTTCTCCTCTCCTAATAACTGACAAACCATCTTAGCGGGAATTAAATTCATCTTTCGTCAAATATAAAGCTTTGAATCTAACTCCCTGAGTTTGATTTCGATTTTATCAAGGCTTAATCCGCCTATACCACATCATACATACAACCTACCATACCCCCCTTATTCCCGCTTTATGAAATAATCAGTACAGGGATTGCTCGACATATTCTGGTTTCTTCAATCGCTCGAGGTTGAACCCATCTCATCATTAGGATACCCTATAGTTCTGCTGGCTTGCAAAATAATTACGACTCATCACGACTACAAACTTACAAGTGAAGAGAAAAAGATGAGCAAAGAGACAAAACACAAGATTTTAACGTGTAGTCGGTCCCATGTATTTTATTTATACTTTGATAAACAGGCTATTGATTCGCTAAACAGACCATCAAAAGATGCAAAGCCTCCCAGTTTGTTCCTTCCTCGTCACTTCGTACGTAAGGATATCGTGATTTCGATAATGCAGCATTAGTCTATACCGCTTTGGTGCCGTTGCCCGATTTGTTCTGTCGCCATACATACGGTCGTCATCCTGTACCGGCCCAACCGCTAGCCCGTGCAATGGCCGTAACACTGGTCGGCATGCCTCCTCTTCTGATGATCGAGGCAGAATGCATTCTACCCGAAGCCCATGATGCCACATCCCCGATGTCTTCGATGCAACAGGAGACCTGAGTTTCGTTGGAGTAACACAAAGAACTCGCCCAGTAGGCGACCCTACTACAACGAGCGAGAGCTCAGGGATGTGGAAGACCATGCTCAGGCGGCTGGTTGCGCGGAAATAGGGTCTTATGCTTCGTTCCTGAAACCAACTAAACGTGACAGCGTCTGGACACAGAACCCCAATTTCTTTTGAGCGTGTGTCATGCTCCTCTCGAAGACTCCTGAGCTCCAGATCCTTTTCCAATGTTCGAATAAAATGATATCGCTTGGTAAATCTTTTGAGGCGGTCTTCCGCTGCTGGGTCCTTGTTGTCATCTTCCTTGTTGTCATTGGACTCAATCTTCCTCCTTAAAAATTCAAGAAGCTGTATTGGGTGCCTAGGGATGACTTGAATCATTCCGCTATGAGGAAAAAATGCCATGTCGAGTCGAATAGGAGGTGTACTAAGTCGGTTATGACTGCGCCGTCTCAAAGTCGTGACATTGGAACTCTTTTGCCTGTCATCCATTGACATGACAGTGTCTTGATCCACCGGTGAATCCTTTGCCTGGGCCAATGCCGTTTCAGGAGTGTCCGGGGAAGAGATGGCTTCTTGGAATTCCTGTACAGCGTAAGCAAGCTGTCCGAGTATTTCATCTATGTCGTGTAGCGCTTGGTCTTGGTGGAATTGCAGTCCTGCCGGCGGATGTGGAAAGAGGACTGCGCTGCCGCCGTGGTCTGCGGTAACGATTTCAGGAACCCCTTGGACGGCAATATCTTGCTGGGCATCTTCTGCTTCGGTTTCCTGGTCCATCTCGCCGCTATCCTCGTCATCCAGTTCATCCGGCTCGTCGATGTCATTTTCTGGTTCTTCTGGTTCGGCCTCACTTTCGTCGCTGTGCTCGCCCACGAAATTGGGAGCAATGGCATCGCCTACGAGAGATTGTAAAGATTGATTATGAAACATGTTCAGAACGTTGGGGAAAAACTGACCCGCCCTGGCTCCAAGCATAGGAGGAGGGCATGGGTTGTCCGGGATGGCTGCGAGGCATTCTGCCACATTCACCATTGGCTGCGAGCATCCCGATCCCGGCTGGAAGATGCTGAGCGCCTCCTCGGGTAACCCAAGCATCTCCTCGAGAGTGTTGACTGGCACAAAGGATTCTTCAGAAAGTGCCAGTACACCCCATCCCCTAAAAGAAAGAAAAACCACCATCAGAATCTTGCATCAAATAGGTTGTTGCGCTCTCTAAACGCTTGCTTACCGTGATGGTGCTGGCCAGAATTCTTCACTCTGCAGTATTAGATGTTTAGATGGCGGGATCTGGACTACAGGCTGGGAAATTCTCCATATATCTGCTACCCAGATGACCCCATTGATATCTACTGCGCATATCTTCTCAGCCTGGCCGTCCTCGCTATCGGCGAAGCAGATGTTGGGGATATTGGACGCTTCAGCCCTGAAAGCCACCACGATCCTCCAGTTCCGTGCCCTCCTAGGTATGCTTGATTGGGTGTTGCCACTGCTCTGGCAGCAATCGCAGAATTCTCGTATTCTTTTTGAATTCTTCTGACATGTGGTGAGAGCAAAAGCAAAAACCGTCACCTCGTATCGATTCGAGCTCACAGCTATAAGGCGAGACTTGCGATGGATGGCCAGCCCCCAAGCCGTATGGCCGACATTCTCATGAAAGAAGCATCTCGGCTGACGATGGGCGTGTGTTTTCCCAGTGCTCCTCTTGGTTCTGGAAATCGAATCTGCAATCTCTTTGACATAGTACGCAACCACATCTCCATCATCGTAGCAAGCGACTAGAATCTCTTCTCTCCCGAGGTAGCCCGTAATAATATGATTGATCACATGCGGAGTATCAGGATCGATATAACCCCCAATAGAAAGAGCCTCTTTACTTGGCCTAGGGTAAATTTGGAGGTCGGGGTCTCGGGGAATCGTTTGTTTCGGAATGCTTCGAGGAGTGTAGGCGAAAATGTGGCCTTGATATGCGACAAAGTAGAGCTAACATCAAAAAACCTTCGTCAGTCGTTTCCATTTACGCCATTTGGCTTCTCTCCCCTCACGCAACCACGTACATTGTGAGCTTGCGATAGTGCCGTCAGATTGTTTCGATAGTTCTGCATGCTTGGGACGAGCCGATATATCGAGTCTTTGGGACGGCGCCTGTCTTCCTCGAGACCCGGAAGAAAAGTTTGCTGGGTGGATGGCCAAGCAAACGGCGATTCAAGGCCTTCAGGCTCCATCCCCAGCGAAGTTCGCTCTCGATCCCGGATCGCGCCCTTGGCTTCGTTCCCAAACTATCAGGTCATCCTCCACGTCAGCTCTCTGCATCTGAGCGTCACTATCACGACCTTAAAATGACTTACCCTAGCCGTAGCCGTTTGTGTATAACATCTTCCTACTGACAGGGTGCGAGGGCTAGGGGTCGGCGATTTCTTCGATGGGCGATCCATGGCCGTCGAGTGGAGGGGAGCCTCGCCACTGCGGGCAGACTGCGCGATCTCGGGACATGTAAGTCAAGCAATAGCAGTAGAAAGGGAAGAGCCGAATGGTGAGAGAGATATTCAGTCGTTAGAGGCCGGAGAGGATAGAATATTTGATTGCAGGCGACTATATGGGAGGCGATACAAAGCAACTTGGCGGGGAGGCAATTTAATTGGAAGCTTCCAAGAACCAGAGCGATGGAGTTGACAGAAGCAGTGCAACAACCCCACAATTTAGCGCATGAGATCAGCAAGATGCCGGGCTTTATCGATAAAAGCACCGCAGGTCACTTGCAGCTACTACCAGACATTACTAAGGATTTGGTGGAATTACAAAACAGCATCAGCGAAAATCGATAGACAACAATAACTTCATTCAGCTTCATTCATTCTCTAGCATAATATATAGCAGCGTACAGGATCGTAAGGCAATGCTTGATGATGCATGTCGCCATGAAAATAATTCCAATACTTCCGGTGGTCAAATAGATGCCCGGTACCGCATACCCATCCAAACGCCTCCAAAAGCGCCAGTGCATGTGCTCATCAAACTGGGTATGTAACCAAATAACTCCAATCCATGATAAATCCATCAATGAACGATAGCCCAAGCAGGCAAGATATCCTCTGCTTGCCTATGAAAAACAAAGTAAAAAAATCATCCCAATTCCAGTTCATTTCCTCATCAGCTCCTGCAAATCCTTCATGCGATAGTCCAGCACTGGGGTGATCCAGTCATCGTGCACCAGTGAATAAGACTCCTTCTCGTTGTTCTTGGGCTTGCGAGGGTTCAAAGCCCAGTATCCGAAATCTCCATCAATGGACTTGAGATACTGGAGCAAATGCTTCCAGTAGCGCGCATCGCCGACAGTAGGGTCGTTTGGCGCCCCCAGCTCTCCAAACCAGACTGGCGCAATGTCCAAGTCAAGCAGATACGCCCAGTTGTGACGCATCGTCTTGACGAATGACTTGTAATTCCGCTGGGCAAATCGACCTTGCCAGCTTCCCCAGCCTGACCACTTGTAGCCATGAGCAGAGTAGACGAGCTTGTTCTCAACATCCAGACGGACTGGTCGGTCGAGAGCGCCCGAAACATCGTTGGCCGACTCGGTGCCTTCGACAATGATGAGCCAGTCGGACTTCATCTTGAGCAGACGATTGCCGCATTTCTCTGCGGCGGCTGCCCACTTGGACCAGGGCATGGTTCCCCAGAGGCCACGGACCTCGTTGCGGAGATCAGCTCCAATGACCAACGGATTATGCACGAATCGCTCCATGACCGACTCCCAATGTTGAATCCATTCCTCCTCTGTCTGTTTGACGCGGCACAGCGGTCCGAGGTGATCGTTGGCCCAGCCAGCATCGCAAGGGTCTGCCCCACAGCACCAAGTTGCGCTGGTGATGTGGTTGTTGATGATGACAGCAAGTCCAGCATCCGTCAGAGCAGTTGTCACGGCTTCGAACACATCCATGGCGCGAAGGCCCTCGAGGTCCGGGTTCGCAAGCACCAGCCGTGGCTCAAGCACCGGGTTCTTGATGACAAGCTCGTCTGAGTAGGGGAGCCTCACGCTGTTGAAACCCATCTTCTTGATGGTCTCGGCAATGACGCTTCGGTGCTGGATATCCAATCCGCCTGGGACAAAGAGCTCATCACTGGCGCCGTACCAATTGATGGAAGACAGCTTGAACCGATGGCCATTCTCGTCGACAATGTTCCGTCCCTGCGTCCTCAACGGCAGCTTGTAGCTCGATATCCATGTCGTCTCCAGGGGGGCCGGCAGGGGCTTCCGGCTGAAGAGAAGCGACTCTCGATCGGGCATCCACTTGGCATTGAGATCCTGCTCCCGCGCCCACAGAACGGTCAAGTAAAAGACGGCCGGAATCAGCAGCATGAGCATCGCCATCATGAATTTGGATCGCAGTCGGTACCCAAGCCCAAGCCAGAGCTTGCGAGGTGATGCCCTCCGCTTGTTCGCCCACGCCCGACTAACATTTGCTTCGGGTGGAGTATACAGAGGCAGGCTCTCGTCAGAGCTGGAAGCGTCCTCATGGTCATCGCTTGATTGGCTCCAGTGAACATGGCGCTCGGGCTTGTCGGGCTGAGAGCCGTTGGCATCGTCGATATCGCCGCTGACTAAGGCAGCCGGAGCCCGCCTGTCCGCCATTTTGATTGCTTGTGGTACAAGAGGATTCCAAAGTGGTGCTTACACAGCACAACGACGTGATTGGAAAAAAAAAAGTAGCAGAGAGCTCCGAGGATCCCGTTGAGTGAGGCAGAAGTGTTATAACAGTCAACCAACACTAATCCGCCCCTTCTATCGCTCGTGATATGCGTCTCTGTTTGAGGATCTTTTTACCCTTCTTCTTTGTTTTTTGTTATCTCGCGTTGAACTGTGTGGCGGGGTGCAACTATTCAAGCTTAGGTAGATGTCGCGTGCTCATATCCGTACCCAAAAGGCCTTCGGAATCGTCGGGCAGCTCCAAACAAGTGAATGTTGAAAATCAACAAAGGCCACTTCGGGAGGATCAAAAAAGTGCGATCCCGTTGCGTTGGCTATGCAAAAAGCGAGGGAACAGCTCCAGTCAGTAACACAGCCCAGCAACGAGGGAGCAAAGGCAAGGCAAAGAAGAATCGAGGTGTTGTCGTCCCAGGCACCCGACAAGAAAAAGTCGCCGCCTTTATAAACAACCAAACGGCAGAGTTAATTCCGTTCCTGTCACCGCATCTGGCCAATCGCACCTGGCGAGGCCAAGGCCAAGAGCCAAGGGCCGCTCCGGAGAACCCGGACCAAAGTTGCTATTAGTTAGCCATGACCTCACACCTTTCGAACCAGAAAGCAAGCTCGCAACGGTTCGAAAGCGCATCTTCGGCACTCTTCGCCTGTCCGATGGGAGAGCCAAGCCAAAAGTCGTCCCACCGAGGCAGGTACTTGTAAACACACCGCAATCTTGCCGCGGATACGCGTATCCATTGTTCAAAGAGTACATGCGCCCTGGCTCGATGATCGACCTGGCGCGCCAATTGGCGAGACGCCCGCAATGTCTGTAAGCGGAAAGACAAAAATCACACGAGACACCCGCACATCAACAAAAACAGCATTAATAACAACGGCGACAGACGATGTTTTCATGAATATAGAAGCAAATTTGAACTCTTGAATTAATTAATCCAGACACTCGTAATAAAGTATCCAGGCTTTTTGCTCGGTACACATACAAAGTATATACATAAAATACGCTGCGTAGCGACCATGTGCTTCGTGCTATGAGGTAGGCGACCGAATCTGCCGGTAACGGGTACCTAAGCTGCAAGCCTCCCCCACAGGCACTAGCACACTTTTTTTCTTCTTTCTCCTCTGCCGTCTCAGCTCCTGCACACATCCGATCCGCCGCTTCCGGATGCGCCTTTAGTTCCCGCGTTCCGCATGCCATCATCTTAACTCTTCTCCTGAGCTACTCATAACACTTTACATAACAGGTTTTTACCAGAAGATGCTGCCAAAGATATTCAACAGGCGCACGTGCAGATCCCCCGGGGATTTTTGCTCCAGCCTCTAGCCATTAATGGGGGAACTGTCTCGGAGATGTGAGAGCTGGATTCTCCAATCAGGATAAGAGAACCAGCCTCTTTCATCGTGAGCGTCCGCCCCCTTTTTTCTAGGGAGTGTATAAGAAAAGAAAGATAAAAAAGAAATATGGTCCAATATGTACAAACAAATGATATGACCGTGGCGCCACGCTGTCCTGTGTCTTAGAGAGGGTGCCATTCGACTGCAAGTAGAGACCTTTTGTGTCTCTAAATGGCCAATGGCTGAGGGATAGATAGAATTATAATAGAAAGGGTGTAAATGAGCGTCATCGACGCAACATCATGCCGCACCGTGAGATGCTGGACATGTGGCGTCACCTCCAGGGTATTGTTGTTGATTCCATGGCTAGCCGTGGAGCGGGTATCTAAGCAAATGCTTCAAGTCGATTCGTTTGGCTGTGGGAAAGAGGTTGTTCCCCTTCCCCTTCCTCCCCCTTTTTTTTCTGACATCCTTCTTCTATTTTTTTTTCGTTTCTGCATCATGCGAGCGGTTCGCTTCTTTGCTGCTTCTTGCTTCTCGAGCCGACGCTCGGCGACTTATATGCGGTTCATGGCCAATGGGTTCATATCGCGGCCTTGCGGGGCGGCGTAGGTTTGCTGCGCATTCCACTCAGGCCGGGAGCCCTGTGGTGGCCGGGGGTTCGAGTAGGATCGCGCCGGTGCGTTGTATCTGGCCGTTTCGCCAAAGTAATCGGGGGCTTGATTGCCCGCTGCGGATTTCACTGGATCAAGTGGTGTTACCACGGCGCTCGTATCTCTGGAGAGCATCTCGTACGAACGTGTATCTTTCTGATTATCATATCGGGCATCCACCGATACGAATTCCTTCTTTCTGCTATTGAAAGGAGACTTTACCAAATCAACCCAGCCGGTAAACATGGTCCATCGACCAAGGAGGAACAGGATCCAAATGCCGTTGAGCTAATACGCCAGCCAGGTCAGTAACTTGGAGAGTTGGGCGGCCAGGAGAGACTCGATACTTACTGAAAGCAGGACAAGCACGGCAGATACTGTCGCTTCACTGACAACTAGGGAGCCGGCATCGTCAAGACACTTTGTCTTGTCGCCCTGGGCTCCGATGAGGCAGACGATCCACTTCTGAGCCACCTTGGGGTCGTCGGCGATGGATTGAACAATGTTGTCCTGGAAGACGAAGACGACAGAGAAGAAGATGACATCGGCAATGATGATGAGGACAATGGCAATGCCTCGCCATTGAAGAGCAATAACTCGGCGGACTCGGCGGTAAGCCTGTCGCGGGGACATGGTGATGACACTGTTTGAGTAAGTTGGGAGGCTGGATCCTTCGGTCGACGCGGCGTTGTCGTTCAGAGAGGCGAGATAGACCTTGATGCAGTAGCCAAAGGTGGTGAATGTCGTTACGACAGTGATGCTGGCAAAGATGAGGAGCGGGATCCAAAGATCTGCCAAGCTGTTCTTGTGGTTGATATGACACGTTGCGCCGAACCGGAAGGAAACTCCACTGAAGACCAGAGCGAGGATGATGCCAATGGTAGGGATGCCCCAACCAGCGGCTTGGGCGAAAATCATAAAGTTGCGGCCCACAAGAACCTGCCAGCAGATCTGAAGGTGAAGGGAGAGGGAACGAAGGAATGCCCACATCACGGCGCACCAGCCTCCTAGGATCAACATGGCACCCGACGCTCCACAGACACTCAAAGTGTGCATGTCGTTCGGAGTGATGGCATCAAAGCACTGATCCGGCTCGGCCGCTAGCGGAATGACGAATCCCAACTAGAATCAGCGGTTAGCGACCAAGGCTCCCTTTGTGTAAACGACCGTCACTCCACCTACATTCATGATCAAGACACCCAGGGTAAAGCAGATGCTCAGGTAGTGACGGTTCGTCTTTTCCACTGGCAGTGTTGCCCATGATACCAACAGGAAAACGCAGCAGATGACACTGACGGTTGCGATCCAGTTGGCCACGGTGCCGATTGTGGTGAAGCTATCTGGGTAAACCCAGTCTGTCATGGGACAGGGCAAGCAGCATTCAATGGTGCCCGAAATCTTCTGGCACAATCGGCCGCTAACATCTACATCTCAAGTCAACAGATCGATCCAACACCAGTCTTTGGGCGTCCATTTCTACTTACACCCTCCACTACCAAAAAGCGTCGAATCGATGAACGGAGCAGGGCAAAGGTTGATTCCTGTAACGTTGGCCATGGTGGAAGATCGTGTCCGGCAACGGTGGCCTTGAACCGGGTCGAGAAAGGGTCGTTCGTTTAAGCTGTGCCCCTTGAGGGGATTTCGTTGCTGACCGCCTTCCCAAGGTGCACTTTAAGGCGTAGTAGAGGTTATGGATAAACAGGTTGTCGTCGAGGTACAAAATCAAGGAGAGGGGGCGTCAATGAAAGAATGCGATACTATGGGTATCGTGATGGCTTCGCGCACAGTCGAACAGATACGTAGTCATATGACCCAATCGATCAGATAATTCGAAACACTCCAAGGTGGCGTAGGACAGTCGATTGATGTGATGAATCCTCTGACTAGTCGGCGGACGTGCGTTGATGAATAGTAGAGCCGTCGTGATAGTATCACAGCATAGTGAAGCCAAGAAAGGAAGTTGTGTGTGGCGATATGTTACTCAAGAGAGTATAAGAGAGCGGTATTATCCAAGGGATAAGAAAAAGAAGAACAAATAGACAGGAATACAGAATGCCCAGACCCAGACCTCAGCAAAGACAGCATTCAGGCATGAATGCGAGGGCATGCGGGTCATAAAGTACTACTCGTACTTGGCTGAAGAGTCAGATGGACTTCGCAGAGCAGCTGCCAGGCAAGGAAACTAGTCTCGAATACAACGTTCAAGTCGACCAAGAGGCGGGCTGACCCCTGTACGTGCAGAATACCGGGGTCTCTCATGTTCCTAGTAGGGTCGTGAGTTTTGTGGAGCTGCATGGGCTCCGAAAGCTGGACAGGGGCAGTACTTGTCGTCCGCACCGGAGCTTTGTCTTCTGAGAGGTCGCCAGTACATACTGTACTCCGGCCAACTGGACCACACAACCCTTGTGAGAGAGGGTACCTCCATAAGGTGATGAGATGCCACAGGGGCAGAGCAAGGCTTGTTTGGATTGCTGGGGCCTAGCCCAAGGAGAGGCTCCAATGGGGCTCTCTCCACTCGTCTCTGGGATGTTTCTTTGGCGAGATGCATTGGGGTCTCAAGGATCTCGCGGGCAAGTAGACTGCGGCTTGGAGCTGCTGTCCCTCACGATTGGAGGACTTGGCCGGGGGTCTTCTTGGTTATGGCTTTCTAGTCACAATTATTTAGTGGCAATTAGTGGCAGT